CGGCCCTCGGCCGCCGCGGTCTCCGCCGCCGCGAGCCGCGCCCGGAGCTCCTCGGCCTCGGACCGCGCGCGCGCGGCCTTGTCGACGGCGTCCTCGACGAGCCGCCGCGTCGGCGACGCCGGCGACCGGTCGCCGTCGTCCCGCTCCGGCCGCGGCGCGCGCAGCTCCGCGTGGAGCGACTGCACCTCGCGCTCGAGGGCCAGGCGCGCGCCGCGCTCGTCGCGGAGGCGCGTCTCCGTCCGCGACAGGCGCTGGTGCACGCGCACGAGCTGCGCGTGCAGCAGGCTCACGAGCCGCTCGTCGGCGTCACCGACCATGGCGCGGCCCGCGATGCCGATGGCGCGCGTGGACGACGCGCCGGAGGCCTGGTCGATGCCCGTGCCGTCGCCGTTCGACGGCGAGACGACGGTCGCGGGCGCGTCGATCGCGCGCGAGCCGTCGAGCGGGCCCGTCGCCGCGGAGGCAGCAGATCGGTGGCTTCCGACTCGAGGGCTGCCGCGCCATTTGTTGCGGCAGCATCGGGCGACGCTGCCCGTCCCGTGCGTGGTCCGCGCGCGTTGCTTCTTCACAACGCGCGCGCGCGCGTATAACCGCGCCGCGCCGCCGCCGCGCGCCGCCGCGCCGGCGCGCCATGCGGTCGCTGGCGGACGTGACGCGTCTGGTCTTCACGGCCCACTACGTCGTCTCCGCCTGCCTCTGCGCCGCGGCCTTCCTCGCCGAGCCCGACGCCTTCCTCGCGGCGCTGCTCGGCCTCGCGCTCGTCGGCACGTCCTTCTGGCTCTACGGCGCGCGCGAGTCGAACGCGAGCGTATCGCACGTCCGCGGCCTCGTCGCGCTCGACGCGTGCGTGGCGCTCTCCTTCGTCGTCGCGGCCTACCGCGCCTGGCACGCGCCGGAGAGCGACGACTCCTCCGATGGCGCGCCGAAAGCCGTCGTCGCCGCTCCAAAAAGGAAGAAGGCCCGCGAGACGAAGAAGCACAGGTGATATAAGCTTCTTTTCTTAATGGCGTGGGGAGGTGTGGAGCGGCGGCCAAAAGAAGCGCGAGGGCGAGTGGCGAGTGGGGCAGGTGTGGGTCGCGCAGAGCGATTTTGGATGCGTCGAAGCGCGGATGGTTCAACTTTGAATGCTTCTTGACGTTGCCTTTCAGACGCTATCTCACAGCCGGAAACGTCCAGCCTCGACTGACACCGGCGCTGAAGCAGCGCATCTCCGGCGCATCTGCAACCGCGCGCAGCCTCTCGCCATGTCGCTGAAAGCCGTCGCCGCCATGATCACGCCCGGCGTCGCCGTCAAGGCCATCACGGTGCCCATGGCGCTCGCCGGCGTCGCCCTGAGCTCGGACGCGCTGCACGGCAACATCTCCAAGGGCTTCCGCGAGACGTTCGGCTTCGGCCGCTGGTTCGCGCCGCTCGTCGGCGTCTACGAAGGCGCCGTCGCGGTCCTGCTCTGGTACAACGGCGGCGCACACCGCGCGCTCGCGCTGCGGATGCTCGCCGTCGTGCTAGGCGGCGTCAACTACGCGCACCTGGTCTGCGAGGGCAACCCGGGCGGGTGCGTGGTGCCGCTGGCGCTCAACGCCCTCGCCGTCGTCGCGCTCCAGGACCTGACGGGCGGCGGCTGGGCCGACGTCGCCAAGGCCCAGGCGCTGCTCGGCGTCGCCGGCGCGGTCGTCGGCGTCGTCGTGTCCGCGCTCTCTCCCGGGAAGCCCAAGGACGAGTAGGGTCGGCGCGCGCTTTTTAATCTCGGGCTAGTAGTCGGACAGATCGTCGCTGGAACGCGAACGCGACGACCCGCGCGACGACGGCCAGCGCGGGGAGCCCGCCTCGAACGCGTCGGAGAAACCGCCGTCGTCCGACGACGGCCAGTGCGGGGAGCCCGCCTCGAACGCGTAGGAGAAGCCGCCGTCGTCGCGCGCGTCGCGCCGCTTGCTCGGCCGCTTCGAAAGCGGATCGGCGTCGCCCTTCGTCCAGCGCGCGGCGCGAGGCCCGGCGTGCGCCACGAGCGCGTCGTAGAAGGCGCGCGTGTCGCGCGCGCCGCGGACGGACTGGAGCTGGAGGTGCCAGCGCGCGTGGCGGCCCGGCACGCCGCGGGGCGTGATCGTCACCGTGCCCGTGCGCTCGGCAGGGTCGAGGTAGGACGGGCTCGACGCCGCCGCGGACTCGTCGAGCTCCACGTCGAAGTCGTCCAACACGAGCTTCTTCAGCGGGCCGTCGGCCGTCGTGCCGCCGCCCTGGATCACGAAGGGGTCCGCGACGCGCCCGCCGTGCGAGTTGACGCAGGCCGCGTGGCGGCAGTAGAAGAGGGCCGCGTCGCCGGAAACGCCGCGGAGCGTCACGTAGGAGTAGTGCCAGCTGGAGCCGCCGGCGACGCGGCGCGTCCGCTTCCGCATGTAGCCCCGGAAGAGGCACGGCGCGGCGAGCCGCGAAGCGTCCGCGGGCCCCGCGTAGACGTGGCGCTCGCGCGCGCGCGTGTTGAAGACGTAGCGCCGCAGCGCCGACGTCGCCCGCCGCGCCACGTAGAAGGCGTGGAGCGCGTTGGCGACGCGCGTCGCGAGGATCGTCCGCGCCGCGCCGTCGCTGCTGAACAGCGTCGTCGCGACGTCCCACTCGAAGTTGCTGTCGTTGCGGAGCTGGCGCAGCGCCTCGTCGATGAGCCGGCGCGTCGCGGCGCGCTGGCTGAGCGCCTCGACGGTCCCCGCGTCCCGCTCGCCGTCGACGATGGTCCGCGCGGCCGCCGCGAGCGACGCTCGTCGCCGAGAGTGGACCGAAATCACCGAAGCGCTCCCTGTCGGCGACGTCGGCGACGCGCCGGCGCCGTCGCGGACGCCGTCGCTCAGGTCCATGATGGGCACGTAGAAGACCGCCTTGCCGCGGAGCTGCTCGAGCCGCGCGAGCCGCGAGAGCCCGACCGCGTCGTCGTCGCGCGCGGCCTCGACGGCCTGGCGGACGGCCCGGTGGCTCCGCTTGCGGCGCACGGTCCGCGTGACCTCCTCGAAGCTCCGCTGGCGCGCCGCGGTGCCCGCGGCGAGGTCCGCGAAGGACTCGGGCCCCAGGCTCTCGCGCGCCCCGTCGGCCGCGCGCGGCGTGAGCAGGCTCCCGCGCGACGGCCGGCGCGCGAGCGCCGGTTCGCGCGGCGAGTCGCCGGGCGCCTCGGGGATCTTCTCCAGGAGGTCCTTGACGCCCAGGCGGACGTCGGAGACGATGCAGCGGCGGATGCGGAAGAGGATCCTGTCGCGCTTCGGCGGCCGCAGCTTCTTAAAGGCCGAGAGCTCGCTCATCGCCAAGCTCAGCTGCTCGAGGGGCGTGAGCGCGCGCGACGGCGCCCGGAGCTGCGCCGCGACGTCCGGCGCGTCGGGCGCGCGCGAGAGCCGCAGCGACAGCTCGAGGACGCCCGCCGGCGGCTCGTCCGCGGGCGCCCACGCGCCGTCCGTGCGCACGGCGCCGTCGAAGCAGAGGACGGGCCCGCCGCCGTGGCCCACGAAGGCCGCGTCGTCGTCGAGGACGCCGACGGTCCCGGAGACGATGCCGAAGCGCGCGCGGTCCGCGGGCGACACGTCGTGGGACCCGCGGCCGTAGCCGGCGACGAGCGCCGCGAAGTCCTGCGCGCGGATGGACCAGGCGCCGAGGCGCGGCGCTTTTTTGCCGTAGACCCGCTTCTTCAGCCGCAGCGCGTCGTCGACGCGGAAGCTGATGTTCGCCGCGAGGTCCGGGCACGGCAGCCGGAACTGCTCGCAGAAGGCCGCGAAACCGCCGCCGGCGGCGACGGCCGGCCCCCGGGCCGTGCGGCTCGCGAGCTCGCGGACGCGCACGGCGACGACGGGCCGCGCGGGCCGCCGGGGCGCGCCGTCGCCGCGCGGCGGCGCGCGCGTCCATTTCGCGACGCGACACGACGCGCGGTTCGGGAAGTCGCGCCGGGGGAGCGCGCGCGCGACGGCGTCCTCCGCGACGGCGCGCTTGAAGCGCCGGTAGTTGAGCTCGCCGTTCGCGGTCTGCGCGGCGCCCTCGCAGCCCTCGGCGTGCAGGGCGTCGACGCGCACGACCGCGGGCGGGCCCGGCCGCCGCGCGAGGACCCGGAGCAGCGCGGCGAAATCGCGGCGGCCGAACGAGAAGTTCGCGCGCGCGCGCTCCGCGTAGCAGAGGAACGTCGGCTCGTAGCCGTCGAGCGCGTCGTGGGTCATGTAGCAGCCGCCGAAGGTGCACTCGACGCGGAGCATGACCTCGTCGTCGCACGCGGCCGAGCCGTCGTCGCGCGAGAGCCACGCGGCGACGCGCATCGACGTCACGCGGTAGCCGTCCGCGGGGTAGAGCGTCCGTAGCAGCCGCGTCGCGACCCAGCCGAGGATCAACGGGGCGGCGCACGACGCGGCGGCGAGCGCCAGCGCGAGCGCGACGAGCGCCCAAAGGCTCCGGGAGACGAGGCACAGGCACGAGGCGAGGAGCGGCGAGCAAAAGAGCGCGAGCGTGAAACGGTCGACGGCGCCGCGTTTTATGGTGTCCTCGTGGTGGATGCGTCGTGGGGGTGGTCCATCGTGTAGTTTAGGAGGCACACCTTTTTGGGCTCGACCGTCCTCGAAGTCGAGCGGTCGGCCCGGTGGGTGCGACCGTGCTTCTTCTCGAAGAGTAGCCACACGCGACGCGGCGCGGTCGGGCAGCGCCGCCCTCGTGGCGACGAGGTGAAGTCGGAACAGGCGCTCGCGGCGCTCGCGGCGTGAAGACGCCGTCGAGCGCCAAAGGCAAAATTCACAATCGCTCAAAAACCGCATCCTAAGCCCCCCTCTACCTCCTCTAGAACATCGCGTTCATGTCGTTCTCCATGCCCGCCTCGGCGGCTCATTCCTTGCGCCAGGCAGGCTTCGCGTTCAAGAACGCCAGGCACCAGACCGCGAAGGTCGGCGCGGAAAGGAACGCGGCGGCGACGTCGCGAAGGCCAAGCACGACTCGCCCGCGCGCAAGCGCAGCATCTCGGGCTCGGGCGACGACGCGGCGTAAAGATTGTTAGGCTATACTTGCGCGTCGAGGCGCGCGAGCTCGTTTGTAGCTTTCTGGTAGCCCTTGGCAGCGGCGCGCTCGAACCAGTATCGGGCTTTGCCGAGGTCGACTTCCGTGCCTCCTCCGTCCCTGTAAGAAATGCCAAGGCAAGTCTCTCCAGAGGTTAGACCTTGATTCGCCGCGAGCACGAAGTACCGGAACGCCTCTTCAAATCTGTTCTCAGAATGAAGTAAAATCCCTAAATTGTTTTGCGCGGTCGCGACGCCGCGATCTGCGGCCGCGCGATACAGCCGCTCCGCCTTCTTCTTGTCCAGCTTGACGCCACTTCCAGTCATGTACAATGCCGCAAGGTGTGCCATCGCAGCCACGTCCCCGAGCTCCACGGCGCGCCGGTAAATCTTCGCGGCTTTCTTATCGGATTTCACGAGGCCGAAGTCACCGCGGCAGTACGCATTTCCCAAAAACGAAACCGCTTCCGGCACCTCGTTCTCCACATGGCGACGAAGACGCGCGAGGTCTTCTGCATCGGTTGTGCGCGGTAATCGACAGAGGGGACACGCGTTTCCGATCTTGTCCTCGCACGATTGGCAGACCTTTCGGCAGCAACAGACGCGAAGCACGCCCGGAGTATTCACTTCCCACTCCTCGAGGCAGATCGGGCACCGCGAGCCGTACCGCGCCGACGTCGGCTCGGGCTCCGGATTCGCCTCGCGCCGCACGCGGGCCGCCTCGTGTTCCGCCGCGATGCGCGCGCGGATTACGTCGGCGTCCGACCGAGGCGCGGGGCCGTAGACCGGGAGCGACGGCGGGGGCGTCGGCGCTTCCGCCCGCGCCGCCTCCGCCGCGCGCTCGTCCCGGATCTTCTTGCACGCCTTCCGGTGGCCTCGGTCGCGCCAATCGATGCGTTGACAATCCGTCGAACAGTAGGCCGTCGTGCCGCAACCGGCGCAAGGCCGGGCATCCTTCTTCCCGCAAATCGTGCATATGTTGAGCGCCAGCTTCGTACGGGTTTTTCGCGCCTCGTACTCTCGCTTCTTCTTCATCAATTCCGGGTCCATGATCTCTGACCGCGCGCGTCCTCTTCGCTCTCTGCGACGTCTCCTCTAGCTCGATCGGCGCAAAATCGCTCAAAATCTTACCTCAGGGCTAGCCCACCTCAAGAGGCGTCTCTAGATAGAGCATCGCGTTCATGTCGTTCTCCATGCCCGCCTCGGCGGCGTCGTCCTCCTTGTGCCAGGCGGGCTTCGCGTTCAAGAACGCCAGAATCCAGACCGCGAAGGTCGGCGCAGATAGGAACGCCGCGACGACGACGCCAAGGCCAAGCACGACTCGCCCGCGCGCAAGCGCAGCATCTCGGGCTCGGGCGACGACGCGGCGTGAAGATCGTTAGGCTATACTCGCGCGTCGAGGCGCGCGAGGTTCCTTGTCGCTGACTCGTGGCCCTTGGCAGCGGCGCGCTCGAACCAGTATCGGGCTTTGCCGAGGTCGACTTCCGTGCCTTTTCCGTCCATGAAACAGCAGCCAAGGTTATTCTCTCCAGGGTTAAAGCCTTGATCAGCCGAGAGCGCGTAGTACCGGAACGCCTCTTCAAATTTTTCCTCAGACTCAAGCAGACTCCCTAAACAAACCTGCCCGACCGCGTCGCCCCGATCTGCGGCCATGCGATACAGCCTCTCCGCCTTCTTCTTGTCCAGCTTGACGCCCAACCCCTTCTCGTACAATATCCCAAGGCAATTCATCGCGTCCACGTTCCCGAGCTCCACGGCGCGCCGGTAAATCTTCGCGGCTTTCTTATCAGATTTCACGAGGCCGAAGTCACCGCGGCAGTACGCATTTCCCAAAAACGTAATCGCTTCCGGCACCTCGTTCTCCACATGGCGACGAAGACGCGCGAGATCTTCCGCATCGTCTTCTGGGCACGGTATGCGACAGAGGGGACACGCGCCGGCGCCGATCTTGTTATCGCACGATCGGCAGACCTTTCGGCAGCAACAGACGCGAAGCACGCCCGGAACATTCACGTCCCACTCCTCGAGACAGATCGGGCAACGCGGGCCGTACCGCGCAGACAGCGGCTCCCGCTCCGGGTTCGCCTCGCGCCGCGCCCGCGCCGCCTCGTGCTCCGCCGCGATGCGCGCGCGGACCTCGTCGGCGTGCGACCGCGGCGCGGGGCCGTAGACGACCTCCTCCGGCGGCGACGGCGGCGCCTCGGCCCGCGCCGCCTCCGCCGCCCGCTCCGCACGGATCTTTTTGCACGCCTTCCGGTGGCCGCGGTCGCGCCAGTCGATGCGTTGGCAGTCCGTCGAACAGTAGGTCGTCGTGCCGCACCCTTTGCAGGGCCGGGCATCCTTCTTCCCGCAAATCGTGCATATGTTGAGCGCCAGCTTCGTACGGGTTTTTCGCGCCTCGTACTCTCGCTTCTTCTTGATCAATTCCGGGTCCATGATCTCTGACCGCGCGTCCTCTTCGCTTGAGCTCATAGATCGTCTCTCCTCGCTCGCGGGTCGAACAAGGCGCTCGCTGTTTTGCCTTGTCCACAAGTGTGGATATTTTTTGCAGACGCGGAGCCGCGCTCAACCTCTAAGGCGAGCCGTTCTAAAGTCGCGCAACACATCGCCGGCATCGTCGATGGCCCGGCGTTGCGTGCTGCTCCTCGTCGCCCTCGGCGGCGCGTTCGCTCGCAAGGAGATCGACCTGAACAAGCTCGACAAGGAGTACCGCGCCGACGACGACGACGCCGCCTGGGAGACGGCGGCCCAGAAGCGTCGCCGCGAGGCGGCGAAAGCGGCGGCCCCCGGCGCCGGCTTCCCCGGAACGGGCGCGCCGGGCGAGACGATCTCGAACGACGTCATGCAGGAGATGATCGCGCGGGCCAAGGCGAACGGCAAGTTCACGCAGGGCGGCACGGGCGGGCTCGGCGCGGCGGCGCCGCCGACGGACGACGACGACGACGGCGACGATGCCGCGAAGCTCCCGTTCGACGCGGAACCCGACGGCGTTTGGAAGGACGCCGACAACTCGATGAAGCTGATGTCCGCGTTCCTCCGGGACGGTCAGTGCGACGACGTCGCCTGCTGCGCCGAGGCCACGCGGCTGTTCGTGGCGCTCCTGCGCACGGGCGGCGTGACCCAGCTCATGCCCAAGTGCATGGCGCCGAACGAGCTCCTGCTCGTGCTCCAGGGGTCGTCCGCCGCGGCGTCTTCTTTTTTTCAGGCGGACCGCATCACCGATCGTCCACGTAGGTCGCAGATCTCGCAGATGGGCCAGATCACCGACTTCTTCCTCGAGCGGCCCGAGATCGGCTTCGTGCAGCACGGCGGCACGCGCCACTACCCGAACGGCACGACGGGCCCCATTCCGCCGCCGACGCCCCGGCCCGCGCCGCCCAAGAAGAAGAAGCGCCGGAAGAAGAAGAAGGCCGCCGACGAGGCGCCGGACCTCTAGGCGGGGAGGCGGGAAGGAGTACTTAGTAATATGTGTCAAAACCAGAGCGCACGCGCGTCCACAAGAGGAGCGTCCTCTAGAGCTTACGCAGGTGCTCGGCGCAGAACCAGCAGAGGAACGAGGGCCGTTTCCCTCTAAAGCCGCCGCCGGCGGAGGGCCGAGTCGTCTCCGCCGCGCGCTGGAGCGCGTCCGCGACGTCGCGGAGCCCGCGGCCGTCGGCGAGCTCGAGCGGGTTCGTATCGGGCGGCGCCGCGAGGACGAGGTGCGCGACGTCCGCGCCGAAGACCTCGACGAAGGCCTGCCCGGAGGTCCTCGGCGTCGACGGCGTACCAGAGCATGGACCGGCCGCGGCCGTCCGGGTGCGCGCAGAGCGCGGAGCTCCCGAGGATCGCGCTCGTCGACCGGAGCCGCTCGCGAAAGGCGCGCGCGTCGGCCTCGCTCTCCAGCGGCAGCAGCTCGAGCGCGCGCGAGATGAGGTCGTCGCTGCGGAACGAGCGGCCCGTCGTCGATCCGTCCGCGGAGATCGTCACGTCGATCTTCGGCCAGATCGCCCGCTCGCGGCGGCCGCGCGCGGCCTCGCTCCGCGCCCGCGCCAGGTCCGCGGCGCCGTCTTCGTCCTCCGCGATGACTCGGAAGCCCTTGCGCGTCGAGGGCGTTTTATCTTCCGGCGGCGAGGGCTTTGGCTCGGGAAACCACCAGTTCATGTTCATGATCCAGCGCGACGTCATGGGCGCTTAAGCTCTGAGTTAGAGCGTCAGATGAGCTCGTCCGCGATATGTTCTTCGGTCTTTTGCTACGACGCACCGGTTTTGGCCCTCGCCGCGTGTCGGCGCCGCAGGCTAATTTTGCCACTAATCGGCGATCTTGGATAGCTGTATTTGAGAGGAGAGAGACGCGGGACTCGACCGGCTGTGCGCGACCATGAGCGCGGGCGAGAAGCGAAAACGGGACGCGGCGCCCGTCGTCACCGTGAAGCGCCGCGGCAAGGCGTGCTCGTCGCGGTTCTTCGGGGTTCGTTGGCATGATCGAGATGGCAAGTGGCGAGCTATGTACACCGACGAGAAAGGCAAGCTGATCCACATCGCGTACTTCGACGACGAGGAGGCGGCGGCCCGCGCCTACAACGCCAAGATCGCCGATCTCGGCCTGAATCGGAGGACGAACTTGGAGTTATTGGGGGTGCTCGTCGAGAAGCCGGCCAGTTCGTCCGAGTTCCACGGCGTCAACTGGCACATACAAAGGGAAAAGTGGCAGGTCCGAGTGTACCGCTCCAAAAGGTGCGGCCTCGACGGCGGAGATCAGGACCTCGGCCGCTACGATGACGAGCGTTCCGCGGCGCTCGCGGCCGACGCCTTCCGCCGCGTCGCGATGCCGGGCCACGAGCCCCACAAAATCAATTTTCCCACGCTCCCGGAGCTCACGACGCAACGCCTCAAGACGCCGACCGAAGTCATCCTCACCCTCGACTTCAACGGGACGCGCCGGACGATCCGCGGCCGTTTCACCGAGGTCAAATACGACCCGTCGGTGCAGAACCGCTCCGCGTGGTCGTACCGCGTGGAGTTCGAGGGTCACGAGGAGGAAGCCGCGGCCCTTGGACTCGAGACGCGGCCCTGGCCCAGAGTCTGGGACACGCTCGTCGGCGACGACTCGAAGTTCGTGAGCTGCACCTTGGCGCCCGACGAGAAGAAGAAGAAGCGCGCGCGCGCGTAAGCAGTTTTGTCCTCTCGGCAGAGGCCTCTCGATAGATGAGGAAGCCGACGTCTATCTACGATTAGAATTAGACGATGAAGAAGAGCTCCTGAGCGATGGTAACGCGCCTTGAGAACTCGGCCAATCGAAGCAACCACTATCGAATTTAGGCCGGGCACCCGTGCAGGGCCGCGTTGTGCTCGTGGACGGGGGTGCAGCCGCGGAAGAGGAGCTGGCCGTAGTTGCCCTGGTGCGCGGCGATCATGGCCAGGGAGCCGTCGTACTTGACGAGGCGCAGCGCGGGCGCGTCGACCTTCCAGGGCGACCAGGTCGCGCGGCTGCCCATGACGCCCGGCGCGCCGTCGCAGCGCGCGCGCCCCACGCAGCACATGTCGTGCGGCGCGCCCGCGGGCACCTCCGTGACGTTGTCGTAGTCTCCCACGTTGCGGATGCGCCGGAGGTCGTCGCGGCTCCAGCGCGGGAGCCAGAGCTGGTTCGCCTTGACGGCGAGCGCGGGCAGGTCCACGGGGTGCGCGAGGGGCTGCATGCGGTGCGGCGACACGTAGTGGCCCTCGTCGACGACGGCGATGACGCGCCGCGCGTCGCGGACGTGGAGCACCTTGGCAGGATAATGGTGATTCAACGTCGCCTCAACGTGAGTGTTCCGCGCGCGCGCGTTCCAAAAAAGCATCCACGCTTCGAGGACGCTCCGAGGGATGATCGCTCGTCCAAAAATCAGCCGAAACGAGTGGAAAGCGGTCGAGATAGGGAGCCTTTGAGGTTGGGGATTTCGCACCTGGTCCGCCTCGCTGTAGTAGACGTAGTGGAAGGGCGCCCAGGCCTTGGCGCTCTTGAGCTTCTCGCGGACGCGCGCGACGGTCAGCGCGCCGAGGAGCGACCTGCGTCCGGCGGACGGGTTCGCCGCGCGCCGCTCGGCGAGAACGACTCGCGCCGGCGCGCGCGGCTTGAAGAAGCGGCCGCGCTTCTGGCTGTCGAGGTGGCAGTCGCTCAGGAGCACGTCGAAGAAGGGCAGGCCGCTCGACGTCCGCGCGAAGGCCGCGTCCGCCGCGGAGCACGTCGACAGCACGACCTGCGCGGACCCGCTCGACCCGGTTCGTCCCGCGGGGGGTACGCGGCGCGCCGCGCGTGCGGCGTCAGCGCCGCGTGGACGCTCCAGAACGTCGCGTTGAGGACTGCGCGGGGGGTCGATCTTACGGTCAGTCGAACGTCGAGAGCCGCGCCGCGCCCGCGCAGTGGCGGCGCATGGCCGGCGCGGACGAGCCCGTGTTGCAGGAGGCGGATTTCGCGCCGCCTGGGCAGGAAAAGAGTGCGAAATGTCCAACTTTGGAGGCTCCTATCTCGGTCGATTTCCACTCGTTTCGGCTCATTTTTGGACGAGCGATCATCTCTCGGAGCGCTCTCGACGCGTGGACGCTTTCTCCGGCACGCGCGCGCGCGGAACACTCACGTTGAAGCAAACTTGAATCACTCTTTTCCTGCCCTGGGCGCCGCAGTCCGGCGACGTCGCGAAGAAGGGGAAGACGGCGACGGTCGAGAGGCGGTGCGGGCTCGCCGTGCGCGCCCGGGCGCTGCGCCGGCGGAGCCGCTCCGCGCGCGCGCCGAGGTGGTCCAGGAGCTCCGCGTCGAGCGTCTCCTTGGCCTCGCCGCGCGCGTCGCGGAGGCCGATGCGCCGCTCGAGCCAGGAGAGGTGCTCGACGCCGCAGTCGTAGAGGTCCACGGACTGGCGCGGCGTCGCGAGCTCCCGCGGGATCCAGCCGCCCGTCTCCATGTTCGTGTTCTCGGCGATCTTTTTGTCGATGCGGTGGGCCAGCACCGTGTCGCGGTGGGCGAGCCAGGCGGCGCCGTAGGCCTCGCCGCTCGGGTCGACGCAGTCGTACCAGCGCTTCAGCTGGTGCGACTGGAGCGCGTCCTGCTGCTCGTGCCTCGGCGCCGCCGCGACGAGCGCGAGGCAGCCCCAGGCCGCGCGCATCGTCACTTCGGATAACAAAGGCTTCAACTTTGTACATTTACCCCGATCTTCGGGGCAGCCTCCGAGGCCAACGTTCCGATGCTCCGAAGATTGCTCCCGCGGCGGCCGCCGTCGGCCCCCCTCCGGCGCCTCTGCGGCGGGCCGGACCCCGCGCTCGTATCGACGCTGCGCGCGCTGCCCGCGGCGGAGCGCGCGGCGCTCTTCGAGGCCGTCGCCGCCGGGGCCGAGGGCGCGGCGGCGGCGCCGTCGGCGGCGCCGTCGAGCGCGCAGCTGCGCCGGCTCTTCGTCGCGACGGCCATCCCCATGGTGGGCTTCGGGTTCGTGGACAACAGCGTCATGATCGCGAGCGGCGAGTTCCTCGAGGTCCAGCTCGGCGCGCTCTTCGCGGTGTCCACGCTCGCGGCCGCGGGGCTTGGCAACCTCGTGAGCGACGTCGTGGGCCTCGGGGCCGGCGGCGTCATCGAGGCCGGCGCGGCCAAGGCCGGCGTCGAGGCGCCGGCGCTGACGGCGGCGCAGGCCGCGAGCCGCGGCGCCGCGGTCGCGCGGCACTCGGGAAGCGCGCTCGGCATCTCGCTCGGCTGCCTCCTGGGCATGTTCCCGCTGCTCTTCTACGACGAGGACACGGCGCGGCTCCGGACCATCTTCGCGCGCTACGACGCCGACGGCAACGGGTCCCTGGACCGGAGCGAGCTGCGGTCCGCCTTCGCGGACGCGAAGACGTTCCCGAGCGACGCGGACCTCGACGGCCTCCTCCGGCGCTACGACGTCGACGGCGACGGCTGCATCGGCTACGACGAGTTCGAGAAGATGGTCAAGGACATCGAGGACAAGTGCCGCTGCGACGCGCGGCTCGACGCGCGGTCCGTCATGGCCCAGGTCGCGACCGCGGAGCGCGCGGACGACGGCGGCCCGTAAGGGGACGGCGGGCGTTTTTTTTTTTTTTGAACGATAGAGCTTGGGGGGGGGGGGCGCCCGGGGCGGCGCGTCGGCGCCCGGGGGCGCTCTTGGTGCTTGGGGGACAGCGGCGCCGCGGCCTCGGCGAGGCCGCGGCGCGCGGGCGCGGGCCTAGACGATGCCCTCGGAGGCGAGGATGCTCATGGCGACGTAGAGGAACCAGAGCATGACGAAGAGCGTCGCGTGTCGGTTCGCCATGGTCCGGTCGCCGCCGAGCTCCGCGCCGTAGGCCTTCCTCCGGTACGCGAGGACGCCGAGGCACGTGCAGGCGCAGAAGACGAAGACGCCGACGCTCAGGCCCAGGTTGCCCGCGGGCACGATGAAGGCCACGTCCTCCGTGAAGCCGATGTTCCGCGAGCCGTCCGGGCCCTTGGTGCCGCGCTTCTTGACGCCGTCGACCTTGCCGCCGTACTTGATGCGCCACTGCTTCTCCGCGGAGCCCCCGGCGAAGCCGCCGGACCAGTAGATGGCGGCGATGGACCAGGGCAGGCCGAGGCCGAGGAAGACGTTCACGCTGTTGGAGCCCGTGACGTTGCCGACGGCCGCGTCCGCGGAGTCGTCGTTGATCGTCGCGGCCTTGGACGCGAACGCGTCCGGGAGCGACGTGCCCAGAGCGACGAAGGTGATGGCCGTCACCGTGTCCTTGAGCCCGAGGCAGCAGCCCATGAGCGCGGCGAGGTCGCCGATGAAGGCCGTGACGATGCCGATGAACGTCAGCGCGACGTAGAAGCAGACCCAGCCGCCGCCGTAGGACGTCGGCGGCACGAAGGCGAAGGCGACCTTCCAGGGCAGCGTGATGATGTGCATGACCCAGTCGCCGGCGGACGCCTTGAAGTCGTCGTCCGCGTCGCCGCCGCCGACCTTGAGCGCGTCCGAAAACTGCTGGCCCCACGTCGAGCCGACGTTGTAGGACGCGTCGTTGGATTCCAAATACTTCTGGACGTTGTCGATCATGTCCTTGGTCTCCGTGTCCGCGACGATGACGACCTTCAATTCCGTGTGCTTGCCGAACTTGGCGCGCTCGACGGCGCACTTGAAGTTCTTGAGCACGATCGTGAACTCGGACTCGCCCTCGTAGCGGTTCGTGTTGATGACGGGGATCTCGATGAACTTCTCGACCTCCGTGTTCTCGAAGACGAAGGTGCCCTCGCGCTCGAAGCCCACGGTGCCCCCGAAGTCCTTGCCGCAACACGCGGTACCGTCGACGAGCTCGTAGTCGCACTGGACCTGGCCCGCGCTTCCGTTGTAGCGGCCGACCTTGACGCGCGCCTTGCCGCAGGTCTCGGCCATGGTCAGCACGGGCCCGCCCTCGGCGCCCTCCTTGGGCGGCTCGAAGCTCAGCTCGCCGGGCTCGTCGTCGTCGATGATCGTGACCTCGCACGTCGACGCGTCGCCGAAGGCCCCCGGCGCGTAGGCCTTGCCGCCGTGGGCCACCTCGAGCAAGTCCACGTAGAAGACCTCGTCGTCCTCCGTCTCGTTGTCGTCGAAGACCTTGATGACGATGGTCTTGAAGTTCTCCTTGTCCGCGAACGTCAATTCGCCGGAGCACGTCTCGTAGTCGCCCGTCCCGCCGACCTCGGAGCCCTTGGCCGTGCCGTCGCGCGTCGCCCACTTGATGGTCATGGGCCCCTCGGCGGGGCTGCGCATGACGTGGAGCGTGACGGCCTTGTCGCTCTCGAGGAGCGCGTACTTCGTGTTGATCTTGCCGTTGACGTCGGAGAAGAAGGCGACGACGTCCTCGGGCCGGTGCTTGGGGCCGGCGGCCCCCTCGAGGTACTTGGCGAGCACCTTGGGGTCCGGGCCGTCGGCCTTGATGACCTTCTGGCCCGTCGCGGCGCGGACCGCGTTCATCCGGAGCACCGCGCGGCTCGGCTTCGCCTTCTGGCCCATCGCGAGCTTCTTCACGAGGTCGTGGCGCTCGCTCTCCTCCAACGTCGGGTCCTGGAGCTTCTTGAGCAGGTCGCTGAACTCGTAGGGCCGGAAGGGCGTACTGCCGACCTGGATGACGTGCGCGCTCGACACGGGCGAGATCTTCGCCGTGTCGAAGTAGCCCCGGTCCGCCGCGTAGGCGAGGGCCACGAGGATGGGGAAGAAGAGGAAGGTGAAGATGGCCTCCCAGATCTCCACGACGTCCGGCGACGTGACCATGAGGATGAAGAGGAGCCAGACGTACGCGAAGACGGAGAAGAACGCCGTGACCGTGTAGACGGACATGTCCTCGATCTTGCGCGTCTCCGTGCCGGGCAGCGACACCATGCAGATGGCGATGATGCAGAACATGTTGAAGGCCGCGGACCCGACGATCGTCGACGGGCCCAGGTCCCCCGTGAAGAACGAGTTCGTCAATATCTCGATGACGCTCAGCAGGATCTCCGGCGCCGACGAGCCCAGGGCCATGAGCGTCAGGTTCGCGACCGTGGCGTTCCAGACCTGGGGGCGCGAACGGTCGAGGGGCGCGACGGTCGGGGCGCGTCCCGCGCGCGCGCGCGCGCGCCGCGGGCGCCGCGGCCGGGGACGCGGGCGCCGCGCCTTGTAGGACACGTCCGTGCCCGGGACCTTCTTCTCCTTGGACGTGATGGTCTCGATGGCGGCCATGAAGACGTCGGCGATGATGGACACGCCGAGGAAGAACCAGAGGAGGCCCAGGAGGTAGAGCACGGCGCGGCCGTAGCGCGAGTTCGACCCCTCGTCCCACGTGCGCTGCTCCTTGTTGCCGAAGAGGGGCAGGAACAGGCCGCTCTGGCCCTGCGACGCGGCGGACGCGCGAGTGACGATGCCTGGCGCGCGGATACCCGGCGCGCGGCCCCGGCGGGGGCAGCCCGGCGGCAGGGAGGTCCGTCGGGCTGCCGGCGCGCGGGCGATCGGCGCGGCGACGCACCTTGTGACAGATGCTGTCCCGCGCGGCCGCGACGAGGACGGGCGCAGCGATGGCCAGCAGCCCGCGCGCGAGCCGGTTGTCCCGGCGCGGCGCCATGGGACGACGCAGTGCGCAAACAACGCTAGCGCGTCGCTGTCCGCTGATGAGAGTAGATCGAGATAGAGAATAGTGAGTTCAACACCTGTAGGTTCAGATATCTTTTGTGCGCGTTAACCCGCGCGCTCGACAAACCCGCGCCCGGGGGGCATTCCGGCGCGGCGCGGCCGGACGCGCTCGCCGGCGCCTCGGGGACCATCTCAGGAGCCCGAAACGCGCCGCGCCCCGCCGAGTCGGGCGCGTTACGCGACGCGGCCTAGCCCGTGGACCGCTTCTTCTTGCCCTCCTTCGTGCGCGTCTTGCGCTTCTCGGCGATCATCCTGTTGTAGTCCTGGACGCGCTGGGAGTAGTTCTTGTCGAGCTTCTGCTGGTGGTTCGTCTGGCCGATGATCTGGAAGACGTCCTCGTCCTGGAGCACGTGGGAGAGGCCGACGCGCTGGGGGCTGTGCTTCGTCGACGTGCCCCAGACCTCGGCGTAGTTGAAGACGACGAGCAGCTCCTTGGAGATGCGCGCCGTCGCGGCCTCGACCGTGATGCCGTGGCGCTGCGACGAGAGCACGACCGGCTCGTCGAGGTCCGGGGGGCAGCCGCGGCGCTTGCAGAAGACGCGCACGAGGCCCATGGCGTCCCACATGCGCGCCAGCAGGTAGTCGAGGTTCAGCTTGAGGTGCACGGACATGACGATCGTGTCCGGCTGCCGCGCGAGCTTCTCGACGTCCTCGAGCGGGATCATGTCGATCTTGTTGTAGACGTAGAGGCACCGCACGTACTTGCGGTTCCCGTTGATGACGTCGATGAGCTCGTCCGTGCCGTAGTCGCCGCGGAACAGGACCTCGCAGTTGTGGAGCCGGAACTCGTGCAGGATCGAGTTCACCGTCTTCGCCGGGTCGTCGCCGAGCTTCGTCAGCGGCACCGTCGCGTTGAACTTGACGCCGCCCGTCGCCTTCTTCACGAGCGCGATGTTCGGCGGCGTCTTGTTCAGCCGCAGCCCCACGGTCTCGAGCTCCCGCTCCAGGATGCCCTTGTGGTCGTCGACGCCCTCCTTGCCCGCGTCCAGGACGATCAAGACGAGGTCCGACGTCCGCGCGACCGCGATGACCTCCTTGCCCCGGCCCTTGCCGTGGGCCGCGCCCTCGATGATGCCCGGCAGATCCAGCAGCTGGATCTTCGTGTCGTTGTAGAGGATGTTGCCGGGGATGCACGTGAGCGTCGTGAACTCGTAGCCCGCGGCCTCGCTCTGCGTGCTCGTCAGCGTGGACAGCAGGCTCGACTTGCCGACGGAGGGGAAGCCGATGAGCGCCACGCGGCCGTCGCCCGACTTCTTGACGTCGAAGCCGTCGCCGCCGCCGCCGGACGACGACTGCTCCTCCAGCAGGGAGCTGCGCAGCTTGCTGAGCTTCGCCTTGATGATGCCGAGGTGGCCCTCCGTCGCCTTGTTCTTCTGCGTCCGCGCGTACTCCGCCTCCAACTCCTTGATCTTGTCGACGATGCCCATGGTCGCGGCGGCGTCTGCGCCAGAGGCGGAGGCCGGCGAGGACTTGGCACCAAGTGGTGGGACGAGCTAAAAACTCAAGCTTTGGGGCCCTGAAGCCCGATTGCAGTTAAGTTGAAGTGTGTGTGATAGGAAGAAAATCGAAACAGAGCCCGCCGTCGGTCGACCTCGCTGCTGCGACGGGCGTCGTCGCGCGGGCTGTGTTTTCCCGTGCCCTCGCGCCGCGGCGATCCGGCCGCGAACTTCGGTTCGTTGCCGCAGCGCGCATGCCACCGTCGAGCTCCCAGGGCTCGCTCGGCCCCGGGGCGCTGCGCGCTGAGAGCGGATCTCTTATGTGACAACGAAGGGGAGGGGGTAGCGGGCCGAGGGTGCGGGCCGGGGCTCGCGCGCCGGAGGCGGCGGCCACGCGCGGCTCGCGCGACTCGGGTGCTGCTCCGCGGCGGGCCCGCCGCTCGACCTTGGGGCGGCGGCGCCGCGCGCGCGGGTCTAGTTGACGACGGACTTGCAGACCGCCGGGAGGAGGCCGAGCGTGCCGAAGGAGTCGGAGAGGTGCTTCGCGAGGCGGCCGCACTCGCCGTGCGTGATCTCGCCGCCCGTGACGTGCTCCTCGGGGTGCTGCTGGATCGTGCCCTCGGGCCACTCGACGGCGTGCGCGTTCTTCGTGGAGCGGCGCGCGATGAAGCCGAAGATGGCACTGCCGTGGTAGGGCACGGGCGCCTCGCCCTCGGCGGCGTTCGTGCAGCTGTGGGGCACGGCGTCGAGGTTGCCGTGGGTCGACGTCGACGAGAGGAGCACCTAGGGAGGGTGGGGTTGCTTTCCTTCGCCGCGGACGAACGCGCACGCGGTCGAGTGGCCCGAGGGCACGATCCAGCGGCGCCCCGAGGAGCGCGTATCTTTCTTTCGCCGCGGACCGGCGTTCCTCTCCACCCCGCCCCCATAGACGAAAACCGGGCTGTGTGTCCAGTCGGACGCGGGCGCCGGACCCTGTTGATCATCTGGCACTCGCCCTTGGTGACCATGCCGACGACGATGGGGTTGTCGTCGACGGTGATCTTGCCAGCGCTCTCGAGCTGGTTCTGCGTGTTGCGGCGCGTGAGCTTCGACGTGTTGAACATGGTCGACCTGCGCGCGCGCGAGCGTCGTCAGAGGGCCTGCCGATGCGCTGGGTCGCGGGGGGCGCTGGCGCGCGCGGGCAAGAAAGCGGTCCAAGCACTTGTGTTCTCGCTTCCTTCGGCTGTGCGGCTGTGGAGGCCCTCTGCTCTGGATCGGCACAGCAGGCGCCAGCGGCACCGTCGACGGTAAACAGCAGCGAAGGTCGATGCCAAACCTCGGCTGCCCCATCATCGTTGGCGCCGGCAGCGCTCCCGATCGGCATGGGCAGCGTCGCGCGGCTCGAAGCGCCATCCGGAGCGAGGTGATCCAAGATGACGAGCCACGCGCCTCTGCGGAGATAACGATTTTTGCGGGCGACGTCTCCTACCCCGGTTGACGCGCCGCCATGGTGCTGCTCGAGAGCGAGAAGAAGGTGCGGCGGCGCTGCTGGTGCGGCAGCAAGATCCAGACGGCGACGCTCCCCGACGGCAACACGACGACGGACTTCCAGAACTGGCGCGTGTCCTTCGGCGCGGCGAAGCCCAAGCGGAAGCGCACGAAGGTCGTCATGGGCCTGACGAAGGAGGCCATCGAGGCGGACCGCACGGGCGGCTACCTCCACGAGCGGCTCCTGGAGGTCGTCGCGCCGCAGAATTTCTTCGGGGCCGACTACTACTTCATCGAGTACCGCATGCCCGAGGCGCCCTTCACGGTCCGCGTCGCCATCGACCGCGTCGACCAGGTCGTCCGCGCGTACAAGGAGTTTGCGACGATCCCGACGAAGATCCAGCGGCGGCTCATCCTCAAGGTCATCCCGCGGGACCCCGACCCGGACACGCCCGTCTTCGACCACCGGCCGGCGAAGACGGTGAAGACTCAGCTCAAGACGCGCGCGGCGATGACGCGCTACCTCGTCGACCTCTACACGCGCGACGAGTTCTCGCTCAAGCAGCTCGGCGAGTGCATGACGCACAAGATGCCCGACCTGCGGGGCGTCGTCCACGACCAGGTCCCGGCCCACGAGAAGGAGGAGCACGACTACCTCATCGCGGCCAACAGGGCAGCAAAAGAGAGCGAAATTCCCAACTTCAAAGGCTCATATCTCGGCCGTTTTCCACTCGTTTCGGCTGATTTTTGGACGAGCGATCATCTCTCGGAACGGTCTCGAAGCGTGGATGGTTTTTCTGGAACGCGCGCGCGCGGAACACTCACGTTGAAGCGACGTTGAATCACCCTTGTCCTGCCCAGGCGGCCAAGGACAAGAACAAGCGGCTCACGCTCGAGCAGCGCTACATGAGCGACGAGATCGACCTCCTCGCCTACGGCGACCTGAGGGACCCCGAGCGCAAGGAGAAGCGGCTCCACGACATGGCCGTCTACCCGCTGCCGGAGCGCATGTACACGTGCGTCGTCTGCGCGAAGCCCGAGTCCGCCGTGATCAAGTGCATGGAGTGCAACAACCGCACGTGCCGCGACTGCATGTACGCCAAGTTCATCAACTGCCCGGACGACCGCGCCTTCGTCCTCCTCCACCACATCTACTGCCTCAAGCTCGGCGAGCCCATCCTCCACCAGTCCAAGCACAAGCGCGCGCCGAAGAAGGCCGAGCACTAGGAACGGGCCGGCCTACCATATCCCGCCGGCGGGATATGGTAAACGCCGCTTCAACGTGGGCTTCAACCTCAAACCTTGCACTGTTAGGCCTCCGAGTCACGGGTCCACGGCGACGGCCTTGGCGACCGGCGGCGCGCCCGCGGGCTCCGGCTGGTCCGCGACGACGACGGTCGCCGCCGCGAGGGGCTCCGGCGCCACGCGCATCTCGAGGCCCGCCTCGGCGTCGACGTAGGCCGTCGCGACGGGCGGCGCGAGGTAGTAGGGCACGAGGACGTACACGGGCGCGCCCGCCGGCGGCGGCGCCGGCGGCGGGCCGCGGCGCAGCTGCGCCATGAACGCGATGATCCGCGCCGTCGTCACGTTCGCGAACGCGCAGACGCCTGCGCCGCGCGGCGAAATCTCTCTTGAGGAAAAAAAGGGTCGCCGCGGGGACGCGGGCGCGCGCAGGGGCAGAAGTAGCACTGCCAGGCGAAGAACGAGGCCGTCGTGAGCAGATTGGGGACGCAGAGGCAGCCCGCGCAGGCGCAGCAGGCCCAGCCGCAGACCCCGAAGAGCGCGCGCGGCACCGCGACGCCCGTGCGGCAGCCCCGCGACTGGCCGCAGCAGCCCGGGTAGAACGCGAAGAGCAGGAACGCGACGAGGTGGAGGCCCGCGCCCGCGAGGCCGACCTGGATCTTGCGCTTCGACTGGCCGAAGACGACGAAGAGCGCCGTGCCCGCGACCAGGTACGCCAGCGCGGCGCGGCCCTGCCGCCCGCCGAGGGCCCGGCACAACGCGGCGTCGCACGGCGACGCGATCCCGTCGTCGCGGATGGGGCCGTCGCAGCCCGCGGCCCGGACGAAGGCGCCGGCGCCGAGGAGCCCCGCCGCGCAGATCGCCGCGTTGACGCCCCAGTAGACGGGGCGGCGGCGGTGCGCGCGGTACCAGCGGTCGTCGTCGTAGTAGACGGTGGTGTTCGAGGGCGTGAACGGCGACGTCGGCGCGGCCGTCGGCGCCGGGCTGCTCCCGGTCGCGCAAAGGCAGCCGCCCCAGGCGACGAGCCACGCCAGCAAATGCATCCGGGCGGGGTCGTTGTCAGGACGCGGGGCTGCGGGCCATGCTCTTGCAAGAGCGGAATGCCGCAGCGCGGTAAACAACACTTCACGGAGACCTTCACGATTAGGACGGCTCCTCGCGGTTCAAGGCCTTGAAGTCGGAGGCCGCGCCGACGCTCGTCGCCGTCGCGCACCGAGCCACCCGCAACGAACGCCATGCTGCGCCGCCTCGTCGCGTTCGTCGCGCTGGCCGCGCTGCCGCGCGGCGCGCCCCTGTCCCTGCGGGAGGTCGCCGGCGCCCCGCTGCGCCTCGTGGGCCTCGGCGGGCGCGAGGAGCCCTACCTCGTCGAGTTCTACGGCATCATGTGCGAGCAGTGCGACGAGATGCTCGGCCCCATGCGGCGCCTCGAGAAGAAGCTGGGCACGAAGATCCTCAAGTACGAGGTCTGGAACGACCCCGCGGCCTACAAGCTCATGCAGTTCCTCGACAAGACGCCCGCGGGCCGGAGCCAGTGCGGCGGGCTGCCCTTCTTCTACAACCGGAAGACGGGCGCCGTCGTCTGCGGCGCGACGACGGAGGCGAACCTCGAGGACTGGGCCGCGGGCCGCAAGCACGCCGTCGTGCTCACGCCGCCGCCGTCGCCCGACCAGATCAAGGTCCAGGGCCGCGTCACGGGCGCCAAGGCCCGCCAGCAGCGCGTCGCCAACGAGAAGAAGCGCAAGGCCGTCGAGGACATGCGCGACCGCCAGCTCGAACCCGGCGCCGCCGCGGGCCTCGGGAGCAAGCTCCCGGCGAACCCGCGGCTGCCCAAGGGCCTCAAGCCCCTCGGCGGCGACCCGGCGGCGGACGCGGCGCCGTGACCGCGCGAGCGCGCCTAAGCCGGGAGCCGCGTCTCTTACGGGTCGGGGGGCGGGGTTCGGGGGCGGGGGGTCGGCCGCCGCGCGGCGCCGCCGGCGGGCCTAGCGGCGCTTCCGGCAGTAGCACGTCGCGAGCTCGAGCTTCTTGACGAGGAGGCCCGCGGCGGAGCAGTAGGCCTTGCACGCCTTGCGCGCCGTGCGGCCCGTGACCGTCTCGTCGGAGGCGAAGGTCTCGCCGTCGATGGTGCACAGCTGGGGCGCGACGTAGAAGGGCTCGTCGCCGGCGGCGGCGTGGCCGACCGTCGGGCCGAGCGCGCACTGGCCCTGCGCGGCGTTGGCGACCATGGCGACGGCGAGCCCGCCGAGCGTCGTCGCGGCGGACCAAAGGCCGACGGCGGAGAGGAGCAGGCCCGTCATGTCGCCGCCGCCGTCGTCGTCGTCCTCGTCTTCTTCGTGGTACCAGCAGCCCTCGCCGTTGTTCTCGCAGTTCGAGATGTAATTTTCGCACGAGTACCCGTTGTCCCAATGACAGCGAGAATCGGACACGCACGCGTCGTAGTCGTACTGGTACATCGCATCGCACTTCGGCTCGCAGCCGTAGTAGCTCGCGGCGTTGTGGCCGTACCAGCCGGCCGTGCACTCGTAATTCCAATCGCAGGTCTCGCCCGTGTCCCAGCCGCAAGTCTCCCCACAGTGCTGCCACGCTTGGTAGTAAAGGCACGAGTCGTCACTCGCGCACGAGTCGTAGTCGCTATGCTTCGCCTCACACTTCATCTCGCAGGAATCCCCGTTCCACGCACAGTGATCGCTGCACTCCCATTGGCCCTTCGTCCAACACACATCCCGGCATTCGGACCAGGCGGAGGCCCATTGGCACGCGCCGTCCGCGGCGCACTCGTCTTCGCCGCTCAACACGCGGCAGCCCGTCTCGCAGACGCCGTCCTCGTAGTCCCAGGAGCAGTAGTCATCCCTACACTGCCATTCCTCGAATTGGGAGCACGCCGTTTGGCAGCTGTGCCAGGAGTCGATCCACTGGCACAGCGAGCCGTCCGCGTCGCACTCGTCTTCGCTCAAGGTGCCACATCCCGCCTCGCAGACGCCGTCCTCGTAGCTCCAGGAGCAGTAGTCATCCCTGCACTCCCATTCCTCCTCGAATAGGGAGCACGCCGTTTGGCAGCTGTCCCAGGAGTCGATGAACTCGCACATGGGCTCCGCGTCGCACGCGTCTTCGCTCAAGCTGCTGCAGCTCGTCTCGCAGACGCCGTCCTCGTAGGACCACGAGCAGTAGCTGCCGTCGCACGCCCAGTCCTCCGTGTATTCGGAGCACGCGTTTTCGCAGTTGTCCCATTTGTCGACCCACTCGCACGCATCGTCCGCGTCGCACCTCCCCTGGAACGCCCCGTGCTTCGCTTCGCAGCTTTCCGGTTCCTCGTAGTCGTAGCCGTCCGGCACGGTCGCGCAGCAGGCGTAGGAGCAGGAAGACATCGTGGGATAGGCCGGCACGGGATAGTAGCCCTCGACGCACGTCGCGGGCTCGTCCCAGTCCATCGACGCGCAGCAGTCGTTCCCGGAGCTCGTACCTACCCGCGCGCGACGACGACATTTTGCGGGGCCTCGAAGTCGCCACGGGACGCAGGTGTATACATATGTCGGAGAAGCAGTCGCGGTGGTCGTCGTCGACGTCGTAGCTCCCGTCTTCGAACCAGCACCCGTCGTCGTCGCTGTACTCGCAGCTCGTCTCGCAGACGCCGTCGTCGTAGTCCCAGGAACACTGGTCATGGCAATTCTCCTCCTCGCGCCCCTCACAAGTCTCCTTACACTCATGCCAGTCTTGCACCCACACGCACCCGTCGTCCTCGCCTGTGTGGAAATCAACCACTTGTTTGGGAAGTCCCGACCAAACTTACGCCCACATTGAAGTCGGGTTGAAGATTTGATTTCTACACGGGTGCTCGCCGCACTCGTCCTCGTCGCCGTACTTGGCCTCGCAGCCCGCCTCGCAGACGCCGTCCTCGTAGCGAAGCGGCGCTCGATCATTGTACTGTATAAGGCTGCCTTGTACAACAACGCGCCAACATTGTCAACAAAAGGGGCATGCCGGCAACATCGGCGCCGCCTCTTCCGCAGGATGGCTCCAGCGCAGCTTCGGCCAGCGCTGCTCTCCTGCCTGCTCTCCGGCGCTGCGGCGCTCTCCTCGTCGATCGCCGCGCCGCGCGCCGCCGCCTCCTGGCGGAGCGCGGACTGGTCGTCGTGCTTCCGGTCGGCGACGGAGTGCCGCGACCGGGTGGACCTCGACGTGCTGCGCGGCGCCGTGCCGCCCGCGCTCGAGGGCACGGTCTACAAGGTCGGCCCCGGCCGCTTCGAGGCCGGGGACGAGCCCTTCGCGCACTGGCTCGACGGCGACGGCTTCGCGTTCGCCGTCGAGTTCAGCGGCGGCGCGGCGTCGTTCGTCGCGCGCTTCGTCGAGACCGCGGGCTTCGCCGACGAGGCGCGCGCCGGGGCCGTCGTCTGGCGCACGACCTTCGGCACGAACCGGCGCGGCGGCCCGCTGGCGAACGCCTTCGACCTGCGCCTCAAGAACCCCGCGAACACGGCGATGCTGCCGCTGCCGGGCCGCGGCGTCGTCCTCGCGCTCTGGGAGGCGGGCCCGCCCCACGCGCTCGACGCGCGCACGCTCGAGACGCTCGGCCCGGACGACCTCGGCGGCGCGCTCGCCGTCGGCCCGCCCGGCGCGCTGCCGCTCGCCGCGCCGGCCGCGGTGCCCCTCGCGACGGGCGACGCGCTGAGCGCGCACGCCAAGACCTGCGCGGCGACGGGGCGCACGGTCTGCTGGTCCTGGCGGAACGCGGCCGTCGGCGACGACCTCGCCGTGCGCATCCTCGAGCTCGACGCCGGCGGCGCCGTCGCGGAGCGCCGCGCGGCGTCGACGCTCGAGGGCGCCGCGTTCGCGCCGCACGATTTCGCCGTGACGCGCGACGCGTGCTCCTGGGTCACGTGCCCGACGAAAGTCGAGCCGCTCCCCTACATCCTGGGCCTCCGGGGCCCCGCGCAGACCGCGTTCTTCGACGGAGCGAAGATCGCCGCGGGCGAGGGCGCGACGGTGCACCGCGTCGGCCGGCGCGGCGGCGGGCCCGCGGAGCGGGTCCCCTGCGCGGGCGCGTACCACGCCGTCCACGTCGCCGCGGCCTGGGACCGGACGGTCCTCGCGTGCTGCTGGCCGCCGGCGGCCGTCGCGTCCATGGCCGAGCGGCGCGCCGACGTGCTCGGGGACTGGGGGCAGCTGCTCGCCGGCGACTTCTCGAGCGTCGCGGTGACGCAGCTCGTCCGCTTCGACCTCGACCGCCGCGTCGGCGGCCGCGTCGCGCCCGAGGTGCTCTGCGGCGGCGCGCACTTGGACCACGCGAAGCAGCACCCGCGCTACGTCGGCCTCGAGGCGCGCTACGTCTTCGCGTCCGCGGGCGACGGCGTCGCCCGCGGCGACGCGGCGGACCCGGCCTACGCGGCGCCCCAGCCGCCCCAGGCCTTCGTGCGCGTCGACGTGGCCGGCGCCGGCGCCGTCGCCGACGCGTGGCGCTGCGGCCCGCGGCGCTTCGTCGACGACGCGGTCCTCGTGGACGTCGGCGACGGCGAGCTCGACGTCTTCGTCGTCGCGCCCGTCTTCGACGCGGCGACGAAGACGTCGACGATCGTCGTCCTCGACGGCGGCGACCTCGCGGCCGGCCCCGTCTGCGAGCTCGCGCTCCCCGGCGACATGTTCATCCCCTGGGGCCTCCACGGCGCCTGGGCGCCCAGGCGTAAGCGACGGTGAGTCGTCCGACGGTGCGCCCAGACTGCCGGGGCCGCGCGCGCGAGCGAGTCTCCGAGTCCGGGGCCGTCACGGTCGGCCGCGCGCGCGCGCGCGCGAGCCCACACGACGGCGGCGGCGTTACCCCAGGAACCCCCCGGGCAGGGCGAGGCAGCCCGCGTCGCAGAGGCCGACGTCGAGGACCTGGTCCGGGTCGTCGTAGGCGAAGGCCTGGTACTCGAGGCGCTTCGCGAGCTCGTCGTCGCGGCCGTCGACGGCCGTGTCGTAGATCTGGTCGATCTCGAGGCGGCGGTAGGCGGCGCGCTCGCTGACGGCGTGGGCCATGTCCGCCTCGTCGTCGTAGGTCTCGTGCCACGACTCGTCGTCGCTCTCGGCGCGCGCGACGTCGAGGTCGACCGCGCGCGCGGCCTTGGCGTCGCCGTCGAAGCCGAAGGCGAAGAGGTCGTAGGCGAAGCGCGCGTAGGGCGCGCCGGAGTCGTCGAGCATGGACCCGAAGACGACGCGGCACCCCGGCAGGAGCCGAGTCGCGGACTCGGCGTCGAGCGTCGCGCCGTCGACGTAGACGCGCGCGAGGGACCCGTCGGAGCGCCGCAGGGCGCGCGCGTAGACGGCGTCGCCGTCGGCGCGCCGCACGCACCGGATCTTCGCGTGCTTCCGGCTCACGAAGGACAGCTTGCCCGCGGCCTTGCGCTCGTGGTCGACGAGGCGCACGTCGGCCCGCGAGTCGCGGCCCAGGAGCACCGTGGACCCGCTGACGAGCTCGATCTCCCTGGGCTGCAGCCCGCAGACGCTCCGCAGCACGAAGGCCACGCGCCGCGCCGGCGGGCCGGCCTCGCTCGCGGCGTCGTCGTCGTCGCGGCGCGCCGGCTGCGGTGCCGGGTGCGGCTCCTCCGGCGGCGGCGCGGTCGCGGGCGCGTCCTTCGCCATCGCTTCGGGCGCGTCCTCGTCGTGGTCCTCCTCGCCGAAGGATCCCGACCGCGCCTTCGTCGTCATGGATCTACCAAAAGTAGTTGGCCATCGGCTGCCCGGGGCTTTCGCGCCGACGGTGCCGTTTTGGGTGCCGATGGGCTGCCTCTAGGCAGCGCCCCATGGACGCGCTCGCGTCGCGCGCGCTCCCGACGGGCCGCTGCGTGGCCCTCGCCACGCGCTGCAGCGGCTGCGCGCACCGCGAGGGCACGCGGCGCTGCTCGCGCTGCGGCGTGGCGACGTACTGCGACCGGCGCTGCCAGGCGCGCCACTGGCCGGACCACCGGCGCACCTGCGACCCGGCGCGGCGGCGGCGCCAGCCGCCGAACTACTACGACCTGCGCCAGCGGCGGCCGGCGCCGCCGGACGCGGCGGCGGCGGCGTGCCCGCCCTGCCCGCCCGCGGCGGTGCTCGAGACCGAGTGACCGCGCGGCGCGGAGCGCTCCGGCGGCGCCCACCGGTGGTTTTCGTCGCGGGCGGCGTCCGCTGGGGCCGCCGCCGACGGCGTGTGCGTCTCCGGCCTTTCTCGGGGGACGCGGCCCGGGCCGCCGCGCCGGCGACGCGTCCCGGGCCCGCGCGCGTCCCCGCGAGCGCCTCCGCGTAAGCGGTGCGAGTCTGCCCAGCGGCGCCGGCCGGCACATCGAGACACTGAGCCGTATTTACGCGTCGAGGCGGAGCCGGTTCGTCGCGAGGAGCGCGTCGAGGGCGCCGGAGACGCCGAGGAGCGCGGTCATCGCGCCGACCTCCGTCGTCGCGTTCTTGTGGATCTTCGCGAAGAGCTCGTCGAGGGACGGGTGGGCGCCGAGGTCGCCGCCGTAGATGTCGAGGAGCGCGTCGACGACGGGCACGAGGCGCGACCCGTAGCGCGGGTGCGCGACGTGCGCGGCGGCGAAGGAGAGCACGGGCTCGAGGCGCTTCTCGTCGCGGTCGCCGAGGGCGATGGCCCGGCCGCCGCGGCGGTCGAGCTCCTCAAGCACGGCGACGACGACCGTCGGGTCCCGCGTCTTGAGCGCCTCGTCGAGCGCGTCCTTGTAGCGGAAGCCGCGGAGCGCGTCGTCGTGCGCGGCCAGCTTCGGCGCGCGCGCGCGCTTCGCGACCCTGCCGTCGTCGACGCAGGCGCCGACGACGACGAGCGGCTCGGAGCCCTCGGGGGCGCCCGGCGAGAAGGCCTTGCCGCGGCCGAAGTGGCGGAACGTGCCCGGCGGCGGCTTGAGCGTCTGCCGCCGGTCGTCGCGGCGCGCGGAGACGTCGCGCGCGCGGCCGTCCAATAAACCGGCGTTCGTGCCGACGCAGAGCACGCGGTTCAGCAGGCGCGCGTCGCCCGCCGCGTCGCCGCCGGCGACCGCGATCGCGTTCACGGGCGCCGCGTAGCGGCCGCACCGCGCGACCGTCGCGTGGTCCGCGAGCGAGTGGACCTTGACCAGACCGTCGAGGCCGCCGCTCAGCAAGCGCGTGCGCGCGCCGTCGACGGCGAGGCACGTCGCCGACTTGGCGTGCGCGTCGCGGAAGCGGTGCAGCACGGCGTCGTCCAAACCGTCCCAGAGCGCGACGTCGCGGCCGCCGGCCGTCGCGAAGAGGTTGCCCCCGGGCACGGCCACGATGGTCTCGCAGCGCGTGCCGTGGTCCCAGGTCCGCGCGGCGCGCGCGCCGCCCTGGCGCAGGTCCCAGAGCTTGGCCAGCCCGTCGTAGCCGCACGACGCGACCATGCCGTCGCCGCGCGACGCGAGGCCCGTCGCCGCGTCGGCGTGGGCGTTCTCGACGCGCCGCACGCCCGCGCCCGTCGTCACGTCCCAGAGCACGAGCGTGCCGTCCGCGCCCGCGGAGCACACGGAGTTGTCGTGGCCCCAGCACGCGGCCTTGGCCGCGCGGCCCGCGCCGTGGCCCTTGGCCAGCCTGCGCAGCGTCGCGCCGCTCGCGGCGTCGACGAGGTGCACCGCGCCCTCGGCGTCGCCGACGGCGATCAGGCGGCCGTCGCCCCGCCAGCACGCGCCCTGGGCGACTGCCTTGAACCTCCCGACGGACTTCCGCCGCGGCGCGTCCCAGCTGCTGCCGAGGCGCGCGCCCACGGACAACACGTGGACGTCCAGGCCCGCGGCGACGCAGACGCGGTACACGGGCGCGCCGTCGGGGCCGCGCACCTCGCCGGGCGCGAAGGCGACGGCGCTGATGGGGCTCGGGAAGTCGCAGGCGAAGGACGGCTTCAGGCGGCCCCAGTAGCGGCTCTCGCCCGCCTCCTGCGTCGACGTCGACGCGAAGGCCGCGAAGCGCTCCGCGCGCGTGCGCTTGAAGGCGGACATGTGCGCGTGAGCGGAGCTAGCAGCTCGGCGGGCCGGCCATCGATCGCCGGAGGCAAGGAGCCGGAGGTGAAGAGATGGTGAAGTGGAGTATAATGAGCATGGGCTGGCTCAGGAAACGCAGCCCGAGTCGATGAAAGCTTCGCGGGCTGATGGCAGCGCAGCCCACGCGTAGTCGATGGCAGCGCACTTGCTTCGGCTCCACGTGCTCGGAGCACTATTCTCCGATGCCGCGGAGCTGCCCTGCCTCGACGCCGCGACGACGGTGCGCTGCGACCTCGCCATGCAACGACCGCGCACGACCGCCGTCCACGTCGCCTTCCGCGGCGACTCGTTCCGCGGGTTGAGCTACGGCGCCCCCGGGAAGCTCTCGCACGCGTGCGGCGCCGACGCCGAGGCCATCCAGGCGGCGACGGCGAGAGCGCAGCTTCTCTTTCTCGTCGAACCCTTCGAAGATCGCGGCGTCCGCGTCGACGTCTCGCTCCACACCTACGCCTGCGGCGCGAACTCGCGCCTCGCGGACGCCCTCGTCGCGGCCTACCGCGCCGGCGACGCGAACCGCACCGTGTCGCTGCGCCTCCTCGAGCGGCGCGGCTCGAACCAGGGCACGCTCCTCCGGTCCGCGGCCGAGGCCGCCGCCGGCGGGTCCTACGCGGCCGCGCTGCTGTGGCGCTTCGACGTCGTGCCCAGCGCCGAGCTGCGCGACTGGGCGCCGAGCAGCGTCGAGCGACAGGAGTGTTTTTTCGCGTGAATTTCGCCTGAAGATGTGAAGAAATCCGACCCCGTCGCACTTGGTAGGCGCCGGGGCTCCAACCGTTCGTCGCCTACGCCGGAGATTGGGCGCTCCAGTTTCCGGGTTGGTTCGCCGCGTGCGCGGCGGCCATCTTCCGCTCGGACTGCGTCGTGGCGTCGACGTCCAAGTTCCACGGCATGCTCGCGTGCACCTGCCGGTCCAACGTCCAGGCCGCGCTCGACGCCGCGGGCGGCGACGTTTCGCTCCAGAACGCGGGCTGCGCGAACCCGACGGGCTGCCGCGCGCCGCCCGGCGAGCTCCCGCGGTTCGCGGTCTACCGCGACGACTTCACGCACGTCGGCGCCGCGACGTGCCGCTTCCTCGAGGGCCTCGGCGGGCCGCCGTGCCTGGACCCCGTCGCCGCGAAGCAGCGCGCGTGCGCGCTGGCCGCCGCCCCGTGGCCCCGGGCCTGCGCGCCCAAGGACGACGAGGCCGGGCCGCGGGACGCCATGGTCTGCGCGCGGGGCTGGCGCTGCCGACGGTAACTTAGGACCCCGCCTTCGCGTCGGCCTTGTCCGCGGCCTTCTTCTTGTGGCGCGGCGACGACCGCGCGTGGAAGGGCGTGTACATGGAGCCCGCGTTCGACCGCGAGAACATGCGCCGGGGCGTCACGCGCGCGGTCCGCGGCGTCGACGAGGACCGCGGCGTCGGGTTCACGGAGGACCGCGCGGAGCCCAGGGCCGCCTTGAGCGCCGCGGCGCTGGCCTCGCCGATGGAGAGCGTCGGCAGGGACTGGGAGCTTTGCGGGAACGCGCGCGGCGACGCGTCGGGCGACGCGCCCGACGACCGCGGGGACCCGGCGCCGCTCGCGCCGGCCGCGCCGCTCCGGGGCGTCGCCGACGGGGACGCGCCGCGGCTCCGGGGGCTCCGGGGGCTCGTCAGCGGCGACCGGTTCTTGGCGACGCCGCCCTTGGGCAGCTGCGCGCGCGACGCGGAGAAGCGGCGCCGCGACGCGGACGGCGAGCCCGGGGGCTGGCCGTGGAGGCCCCGCGCGCCGCCGCCCTTGGGGCTGCCGCGCGCGCCGTCGAGCGACGCGCCGGGGAGCGCGCGCGGCAGGCCGCCGGGCACCTTCGGGCTGCCCGGCGGCTTGGGCTTCGGGCTGCCCGGCGCGTCCGGCGGCGTCGCGGGGCGGCTCCCCGGCCGGATGTCGTCGTGGGACCCGGAGAGCGACCGGCGCCGGCCGCTCGGCTGCGGAGACGCGGCGCCCGGCGCGAGCGTGTCGCCCGAGTTGGCGCCGCGGTACTTGAAGGGCCCGCCGCCGCGCGCGGAGTTGAGCCGCGAGCTGTCGAGGCGGCCGCTGTCGAGGAGCTCGCGGGGCGTCGGGTCGTCGCGCGTCGGGAGGTTCGAGCTCCGCTTGTCGCCGGGCTTGACGTCCTTGCGCGGCGTGAGGTGGAGCCGGAGCGACTTGCCGCTCCGCGAGCTCCGCGGCGTGCGCCGGCCCGAGAGCCCGCCCGACGGCCGCCGCCGCGCGGACTGGGGCCGCACGCCCTGGAGCGCGGGCACGGCCGCGCCGCCCGACGCCTTCTGCATCGACTCCTTGCGCTTGAGCTCGTAGGCCTCGGACATCTTGTTGCCCCGGAGGCGCAGCAGGTTCTCGAAGGTGATGAGGCACGCCTCGACGCCCGTCTCGCCGACGCCCTTGCCCATGAGGTCGAAGAAGAGGCGGAACTCCTCCTTGGTGATCGTGTCGTCCTCGTCGATGTTGTCGAGGAGCGGCATGATCTCCGCGGAGACCTCGTCGTCCTGGATGAGCTCCGCGAGCTCCTCCTTCTCGATGGTGCCGTTGCCGTCGAAGTCCATGCCCTCGAAGACGGCGTCCATGCGCTCGTACAGGCCGATGGACGCGGCCTCCGTGTAGCGGTCCTCAACGATGCCCGACATGTCGAGCGACGACCGCCGCTTCGCCTCCGCGCCGCCGCCCCCCTCGAGCATGGACCCCGTCGGCAGCGCCGACCGCTGGGCCGCCTCGGCCTCGAGCAGGGCGCGCTCCATGGCCTCGATCTCCGCGTTCTCCCGGAAGGAGATCAGGTTCTCGAAGTTCGTCAGCGTCGACTCCACGAGGTCGTCGCCGCCAAAGTGCCAGAGGTTCGCGAGGAACTGGACCCACTCCTGCATGGTGATGGAGCCGTCCTGGTCGATGCAGTCCACGACCTCGAAGAGGCGCCGCACGGAGCTCGAGCCCTCGCGGCCCTCCAATAGTTCGAAGTCGTAGAGCGTGATCTCGCCGTCCGCGTCCGTGTCGACGCCTGGGCGGGAAACGAAATATTCAACACGACTTCAATGTGAGCTTATTCGACAGTTTCGACGCGAGGCTTTCTGCCGTGCTTCGAGAACTCGACGAGAGCGATCGATTCGTCCACAAAGTAGCCGAAACGACTTCGATTTGACCGAGCTGGAGAGGTTTGAAGTTTGGCTGGACAGGGCCATGCCACTGGTTGATTTCGGCACAGGTCGACGCCGGCGAAGACCTCCTCGACCCAGACCTCCATCTCCGTCGCCGCGATGTGGGCGCAGAAGCTCGTGTACTTCTCGCGCTCGCTCTCGTCGTCGTCCATGAGCTTGGCCATGTACGCCTCCTCGGCCGCGAGGCGCGCCTTCGACTTCGTCATGGCCTTCCAGCTCCTCCCGTCGGTCCCCAGGGCCGCGGCCTCGGCCTCCTTCTTCGCCGCGTGCTCCTTCTTCAGGTCGCGGATACTCTGGCGGCTGCCCGCGCCGGGCTTCTTGTTCTTGCCCGCCTCGCGGCGCTGCTGCGCCGCGGCCTCGCGCTCCTTGCGCACGCGGTCCCGCTCGGCGATCTGCGCCTCCCGCGCCTTGGCCAGGAGCTCGGCCTGCGACGGGCCCGAGGGCTTCTTCTCCTCCTTCTTGCTCGCCTTCGACGCCTTGCCATAGCGCGGCGGCGGCATCGTGGGCAGCCCGCAGAACTGCAGCGCCGTTCCTGAAGGGCACCATCGGCAAGTTCAAGGTGCCTACAAAATCTCTCGAGCAGCTCACGCTCGCGAGAAGGGCTCCCCAGTTGCAACCGCTTTCAAAACCGGGCGTCTCTCGCTGCCCCGCGCGCGACACGAGAGGGGACATGGCGTCGGGGAGCGACGCGATCCTGCCGCCGGCGCCGCCGGGCGGGAAGGACGAGGCCCTCGCGGGGCCCGACGCGCCGCCGGCGCCGCCGGCGCCGCCGGCGGCCGGCGGCAGCCCCGACGCGGCCCAGGACGAGGCCGAGGACCAGGAGGCGGACATCGAGAAGGTCTACCGCTTCCGGGACGCCATCATGAAGGGCGCCGAGGGCCTCGGCGTCGAGACCAAGGGCGACCTCCTCTCCCTGTTCCTCGCGCGGGGCGTCGCCTGCGCGGCGCCGGACGCGCCGGCCAAGGTCGTGCCGCGGCCGCACTTCGACGACCTGCTCGGCGAGCTCGGCATCGACGCGTCCGAGGGAAGTGTGACGTGGATCGCGTCCCACTTCGCCGTGCCCGACGCCGTTTCGGCCGACGACGCGCCCGAGGCGCCCGGCGCGCCGCCCGTCGACGTCGTCGGCCTCCTCGACTACCTCCAGCTGACGCCCGAGGCCGAGGAGCAGACGATCCTGGCGAACCTCCACGACAAGCTCTGCGACGGCGCCGCCGCCGTGGGCATCTCGACGAAGGAGGAGCTCTGCGCGTTCTTGATGGACTCGGACGCGTGTACGGAAGGCGGCGCGGTGGACGCGGGCAAGCTCGGCGACCTCGCCAAGGCGCTGGCCGACGCCGTCGCCGCGGGCGGCGGCTGGGACGAGGGCGAGGCCGTGGACCCGCTCAAGTTCTGGGCGGCCGTCGCGGCCGTCGACGGGTCGCTCGCGGACGACGACGAGGCGCAGCGGACGCGCGCGCTCGTGGGCCAGGTCTACACGAACGACGACGGGTCCGTCGACGCCGTGCACCTGCTCCACGATTTACGCTTGTGGCCGGGCGTCGAGGAGAGCGAGCACTGGAACGCGCTCGCGGAGGACCTCCGCGCGAAATTGTGCGAGGGCGCGGCGGCCGCGGGCATCAAGACCAAGGAGGCGCTCTGCGCGCTCTTCGCGGACGACGAGGGCCACCCGAAGAAGATGCGCGTCGACGAGTTCGTCGAGGTCTGCCGCGAGTCGCTGGGCGTCGACGTCGCGGCGCCGGACGACGACGAGGACGTCGACGACGGCGACGACCCGGGCCAGGGCGAGCTCGTGGCCTTCGTGCGGTGCTTCGTCGTCGAGGACGGGGGCCACGTCGACGTCGGCGAGCTGCTCTGGAAGCTCCTGCTCTGGCCGGGGTCCGAGGAGGAGCACCGGTCGCTCGTCGCGGGGCGGTCGCTCCGCCAGGACCTGCTGACGACGGCCGAGGACCAGGGCCTCGAGACCGTCGGCGACTTGTGCGCGTCGCTCATGGGCCGCTGCCACCAGCTGTTGACGGGCGACGCGCCCGACGACCACCTGGCCAAGGAGGTGCCCGTGCCCGCGCTGCTGACGGTGCTCACGGAGAGCTTCGGCGTCGAGGAGACGGCGGACCTGACCATGTACCTCCAGCACTTTGCGACGCCAGAGTCCAAGGCGGCGCTCGAGGCCGGCGAGGCCGACGCCCAGCCCGTCGTCGACCTCGAGAAGCTCCTCCAGCACCTCGAGCTCTTCGACCACGACGCCGCGGACGGCGGCGGCGACGACGACGACGACGACGACGCGGACACCGTCGACGCGGCCGACGTCAACTGACGCGGCGGCGCTCGCGCCACCTCCCCGGCCGCCCAAGTTCCCGCGCGCCGGAGCGCCGCGCGCCCTTTTTAAACCACACCACATCTGCAACTAGAACGAGGCATGTTGGACAAGTTATCGAAGGGGGTTTGCACCCGAGGATGCCGCCGGGGACAAGTTGTTGAACAGATGTTGAACCATTCTTGACCCGGGCGAGGATTACAGCCATGGTCATGGCCGTGCAGAATCGACGACCGCTGGGTCCAGCGCGGCGCGCTCCTCGACCGCTGGGTCCAGCGCGGCGCGCTCCAGCGCCCTCGCGTGCGCCGCGGCGCTCCTGGCGTTGCCCGCCGCGGCGCTGGTGCCGCAGCGGAGGCCCGCGCCGCGCCGATTGCCGCTCCAGGCGTCCGCCGCGGACTTCAGCGTCGCGGAGATCCCGCACCTGCGCGAGCGCGTGCGCTACGAGACCTTCGACTCGCCCATCGGCCGCGCGGTGGGCAGCGACATGTCGTTCGTGCCCCACCCGGACTTCTTCGTCGACGAGCGCACGTACGTGAGCAGTCAGGTCGTCACGGGGCGACCCGTCGAGGTCCCGCCGACGGCGTTCCACCGCGCGGGCCCGCGGTCGACGGTCTGCTTCGGCCCCGGCGAGGCGCGGGCCGCCATCGTCACCTGCGGCGGCGTCTGCCCGGGCCTGAACACGGTCGTGCGCGAGCTCTACCTCTGCCTCTCGCGCCAGTACGGCGTCGATTCCGTGCTCGGCGTGCAGGACGGCTACGCGGGCTTCAAGGACCTCGCGAAGAGCGGCGTGCGCCTCGACGACGCCTTCGTCGAGGGCATCCACGCGCGCGGCGGCACGGTGCTCCGGTCGTCGCGCGGCGGCCACGAGACGTCGGCCATCTGCGACGCTTTGGAGGCCGCGGGCGTGAACATGCTCTTCCTCGTGGGCGGCGACGGCACGATGAAGGGCGCGCCTTCCCCGCGTCCGCGGCGCTCCCCCCCCCCTCGATGATGACGACACACCGTATTGAATTCCGGATCACGATGACGGTTCAAACTGATTTTTTCCCCGAATTCGAGGACGCGCGCCGCGAAAGGTCGTCGAACCGCCGCTGGTGCGCGCCCTCGACCGCCCGCGCGCGCAGGCGCGTGCAAGGTCGACGCGGAGATGGCGCGCCGCGGCCTCAAGTGCGCCGTCGCGGTCGTGCCGAAGACCATCGACAACGACGTGCCGGTCATCGACAAGTCCTTTGGGTTCGCGACGGCCGTCGAGGCCGCCGTGCCCCACATCGTCGCCGCGGCGACCGAGGCCGCGGCGTGCCCGAACGGCGTCGGCGTCGTCAAGCTCATGGGCCGCCACAGCGGCTTCATCGCCATGCACGCGACGCTGGCCTCGGGCGACGTCGACCTCTGCCTCATCCCCGAGTCGGAGTTCGACGTGCCGTCGATCCTCGACCACGTCGAGCGGAAGCTGCGGAAGCACCAGCACGCGCTCGTCGTCGTCGCCGAGGGCGCGGGGCAGACGCAGATGGGCGCCGAGGGCCGCGTCGACGCGAGCGGCAACACGCTCAACGAGGACGTCGGGCCCTGGCTGAAGAAGACGATCACGGACCACTTCGCGTCGCCGGCCTACGACGGCGACGCGGATTTCGGCGTCCACCGCGCCAAGGTCTTCTTCGTCGACCCGACCTACACGATCCGCGCCTGCGCCGCGAACGCCCAGGACCAGGTCTACTGCTCGTCCCTCGCGCACGCGGCGGTCCACGGCGCGATGGCCGGCTACACGCGATTTCTCGTCGGCAACGTGAACACGCGCCTCGCGCTGTTGCCCCTGGACCTCGTCGTCAACCGGCGGAACATCGTGTCCATCCGCGACCGCATGTGGACGCGGCTGCTCTTCTCCACGTCCCAGCCGCCCTTCGAGGCCGCGACGGGCCACGGCGGCGAGGAGGAGTGCGACCCCTACCAGCTCTACCGCGCGGAGACCGCGTCCGGGGGCTGCACCGTCGTGCTGCCCGACGATTACTAAGAGCCATGGGCGTGTCTGGCGTCGCGGAGCGTCTTCTTGGGCGGCGCCGCCGACGCGGGCCTCGTCGGTGGCGCCGCGGTCCACTCGTAGAGGTCCGGGAGCAGCCCGGCGGCGACGGGCGCGCCTTCGAGGCGCCGCGCGTCGTCGCGGAGCAGCTCGCGGCAATAGTAATAGAGCTCGAGGGCGAGCTGGGCGGCGTCGGCGACGGCGGCGAACTGGTCCGGCGTGTAGCGGTTCTCGGCGAGGACGCCGGCGAGGCTTTTCGCGGCCGTCGCGTGCGTCGGCCGCGGCGGCGCTTCGCACGTCGCCCAGCCGAACGTGTCGCAGAAGAAGCGGAGGCCCGCGTGGAGGTCGTCCAAGTCCGCGACGACGGCGAAGGAGCGCGCGCGCGCCTTGGCGCGCTCGAGGTCGTCGCGGTCGAACGCGCTCCGCCCGCCGGGCCGGCCGTCTTTTTCGTAGACCGCGGCCTCGCCGAAGTCGTCGCACCGCGTCCGCGGCGCCCACCAGTCGAAGCACGACGCGGCGTCGCGGGCCCCGTGGCAGCACGGCTGCAGCTCGTGCTTGCCGCCGTCCTCGCACCGCGGCCGCGGCTCGAACCACGGCGCGCAGGACGCGTGTTTTCGGAACGCCGCGAGGCAGCAGTGGTGGTCGCGCGGCGGCCGTGCCTCGGGCTCGAAGCCGAGCCAGGCCGCGAGCGTGACGACGGGCGTGTACATGTTCGTCGCGGCGCCGGGCGAGCTTCCCGGCGCGCGGCCGACGGTGAAGAGCGCGGGGTTCCGCACGATCGTCGACCACGCGACGCGGTCCAACGCGAGGGGCGCGAGCGCGGGCAGCGCTCCCTCGAATTCGCCAAAGTCGACGAATCGGCTCGACTTGGGCCGCGACGGGTCCGCGCTCCGCACGTCGAGCACGCGCGCCGCGAACGACGCGCGGAGCGCCGCCTCGCCGTCGACGGCCTCGCCGCGGCTCAGCGCGCGGTCGACCGCGGTCCGGTCCGCCGTCCCCGCGTACGTCGCCGTCGCGAGCGCGCGCCGGCTGAAGCAGCTGCACAGCGAGCCCGTCGGCCGCGCGAGGCCGTTCGTCCGCGCGACGGCGCCGAGCGTCGTCCCGGCGTGGTTCCGCAGGTGGAAGTGCGCGTGGAGCGTCGCGCTGCGGTTCCCGCGGCCGCGCGCGCCGGCGCGGTGGCGCGCGAGCGCCGCGGCGATGGCCGCGCGGTCGCCGGCCGACCGCGCGTCGCGCGTCCTCGCGCGCGCGGCGACCGCGAGCGACCGCTCGAGGTCCGCGAGGGGCGCGGCGAACGCGCCGGCGGCCGCGCCGGCTTTCAGTTGGAACGCGCGCGCGTAGGCGAGCGCGAGGTCGTCGGCGGAGTCCGCCGCCTCGTCGACGCAGGCGCGGACCCGGCCGATGCCCTCCTCACTCACGTTGCGCTGCGAGAATGCCTCGGGATGGCGCCGCAGCCGGCGGCACGCCGTCGCGGCCACGGCGACGTCCTGTAGCAGGAGCAGGAGTGCCACCAACCTCATGACGAGTTAAAAAAGGGCTGCCCCCCCCCCCATGGCGCGGAATCAAGGCGAGGGGCAACAATAAAATGAATCCACGGCAACTTTGACTCAAAAGAAACGACTTCTCTGCGAGAAGCAGCCCCTCTCGACGGCATGGCGCCGGGCAAGCGGCGCCGGTCGCGGGCGCGGTCCATCTCGGCGCCGGCGAAGGAGGCGCAGAAGGACCCCTTCGCGGCGGTGGAGAAGAGCCGGCGCGAGAGCCAGGCGCCGCGGCAGCGGACGCCGGAGCCGGAGCCCGAGCCCGACGACGACGACGACGTCGCCGTCGACGCCGTGAGCGGCGCGACGGGCGTCACCGACGCCGTCATGCTCAACGTGCGCCGCGCCGCGCCCCCGCCGCGCCGCGCGCGAGACCCCCGCGCGCCATCCCGTAGGTCTGCACCATGGCCAAGGAGCACCTGAACAGCGACATCGTCACGATCTTTTTGTACGCGCCGAAGAAGCGCCAGCTCTGGAGCCGCTGGGGCACGAACCTGCCGTCGGACATCACGACGGGCAAGACGCGGCCCATCCGCGTGCCGGCGAACGCGGGCATCACGGGCCAGGCCTTCAGCTCCCAGGAGATATTGAACGTCAAGGACGCGTACGAGACCGCGTACTTCAACCAGAAGGTGGACCAGATGACGGGCTACGTGACGCGGTCCGTGCTCTGCCTGCCCTTATTTCGCCCCTACGACGCGTCGCGGCCCGGCGGCGGCGCGGGCGCGCCGCCCATGGGCGTCGTCCAGTTCATCAACAAGCTCGCCGCGGACGACGACGACGACGACGACGGCGGCGACGGCGGCGAGAGCGACGACGAACCCGCGGACAAGGACCACGCCCTGCGGCTCGCGGAGAAGCGCGCCGTGCGCGCCGCCGTCGAGGACCTCGAGGTGCGGCGGGACCGCGAGACGACCGAAAAAATCCGCGTGTGCCCCTTCGCGAAGGAGGACCTCGAGCTCGCGTCCGGCTTCGGGAAGATCGCGTCGCGCGCCATCGCGACGGCCATCGACCACGACGAGGACCGCAAGGCGCGCGAGGAGATGAAGGAGGCGAACAAGGAGGAGGAGAAGAAGGCGAACTTCCAGTCGCACGTCGAGTCGATCTTCGACTTCTTCGAGCGGCGCCTCGACTTTGGGGGGACCCAGGTGTCGCCCGGCGGCATGGAGGCGGCGCACACGGCCTTCAAGCTGAAGCAGCGCGAGGGCGAGCTCAGCGTGAAGATGAACGCGATGATCCGCGGGTATTTGACGCGGCGCAAGGTCGTCAAGGAGCTCAAGAAGAACGGCATGATCGTCCGGTCCATCACGGGCGCGGCGCGCGAGAAGACGGACACCATGCGCGCCAAGCTGAAGGACCAGGAGAAGATCCGGAAGCGCGCGTTCGCGACGCAGCAGCTCCTCCGGAGGCAGAAGGCGCGGGACCAGGCCAGGGCCGCGGAGGCGTCCGACGACGCCCTGCGCGCCGAGGCGGACCGCGCCGTCGACCGCGCCCGCGCGACGGCCGCCGCGGCCGCGGCCGGAGCGCTGCTCGAGCGGCGCGCGACGGAGTTCAAGCTGGAGCGCGACGCGGCCATCGCCAAAATCATGGCCGGCGGCCGCGAGGCCGCCGAGGCCGCGGCCCTCGCCCAGGACGCCGAGGACGCGCGCGAGGCCATCCGCGAGGCCGTGAACGTCGCCGCCTACGAGAAGGAGGAGAAGTTCGCCAAGAATTTTTCCGCGAAGAAGGTCCAGGGCATGGCGCGGCGCCGGTCGTCGCTCATCATGGTCGAAAAGCAGCGCGAGGAGGCCGTCGCCGCCGCGGCGCGGGCCACGAGCCGGCGGTCCCTCTTCCGGAGCGCGATCCGCAAGGTCTGGTGCGCTCTGGCGTTCCGCGACAACGTGAAAATCCACAAGGACCGCGAACAGGCGGCGGACGTCGCGGCCTTCGCGGCCGCGGAGCTCGAGGAATTGCAGGGCGCGGAGAGCGTGAGCCCGACGCCGCGGTCGACGCCCATGGGCGGCCGGCGGTCCATCGCGGCCGTGCACGAGGTCCGCGTGAAGAAGCACGGGAGGCACGCGCGGCCGCCCGGCCTCCTCTCCGGCGAGAACATCTACGAGTACGGCTGGCGCCGGTGCCAGGCCCGCGTGCGCAGCGGGCAGGCGCGGCGGCGCGTGCGCCTGCTCTGGGCCGAGTTCTACGCGAGGATCGGCGCCGCGGACGACGGCTCCGTGGGGTCGACGTCCTTCAAGGACACGTACGCGCGGCTCCAGCGCAGCGACCCGCCGGCGCCGACGCCCTGGGTGCGGGGGTTTACGAAGTTCCAGGCCGTGGCGCGGGGCGCGCTGCTCCGCGTCGTGCGGCGGCGCTACGGCGCGCACGAGACGCCCTTCGGCGTGGAACTGGAGAAGTTCCTCCCGCCGGAGCACGGGCCCCTGGGCGCGACGCCCGCGCGGTCGCCGCGGGGCACGCCGCGCCAGCCGTCGCGCACGCTCGCCGAGCACCGGCGGGCCCTCGCGGAGCAGCGCCGCGCCGCGCAGCCGCCGCCGCGGACCGGCGTGGGCAACATGGGCACGTTCGCGCCGCCGCGGACGGGCAAGGTCTCCAAGGGCGCCCTCATCGCCGCGCACCGCGGGGCCTACAACGCGGACGTGAGCCCGAGCCGCTTCGGCGGGCCCCTGGACATCCTCGACTGCCGCGACGACCAGGGCAGCAAAAGAGAGCGAAATTCCCAACTTCAAAGGCTCCGATCTCGGCCGTTTTCCACTCGTTTCGGCTGATTTTTGGACGAGCGATCGTCTCTCGGAACGGTCTCGAAGCGTGGGTGCTTGTTTTGGAACGCGCGCGCGCGAAACACTCACGTTGAAGCGACGTTGAATCACTCTTGTGCTGCCCAGGCGACGACGGCGACGTCGACTTCCGGTCGCACCGCGTCGCGAGCACGGCGCCGCGGGCCGTGTCCGGCGCCTACGGCGGCGGCGGCCGCCAGGGGCGCATCGAGGCGCAGCTGCTGGCGGAGCTGCGCGACGACCTGGCGGAGAACGACGTGCCGACGCTCGGCCGCGTCGACGAGGCGCTCTACACCGCGACGCCTTTGGCATCGCGCGCGACGACGCCCTACAGCGCGGCGAAGCTCCTCACGTCCCAGCTGCTGTCGACGACGGACGAGGGCGACGACGAGTCGAACGACGGGCGGCGCGTCTACGTGCAGCACGCGTACCACGTGCCCATCGACGCGTCCGTGTCCGGCTCCGTGCCTTCGTACTACCCCGCGCGGCCGAGCGGCGACCCCATCTACGTCCACTCGCCCCACAAGGACCGCTGGCTCAGCGCCCACGCGGGCGTCGTGAAGAAGTCGTTCAAGAACGACAAGCTCTACCGCGAGGCGCGGCGCAACGTGTCCCGCCTCGTGCGCCAGAACCGGCGCCTCGAGTACACGTCGGGCCTCGAGCGGCCCGCGACGACGCGGACGACGAGCCTGCCGAGCCCGCGAAGGGCCTAGAAGTGTTAGTCCGAGTCGCTTGCTTCCTTGGGCGGCTTCGGCGGCGGCTTGGCGAGCCCCGCGGCCTCGAGCTTCGCCTCGACCAAATCCCGGAGCCGCGGGAAGGACGCGTCGCAGGGCAACAGCGCGGAGTTGTGGCGCAGGCACGCCGCGTGCGCGACCTCCGTCGGCGGCTCCTCTAGGTTCAGGTTGTAGACCGTCACGTCGGCCTCCTTGGCCCGGCGCAGCGCCTCGCGCGTCATCTGCACGGCGAAGGACGTGCCCGCGAAGACGATGGCGTCGGCGTCGTCGAGCCAGCCGTCCCACGCGTCCGCCTCGAAGAAGAAGTGCGCGTCGTAGTTCTCGTCGAACAATAAACTCAGCGGCGCGAGCGCCGCGCCGCAGCGCGGGCAGCGCGGGCAGCGGGCCACGGCCACGGCGCGGTCCCGCGTGGCGGCGTCGACGACGGCCCGGTCCTCGGCCTCGAGCTCGGCCGTCTCGTACCACTCCGTCGTCGCCGTCTTTAGGGAGCACCGGCTCCGGCCGCCCGTCGCGCTGCCGAACATGGCGCAGCGGAAGAGGCCGCTCCGCCCGTGGGCCTCGACGAGCTGCATGTCCGGCACGGAGCCCACGTGCAGCCCGTCGACGTTTTGCGTGACGACCTTGACCTCGGGCGCGAGCGTCGCGATCGCGCCCAGCGCGTCGTGCGCGCGCGTGCGCCGCGCGTTGCGCAGGCGGCCGCACTCGAAGGTCGGCAGCCAGAAGGTCTCGTACCAGTGCACGGGGTCCTTGCGCAGCGCCTTGCGCGTGCCCATCTCGACGACGGTCTGCGTCCACACGGCGTCGACGCCCGTGCGGAACGCCGGGATCCCGGCGGACACGGAGATGCCCGCGCCCGTGACGAAGAGCACGTTCGAGCCGCCCGCGATGAGCGACGCGATCTCGTCGAGGAGCTCGCCCGCGGGCCGCGGCCGCGAGTCCGCGATTTTCTTGCGCCGCTTGCGCATGACGCGCGACATGATGGCGCTGCGGTCGACCTTCGTCATTTCTTTTGGTGGTTTTAGTCGCTTCGAGCGCCCGAAACTGGCGCCAAGCAGCCTAATTACGCGGGGTCAGCCCAAGTCTCGCGCTGCACTCGCTCGCCAAGGTCGCCCCGAATGTCTGTATTTGCCACAGGGTGCTGCGGCCTCTGATCGCGTATGGTGCGCCGCAAGTAGCGTTTTAACACCGCGCCGACCGCCCCGGCCCTTGCGGAGCCCCCCCGCCGCGCCCAAGACGCCGCGCCGCTCTCGGACGGCGCCCCGCCGCGCCGCCTCAGCCGCCCCGCCGCCGCCGCGCCGCCGGCACCCCGGACGACCATGGCGCCGCGCGCCCGCGCCAACCAGAGCTACACCTGGGCCCAGGTCAAGAGCGTGCAGTCGCTCATCGAGCGGTGCCTGAACCAGTACATGACCCAGGCGGAGATCATCGCCACGCTCCAGGTCCAGGCCGACGTCGAGCCCGCGCTGACGTGCCTCGTCTGGTCCAAGCTCGAGGAGCAGAACCCGGACTTCTTCCTCAGCTACGACATCCAGCTGCGACTCAAGGACCAGATCGCGCGGCCCCGCGTCCCGCTTCGCGCGCGCGCGCGCGCCGCTCGCTTCCGGTTCCGCCACGTGCCGCGCGCGCGAGCTTTCCGGTTCCCTTCAGGTCGCGTTCAACTACCTCGTTGAGCAGCAGACGCGGCTCCTGCAGAAGCTCCAGTTTTCCCTGCCGGCCGGCGCCCAGCCGCCGGAGGCGTGGAGCGGCGCGCCCCAGCTCGAGGAGCCGCCGATGAGCGCGCCACCGTCGAACTGGGACTAGGCTCGGCTCGCACGACGCGCGCTGAGGCACACGCGTAACTCCCCAAGTACGCGATCCACGCCCGGGTCTCGATGCGCGTCGGCGGCCGCCGGACGGACGAACTCGCGCGCGACGAGCCGCTCGAGGCCGGCCGTGCCGCTCGTCGAGCGGCCTCTCTCGGGAGCATCTCGAGCAGCAGCCCACCATCTGCATCGGCCGGCGCGGGCGGCGTGCGACACGTCCACGAGCCCTGCGACGCGCTGCGACACAGCAGCCGGCGTACGACGCGTCGACGAGCCCTGCGACGCGCTGCGACACACACGCGAGCGCTACAAGATGCGCGCATGGCTGCGATGCGTCGCCGCGCTCGCCGCGGCCCGCGCGCTCAGCCTCGTGCCGCGGCGGCGCGCGCTCGCCTGCGGCGTCGCGTCGCTCGCGGCGCCCGCCGTCGCCGCGGACTCGCCGGACACGACGCGCGTCGGCCGGGGCATGCGCGCCGTGGGGACGCCCAACGAGTCGCTCGACATCGACGCGGCGCTGGGCATCCCCTGGGGCGGCGCGCGTCGCTGCGACGCCGCGGACCGCGACTGCGTCACCGACGGCGGCGACGGCGCGGCGGCGACGGTCGCGCCGCCGCCGGGCCTGGGCGATCGGACCCTCGCGGGCGTCGCGACGCTGAAGATCTCCGTCGCCGGCCGCGACGAGGGCGCGCTCCGCGTGGGCCTCTTCGACTCGTCGGGCGCGCGCGTCTTCGCGGACCTCGCCGCCGGCGCCTACAAGCCCGACGGCTCCGACGCGACGCCCGCCGCGTGGGCCCGGGGCGCGTGCTTCTGCATCGAGGACGGCCTCGTGAAACTGTCGGAGAACGCGGACGCGCAGGAGGTCGCCTACCGGAAGCGCTTCGGCCTGCGGAAGACGCCCGAGGAGTTCCAGCCGGCGAGGGCGCCGAAGATCGCCGACGACGGCGGCGCCGCGCCGAAGCTGCCGCCGGGCACGCTCTCGACGGGCCGCGGCGGGCCCGGCGCGAGCCTCGAGTTCGGATTGGCGGTCGCCGAGGTCGACGGGCGGAACCGCGTCCCCGTGGGCGTGCTCCTCGACGACGAGTCCATGGCCCTGCTCGCCTATCTGGGGAGCCGGCCCGTCGTGTCGCAGCGCGCGAAGCTCGGCGGCAAGGCCGGCCAGCCCATCGTCAAGGTCGTCGTCGAGGCGAGCGGCTACGTAACTGTGTAAATCGGAAAAACCTAGGCCATCCCGCCGGCGACGACGAGGGACGTGCCCGTGATGTAGGACGCGTCCTCGCTCAGCAGGAACGCGACGGCCTCGACGACCTCCTCGACCTCGCCGAGGCGCTTCAGCGGCACGCCGCCGACCTTCTTCTTCGCCAACACGTCGGCGTCGCGGTCGAAGTAGGGCGACCCCGACGCGGCGTGGAGCTCGTTCTGCCGCTTCCACATGAAGCCGTCCTCCGGCCCGATCAGCGCGGGCATGACCGTGTTCACGCGGATCTTGTGCGGCGCCAGGTCCTTCGCGGCCGTCATCGTCAGCCCGTGGACGGCGGCCTTCGACGCGACGTAGGCGTTCATCGTCGGCGTGCCGCGCAGGCCCGCGACGCTGCCCGTCTGCACGACGGCGCCGCCGCCGCGACCGGCCATGTCGCGCGCGCACGCTTGCAGCACGTTGAAGCCGCCGACGACGTTGATGTCCATGACGAGCTGCACGTCCTTGGCGGAGTACTCGAGGAGGGGCTTCATCTGGCCCTGGTAGCCCGCGTTGTTCCAGAGCAGGTCCACGCCGCCGAACTTTTGCGCGGTCCGCACGACGGCGGCGACGGAGTCCGCGTCGCGGACGTCGCACGCGACGGCCTCGACGTTGGCGCCCGGCAGCGTCGCCATGGCCTCGTCGAGCGCCTTGCGGTTCACGTCCACGAGCACGACGTTGGCGCCCTCCTTGGCGAAGTACTTGGCGCCGACGCGGCCGAAGGTGCCGCCGCCGCCGGTGATCACGATCGTCTTGCCGGCGAAGCGCGGCTGCTTCTCCTCGCAGGAGCTGAAATTGAGGGTCGCGGACACGGCCGCTACACCAATCGAGCCGACGCGGCGCAGGGCGAGCATGATGCGAGAATAACTTTCGCACAGGCACCAGCTCGAGGCCCGACGTGCCGCTTCGTTGACCCGAGGTTGAAGCCACCCAAGTCTTTACGTCTGCTCTAGCTCGATCGCGAGCTGTGGCAATTAATTAGCGAGGCCCGACGTGCCGCTTCGTTGAGTGCTTCGAAGTGCTTCGTTGACCCGAAGTTGAAGCCATGTAAAAGCCTTACGTCTGCTCCTTCAGCACGACCTTGGACCGCGCGGCCTTGGGCGCGACGGCGCCCGGCCGGGAGTGGTCCATGGTCTTCTGGAGCTTGGCGCGCGCGCGGTCCTTCTCCTCGTCGCGGCGGTCGCGCATCTTCTTGACCATCTTCGGCAGGTTCCGCGACTTGACGATGCGCTTCACCGTGGGCATGTGCGCGTGGCGGTCCAGGAGCGCCGCGCGGTAGTCCAGCGCCGCGCGCTCCCGGGAGCTCACGGGCCCGAGCTTCTTCGAGGCCCGCGCCTTCCAGACCCGGAGGTTGAAGTCCTCCGACGCGGTGAGCACGAAGGACGCGTCGGCCGTGAAGCGCACGGCGGCCAACGCCTGCATGCGCAGGGCGTGGTAGGTCTCGCGCGCGCGGCCGCAGCCCGCGCCGCGGCTCGCAAAGATTCGGGTGGTGCGGTCCGCGGACGCCGACGCGAATTCGAGGCCGCTCGGCGCGAACGACACGTCGTTGACGGCGCCGACGTGGCCCTCGTGGATCATCTTCGGCTGCTTGAGGTTGCGCACGTCGAAGGTGTAGCACATGGTGTCCTCGGACCCGACGACGAAGTGCGTCGGGTCCCGCGGGTTCCAGGCCAAAGCCCGGCACGGCGCCGCGAGCACGCAGCGTCTTAGCGGCGTCTTCGCGCGCGTGTCGTAGAGCGTCGCCGCGCGGTCCCGGGACGTCGAGGCGACGAGCGACGGCTCCGCCGGGTTCCAGCGCGCCTTGTAGACCGCGTCCGTGCCCCAAGACCACGACCGCACGGCCGCGGACCGCTCCGGGTCCCACAGTTCGACGACCCCCTCGGAGCCGCAGCTCACGAGCGCGCCGTCGCCGCCGCCCTGCCAGGAGGCATCGACATCATTCACCGTGCCCCGCGACGTCCAGACGTTCAGGGGCTCCGGCCGCCGGTCGTCGCCGCCCCGCCGCTCGTCGCCCTCGAGGCTCCCGCCGGACGTCGCCGCGACCTCCAGCGCCCACCGCTTGATGGACCGCTCGCCGCAGGAGAAGAAGGAGTCGCCGGCCCGCGCCAACACGACGCCGGCCACGGGCCCCGCGTGGGCCGGCGCGCGCCAGACGCACTTGCGGCTCGCGAGGTCCCACGCGCGGCACTCGCCGTCCGCGCCGCCGGAGACGACCTGGACGAGCTGGCCGCGCCGCGGCGTGCCCAGGCACGTGATGGCGTCGCGGTGGCCGTCCAAAGCGCAGACGAAGGGCTTGGCCATCATGCGGTCGAGCTTCGCGGCGACGACGGCGCGCTGGTGCTCCCGGGCCGCGGCGAAGGGGTGCGCCGCCGGGTCGAGGTTGCGCCGCACGTACTTGTGGTCCGCCGTGTCCCGGGCCTCCTTCTTCGCGCTGCGCGACACCGTCTTGATCTTCATCGCGTGTTGCGGCAGCCGCGCTCAGTGATGCTCTCTATCGTCGCCCACTTTTGCTTCGGCACTCAACCTTCAGCCATCGATGTTGCAGTACCGCGAGCGTACGGAGGAAGTGGCGGAAGCGAAGTCTACAGCGAAGGGGAAGGGAGCGTCCGGCGTCGGCCTAGGGCGCTTCGGACGCGCCGTCGCCGTCGCGCCCGTCGCACGCGCCGTCGCCGCCGGAGAGGACGGGGTCCAGGATGAGCGCGAGCTCCTCGTCGTTGACGTAGGGCGCGGCGTCGGAGTCGTCGGAGCAGTCCGAGGCGTCGTCGTCGAGGCCGTCGTAGCGCCGGACGCCCCGGTCGAGGTCCACGAGCCGCGTGCCCGCCCGCTCGCGGCCGTCGTCGTCGAGGTCCGCGGCGCACGAGCACGCGGGGAGCCAGCCGGGACCCGCGCCCGCGCCGCAGCAGAGCTCCTCGACCCAGGGCGGCGCGCTCCCGCTGTCCTCGAAGAGGGCCGGCCAGCCGCCCGCGAGCACGGGCGACAGCGCGATCTCGCGCACGGTCTGCGTCGCGACGGGCGTCCCGAACGACAGCGGCCGTCGCGGCGGCGCGGACGGCGCGACCTCGCGGACGGCCGCGGGCGTCGCGGGCGTCGAGGACATGGCCGAGAGCGTGACCTCGCGGACCGTCGACGGCGCGGGCGTGGAGGGCGACGCCGACGTCGCCGAGAGCGCGACCTCCCGGGAAGGCGCGGGCGCGCCGACGGACGAGCGCGGCGTTCCCGGGTCGCTCCGCGGGCTCGGCGCGCACTCGGATCGGACCTCCGCCTCGAGCAACGTGATGTCGAGCACGGCCTCGAGCACCGCGGACAGCGCGAGGCGCAGCGGCGACGGCGTCGCGCCGTCGGCGGGCGCGGCGGCCGCCGCCGGCGTCGTCGTCGCGCCTCCGGGCGTCGCGCCTCCCGGCGTCATGCCTCCCGGCGTCATCCCCCCTCCCGGCGCCCAGACGTCCGAATGGCGGTTCGGCGTCGCGCGGCGCGACAGGTCGTCGAGCGTGTAGATGGCGTCGACCTCGAGCCTGGGCAGCAAAAGGGTGCGAAATTCCCAACTTCAAAGGCTCCTATCTCGGTCGTTTTCCGCTCGTTTCGGCTGATTTTTGGACGAGCGATCATCTCTCGGAGCGCTCTCGAAGCGTGGGTGCTGTTTTTGAAACGCGCGCGCGGAACACTCACGTTGAAGCTACGTTGAATCACCCTTTTGCTGCCCTGCCTCGAGCATGGACTGGCGCAGCTTCGTCGCGGAGCTCGGGAGCCTCGCGATGTCCTTCGTGATGGAGTCCTCGCGGTCGCTCGCGGGCGACGGGCCCCAGGACACGCGGCGGCGGCTCGCCTTCTTCGGCGGCGTGCGCCGCGGCGACAGCGGGCCCTTGGGCGACGGCTTGGGCGACGGCAGCGCCGCGCCCTTGGGCGGCGGCGCCGCGGCGCCCCGGGGATCGGGCGCGGCGACGTTCGGCGGCGCGTTCTCGTCGCCCCGGTGCATGAGGAGCGACGGGCTCGCGGGGATCATCGTGATACGCCTCGGGCTGCGACAGGACCGACGCGACGACGACCAAAATCAAACTGGCGTGGATGGCGGGCTGCTAGGCTAGGAGAGGTTAACAGCTAGAGGGCCTACCCGGGGGGTCATTGCTGCTTATTAGACGCGCTGCAACACGAGTGCACCATGCAGCGCCACAAGCTCGTCCGAGGAGGCAATAAAGCGAGCTCGAGCCGATTGCCGCGGCGATTGTCGTCACGTGCAACCATGACCAGCGAAAAGGCGGCGCTCGTCGACGACGTTGAGGCCGGCGGCCGCGGCGGCGGCGACGCGACGTTCGGCATGACGGTCATCACGCTCATGAAGATCTGCGTCGGCACGGGCGTCCTCGCCGTGCCCCACGCCTTCTCCGGCGCGGGCGTCGTGCCGGGCTTCGGCATGCTCTTCGCTTTATTGTGCTGGAACGACTGGTCCGCGAACCGGCTGCTGGCCTGCCGCGACCTGCTGAGCGACGACGAGCGGCGCCGCTTCGAGGCGCCCGGCGGCGAGTCGCCGCTCGGAGCATTGGCGCGCGTCGTCGCGGGCCCGCGCGTGGCGACGTCCGTGGAGGTCTGCCTCTGCGTCCTCATGTTCGGCGTCGCGACGGCGTATTTCGTGGCGCTGCACGATTTCCTCGCGGCGACGCCGCTGGGGCCGGCGTTGGCGCGGGCGCCGCGGGGCGTCGACACGTTCGCGGCGGCGTGCCTCGCCCTGCCGCTGTCGCTCGTCGACGACATCGGCGCGCTGGCCTACGCCGGCGCCGCGGGGCTCTGCGCGATTTTTGTTTCCTTCGCGTGCATCGTCACCTACGGCGTGGAAGAACGGACGGCCGTGGGCTGGGCGCAGGCGGACGGCTTCACGTGGATGACGCCGACGTCCGTGTCCGCCCTGGCGAGCGGCTTCGGCGTGCTGGCCTTTTGCTTCGGCGTCGCGCCGCTGGCGCTGCAACTGGAGGCGTCGATGGCGGAGCCGCGGCGGTTCGCGAGCGCCCAGCGGTACGCGTTGGGCGTCGCGTTCCTCGCCTACGCGGCGACGGGCGCGGGCGTGGCGCGTCTCTACGACGGCCTCCCCTGCGCGCCGGACGGCGTCGCGGGCAACGTGCTCGACGATCTGCCGCGGGGCGCGCCGTGGACGACGGCGCCGTCGGCGGTGCGGGTCGCGATGTCCGTGGTCTGCGTCTTCTCGGCGCCCATCGGCGTCGTGAGCTCGGGCGAGATCCTCGAGGCGGCGCTGCCGCCGCTGGCCCCGGGGCGGCGGCCCCTCTTCCTGCGGCGGCTGGCGGTCCGGGGCGGCGTGGCGTTCGGGGCCGCGACGGTCGCGGCGGCCGTGCCCGTCTTCGCGCTCATCGTCGCCCTCGTCGGCTGCCTCGCCGTGTCCTTCCTGAGCTTTGTGTTGCCGCCCTACCTGCACCTCAAGCTCGCGCTGTCCCGGGAGCCGGCCGCGGTCGCGCTGGACGCGGCCGCGACGGTGCTCGGCGTCGTCGTCGTCGTCTTCACGACGTCCCTCACGGCCCTCACGACGGCCGCCGAGGTCGCGCGCGCCGCCGCGCCGCCGCCCGTGGTCCAGTCGGGGTAATTTTACGTGGGTATTGGTGGGTCTCGACCGCCTAGGCGAGCGCGCCGGGCGCGAGCTTGGACGTGGCGACGCCGAGGCCGCCGAAGAGCACGGGGAAGAGCGTGCCCAGGGGCACGGCGAGGAACGTCTGGAGCGCCACGGACGCGACGGAGTCGTCGGGCTGGCCCGTGACGACGACGGCGCCGCCGAGCGACGCGAGGGCGAGGGCGAAGTACGCGGGCGACGGGACGTTGATGAGCACGCCGAGGAGGGGCGTCGCCGGGCCCGCGAGGGCGATGAGGGTCGGGAGGATCGGGAGGAGCTCGTCGTTGAGGTCGCCGAGCGTGCCGAGGAGGCCCTGCTCCTCGGCGAAGACGAGGAGGGGCTCGACGTCGGCCAATTTCACGCCCGCGCGGTCGAGCTTCGACAGCAGGCCCGTCTTGGCGACCTTGGTGAGGAGGCCCGACGTGTCGACGGCGTCGATGGTCTTCTCGATCTGCTCGAAGGGGTCCATGAGGCCCGGCTCGAGGCCCTGGACGGGCGTCCCGACGGGCGCGTAGCCCCACCAGACCTTCTTCGTTTTTCCCTCGCCCGCGTAGCCCTCGTAGAGCCGCGTCTGCGACGGGGAGAGGCGTGTGCGCGGTGGCGGTGGGACGAGGGGAGCCGGGGGCGGCGCGCGAACGTTCAAGATCCAGTCCAGCAACCCTATCGCTCGCCCGGGGGCCGGCGCGCGCGCGCGGTCGCGAGATTTCGCGCGGGCCGGTTACGCACCGACGTCTTAGGCGCGCGCGGCGCCTGGAGCGCCGAAGCGCTCGCGAGCAGTGCACAGAGAGCCATTGCGCGAGCCATTGCGATGGATTGCGTCGTCAGCGTCAAGCGTGGCCGGGGATCGGGTCATCCGTGCCGAGGCTCTTGCGGCAAGACCGGCATGATGGTCTTGACCTGAGGCACGTCTCCGTGCTGATGGCCTCCTTCGAGGAAGACTCCGACCTCCAGGAGGAGTCGGACGACTACAGCTACGAGTCCGGGGAGGACGACAACGCCTCCGACTCGGAGGCGGAGACGTCGCCGCCGCAGCAGCCCTACCCGGTGTCCTTGTCGGAAGAGGAGGTCGCGTCGGAGGCGCGCCGCCGCGCGACGGCCGTGCAGCGCGCCCTCGGCTGCTCGGCCTTCGCGGCGCGCGTCGCGCTGCGCCTCGGCCGCTGGCAGCACGCCGCGGCCGTCCGCGACGCCGCGGCGCCGGACGCGGCGGCCGCGGACGACGGGAACTCGTGCGCCGTCTGCTACGGCGACGGCCTCGCGCTCGTCGCCAACGAGCGCTGCGGCCACGGCTTCTGCGGCGACTGCTGGCGCGGCTTCCTCGCCGTGGCGCCGGGCCTCGACGCCGGCTGCCCGTCCGCGGGCTGCGGTCGGCTGCCGTCCGACGCCGTCGTCGCGCGCGTCTTCGGCGCGGATTCCCCGGAGGCGGCGCGGCGCGCGGCGCTCTGGGCGAACTCGCTCGTCGACGACGGGGCCGACGCGCGCTGGTGCCCGCGGGGCTGCGGCCGCGCCGTGCTCTTCGACGCGTCGGGCGACGCCGCGCGGTGCGCGGAAGCGCGGTGCGACTGCGACGACTCCAACCGCTTCTGCGGCCGCTGCGGCCTCGACGCCCACGCGCCGGCGACCTGCGAGGACGCCGTCACGTGGGTGCGCAAGCGCGAGGAGGACGCGACCGTCGCCGCGGACGCCGCGGTCGCGGCCAAAGTAAAACGATGCCCGAACCCGGCGTGCGGCTGCGCCGTCGAGAAGAACGGCGGCTGCAACTACATGCGCTGCGCGTCCTGCCGCGAGTTCTGGTGCTGGCACTGCGGCGCCTGGGGCGGCGGGCCGAGCCGCCGCGACCCGCCGCACCACCTCTTCTTCTGCAACGACCCCGCGACGTCCTTCGCGACGCTGGAGGACGACGGCCGCTACGCGTTCTACTCGGAGCGGAGCGCGGCCCACGGCGCCTCGCGCGCCTTCGCAACGACGCAGCTCGAGAAGTCCCACAAGCTGGCGAAAAAAATCGCCGCCGGGTCCGCGGACCCGGACGCGAGCTTCCTGCCGAACGCCGTGGCGCTCGTCGTCCGCTGCCGCGCGACGCTCGAGTGGTCCTACTGCTTCGCCTACTACGAGCGCGACGACGACAAGCGCCGGCTCTTCGCCTTCGCGCAGAAGCAGCTCGAGACCTTCACGGAGGAGCTCAGCGGCCTGACGGAGCAGAAGGCCGCGGACGTCGCGGACGCGCGGCGCCGCATCGTCTTCCTCGCGGCCGCGCTGACCAAGTACCGCGCGAACATCGCCGACTGGGGCGCGTAACGTGTGTGTGTGTGTGTTACAGCGCGCGCGCGCTTTTGAGCTTGCCGTCGAGCTCGCCGGCTTTGTCGAGGGGGACGAGGCCCGGCGCGCCGTCGTTGAGGCCGCCGACGTACTCGTCGCCGATCCAGACCGCGGGCACGGACGTGCGGCCCGTGCGCTTGCCGAGCCTCGCCCGGAGCGCCGCGCCGTCCTCGCGCTCGTCGAGCGCGATCTCCGTGTACGTCGCCCCCTTGTCGTCCAACAGCTCCTTCGCCTTCTTGCAAAAGGGGCACGACGTGAACGTGTACATGGTCACGCCGCCGTTGCCGAGCGCGGCGTCGATGGACGCGTCGACGGCGGCCGCGTCGAAGTCGCCCGCGACCGTCTCCGCGACGAACTGCTTGAAGCCCGCCGCGTATTTTTGCGTGGCGCCGCTCAGCTGCTGCGTGAACGAGTCCTCGTCGGCCCAGGCCGACGGCTCGCCCGTCCAGCCGTCGGCCTCGGCCTCGGGCAGCGCGCCCAGCGCCCGCGCGGCGGCGACGAGCGGGCCCGCGATGGGGTCCTGCGTGCCCAGGGGCGACGCGGCCTTCTTTGTGGCTTCGTCCTCGCCGCGCGACGTCGTAGCGGTGGCCTTTGACGGGCTGACATTCTCCTTTTTTCGCGACAGCGGCCCCGGCGGCCCCGCGCGGAAGAGCTGGCGCACGCCCTCGGCCGCGGACACGTCCCAGCTCTCGAGGTGCCGCACGACCACGACCTCGTCCTCCCGTACGTCCAGCACGTGCTCGACGCCCCAGGGCCAGGCGAGCACGGGCTGCCAGGGCAGCGCGAGGCGCAGCTTCACCATGAGCTTCGTCGTGTAGCTCGACGCCGTCCGCTCCGTGCCGAGCGTCCGGATGCTCGCGTCGCTAATGAAACCGCCGCCCAGATTCGCCAAATTCTCCTCGAAGCGCGCGCGGCCCTTGAAGGACACGAATGGGTCCGCGAACTCGCAGTCGTCGTCGTAGCACGCCGCGTCCATGATTCCCGTGAGGAAGTAGGGGCCGTCGGCGCCCTCGTAGTCCGCGGCGAGGCGCTTGCAGGCCTCGTCGACGGACCGCGGCGGCTGCGCCGTCGACAGCGGCGCCGCCGGCGCGCCCTTCGTCAGCGCCGCGGCCTTGCCGAAGAGCTCGGCGGCGAACCACGCGCCCTTGACGCCGAGGCTCGGCTCGTCGTCCGTCGGGCCGGCGCGGCGCGCGGAGCGCAGCGTGTGCGTCGTTTTGGGGGAGAAGGCGGTTGCGCAGGCAAGCAGCGCGGCTGTGGCGAGCATTGCTGCGCTGCGGGTCAACGCCTGCGACGAGCGGCCCATGCTGCGGTGGCGCTTCGAGCGGCCCATGCGCATGCTGCCGTGGCCGAAATTCACCATAGAGTCAACCTGGTGATGTTGCCGCAAAATTCCTCTTACCCATAGCAGCGTATCTCGTCCGTGCAGCCCCTGGCCGCCGACTGCGGCCGGCCGAAGCGGCCGCCGTTCTCCAGGTAGCGCTGGTGGACGGCCTCCGCGGGCCAGAAGACCGCGGCGCGCTTCACCTCTGTGACGACTTTTCGACCGCTGGATTGCCAGGACCGGTCCTCGACATCGAACGCCTCCTCGGCGTCGCGGAGCTGCGCGTCGCTGTGACAATACATGCCCGTCCTGTAGTTCGTGCCGCGGTCGCGGCCGACGCGATTGAGCGTCGTGGGATCGCCGACGACGTCGAACAGCACGGCCGCGAGGCGCGCGAACGACACGATTTCCGGCGAATATTTCACGAGCACGGCCTCCGTGTGGCCGGTGGTTTCGTCGCACACGTCCGCGTACGTCGGCCGCTCGGCGTGGCCGTGCGTGTAGCCGACGACCGAGTCGACGACGCCGGGCTCCCGGTCGAACGCGAGCTGCAGACCCCAGAAGTAGCCGCCGCCGAAGGTCGCGACGGCCAGTCCGTCGTGAGTTGTGGACGGAAAGGGCTTGCCGGCCTCCGCGTACGCTGCCGCGTCGTCGCAAAGAGATGCAGCAATGGGTGCTGGTCTTCGCACCTGCTGCCGCAAGAAACCGCGCGCAAGCGATGCGCATGCAATCAACATCCACTGCGGCTTCATGCGCGCCATCGGCGGCTGCTGCGCGCCCCCAGTCGCGCGTCCTTGCAGCCCTTCAACGTCAGGAGAGCTGTTAGCTTGAAGGCCAAGCTGCAGTGGCAAAAGGGCTTGCCGCTCGCCACAAGGCGGGCGCGCGCGCCGCCGTCGGCGCCGTCTACGCCGCCCAGAGCGCCCCGCACAGCTTCGCGCGGGGCGCCCACGAACCACCAACCCCAAAAAATGTCGAACACGGCGACGCACGGCATGACGGACGAGGGCCTGCGGCGGCGGCGCAAGCCCCTGGACTACCTGCCGGAGCCGAAGCTGCGGGACGCCGACATCGCGCGGCGCATGTTCCTCGTCGGGTCCTGCCTGCTGCCCGTCATCTGGCTCGTCTGCGTGGCCCGCTTCTGGCGGGCCCTCGCGGCCGCGCCGTCGGGCGCGGAGGCCGAGGAGCTGCGGACCTGGGTCCTCCGGTCCGCCGTCGGCCTCGCGTGCGCCGTCGCCATTTTCACGGCGTGGACGATCATCTTCCAGACCAAGTACGAGGCCTGGGGCCTGGAGTTCCTGCTCGTGACCTGACGCGCGAACGCCGCGTCCGCGCGACGCCGGACGCGAGAGGGAGCGGAGGACGAACCCCCGACATTTTGCACGTCAGTGGTATTAGCGCTCGCGCGCTCCATGACCGGAACTTCAAATCTATACCCAAATTTCCGACGCTCGATGTCGCTTCACGCGTCGCGCGCCATCGCGCCGAGCTCCGTCGACGCGCGGCCCCCGCGCAGGCCTGCGCCGTTTTGTTCGTCTTCCGATCTCTGTGTGTGTAAAATTTTGTTGTCTCTTCGCTTCCCAACTATCGTCGCTTAAAGGAGAAGGTCCGCGAGTTGCCCGCGTAGGCCGCGCAGTCGTAGCGGGAGAGCTGGGCGCGGGACAGGTCCGCGAGCTCGCGCTTCGCGAAGCCGTCGGCCTCGTAGGGCGGCGCCTCGACGTCGGCCCCCGCGGGCGCGTAGGCCGGGTTGCCCCAGGTCTCCCAGTTGTGGCCGCAGCACCCGTTCCAGGCCTCGCCGACGACGACGTATTCCGATATATTCGGCAGCACGCGCCAGCCTGGGCAGGAAAAGGGTGCGAAATTCCCAACTTCGAAGGCTCCTATCTCGGTCGTTTTCCGCTCGTTTCGGCTGATTTTTGGACGAGCGATCATCTCTCGGAGCGCTCTCGAAGCGTGGGTGCTGTTTCCGAAACGTGCGCGCGCGGAAAACTCACGTTGAAGCGACGTTGAATCACCCTTTTCCTGCCCTGGCGCCAGCTTGACGTCCAGTCCACGCCCATGGGCATCCAGGCGACGAGCGCGACGTGCGCGCCGTCGGCCGCCGCCTCCGCCGAGGCCGCCTTCACCTCGTGGCGCGGCGCGAAGCGCCACTGCCCGGAGTCCGTCGCGACGACGTTGACCGCGCGTTCCGCGCCGAGCTTCTTCAGCGCGCGCCGGAGGAAGAACGACAGCCGCCCGTCGCCCGCGCCGACTTCGACGACCTCGAGGACCTCGACGCCGCGCTCGTCGCGCGCGGCCGCCAGGTGCGCCGCGAGGCCGTCGACGTAGTCCTTCGTCCAGAAGTCGTAGATCTCGTGGTTCTCGCAGTAGCTATTGAACTCGCTGCGGCCGACGACGCTGCAGCCCGCGAGCTCGAGCAGATCTTCGTACGACGCGGCCGCCGTCGACGCCTCCACGGTCGCCTGGAGCTCGCGGAGCCTCGCGTCCTCGGCCGCCGCGTCGTCGTTCGCGAGGTCCCACTGCTGCAACTGGAAAATCTGGCGCAGCTCCTGGAGCGTCGGCAGCGACTCCGGGTGCGCGCGGAATCGCTGCGCCGCCGCGACGTACGTCCGGCTGCCGCGGTAGCGCCGGTCCATGTGGTCCTTGCGCAGCCAGCTCCGCAGCCGCGTGCACTCGGCGATGACGCGCAGGTCGTCGACGGTCTCCGACGGCGCGACGAGCGAGCGCCGCAGGATGCGCTCGGCGTCCGCGGGCGCGCGGTCCGCCAGCGCGATGGACCGCGCCATCTCGCAGAGGTAGGCCCGCGCGACGCCCTTCGGCGCGAGGCGCGCGAGGCGCAGCAGCGCGCCGTCGGCCATGAGCGCTGGCGCGTTGCACGCGCTGGCTCCGGCTCTGCGCGCGGCGACGATGCGCTGGCTCTCGAAGCTGTGGATCGAGACTGCCGCAAAAGGTTTGGCGAGCACGGCAAGATCATCGGGGTGCTCTCCGGGCAGCCCCGCTATTCGGTGACCATAAGAGAGACGACGATGGCGCGGGGACTGGCCCGGTGGGCCGGGGCCGCCGCCGTGGCGACGATTTTCGCCGCCGCGGGCCTCGCCGTCGTCCTGACGAACGGCCGCGCCAGCGCGCCCCTCGCCATGAGCGCCGTCGAGGCGCCGCGCGTCGAGGAGAAGGCGGCCCGGGTGTCCGTGACGGCCAACGAGGGCGGCGCGCCGGACATCGTGCACATCGTGCTCGACGACATCGGCATGAACGACCTGTGGCACAGCAGCGACCTGCCGGCGAGCGTCATGACGAACATCAAGGCGCTCCAGGAGGGCGGCGTCGAGCTGTCGAACTACTACGGCCAGAGCTTCTGCACGCCCGCGCGCGCGGCGCTCATGTCGGGCAAGTTCATCCACCGCACGGGCTTCGCCGGCGCCGACGTCCACGGCGCCGTCACCTACGAGATCACGGCCTGGTCCAACTTCTCCCTCGCGCGGTCCACGGAGCACGTCTTCATGTCCGAGACGCTCAAAGCCGCGGGCTACGAGAACCACGGCGTCGGCAAGTGGAACCTGGGCCACTGCAACAGCGCGCTGCTCCCGACGTCGCGGGGCTTCGATTCCTGGCTCGGCTACTTCGGGGCGGGCATCGGGTACACGTCCCATCTCGTCGAGGCGACGTCCCAAGCGCCGAACGTCTTCTCCTACGGCGGCGTCAAGTACATGCTCCGCGACATGGTGCGCTGCGACGCGACGTCGGGCGTCTGCAAGGCCGCCACTGACGAGGCCGGCGTCTACTCGACGACGCTCATCACGCGGGAGAGCGTCGCTCGCGTGAAAGGCATGGCGAACACGTCGAGCCCGACCTACGTCTACGCGTCGTACCACGGCGTCCACGACGACTACGGCGTCAACGACACGCAGTCCGAGGTGCCGCCGGCGGTCATGCTCGCCATCAACGAGGCCACGACCATGGTGCGCCGCAAGAACTTCGCCGTGGGCATGTATTTCGTCGACGAGGGCGTCGGCGCGCTCGCGCGCGCCTTGGCGACGCACTCGACGGATTATGTGATCGTGCTCCACGCGGACAACGGCGGCTCGCCCTGCGGCTCCCACTGCGACAGCAACAACCACCCCTACCGGGGCACGAAGTTCTACGACTTCGAGGGCGCCGTCAAATTGCCGTCGCTCGTCTACTCGCCGCGCCTCGCGGCGCGCGCGGGCACGTCCTACAACGGCCTCATGCACCACGTCGACTGGCTCGCGACCTTCGCGACGGGCCTGGCCGGCGTCGCCATCACCGACGACACCGTCGACTCCCTCGACCACTGGAAGGCGATCCACGCGGGCAACTACAGCGACTACGCGGTCCGCGACACGGTCGCCTTCAGCCTCGGCGCGACGGAGGCGACGCTCCGCTTCCAGCAGTACAAGTACATGAAGGCGCGGTCCAACTCGTCCTGGTACGACGTCGACCGCGAGATCGTCAACGAGATCTTCCTCTGCATGAACAGCGGCGAGGACTACTTCCTCTTCGACGTCGAGACGGACCCCTACGAGCGGCACAACCTCTTCTACAACCCGGCCTACGCCGAGACGGTCCAGATGCTCGACGCCATGTACATGGACCTCTACGCGACGCAGCACGTCGAGCGGACGAACCCCGTCGCGGAGCCCATGGACGCGGCGACGAAGGCCGCGTTCATCGACTCCACGCCCGCGAAGGAGCAGGTCAAGTACGTCCTCCCCTGGGGCTGCGACCTCTCCTAGACGGCCCTCGTAAGCGACCCTTGTATCTTCTTACCTCAGCAGGCCCAGCCGTTCGCGCCGCTCGCGTACGTCGCCTCGGAGTACGCCTTGCCGCTGAGCCGCTTGCCGCCCTTGGCCGCCGACGTCTTGTTCTGCGCGTCGCTCAGCACGGCCTTCTGCGCGTCGCTGAGCTTCTTCGTCTTCTTGGGGCCGGCCTTGCCGCGCTTCGCCAGCAGCGCCTTGACGTCGACGGGCGCGGCCGGCGCGGCCTCGGCCTCCGCGGCCGGCGGCGCGTCGGGCTTCTTGTTGCCGCGGCGCCGCCGCGTCTTCTTGTCCTTGCCCGTGCGCTCCGGCGAGATGGCCTCGGGCTCCGCCGTCTTCTCCGGCGACGACACGCCGGGCGCCTCGTCCGGCGCGTCCAGCGACAGGTTTTTCAGCGCCGTCTCGCACGTCGCAGCTTTCGGGCACTCGGCGCAGTTCTCCGGCGACGGCGCGCATTCTTCGATGGCGGACATGGTGCTGGCAACGGCGGCAGGGCGTGCGCAAGGGGGGTCTGATTGGGGTCTGATTTTGAACCAACTCGAGCGGCCGCACTGGTTGCGAGTTGCAGTCGATACTCTGCCATGTTGACGCTCGGCGTGACATCACTTGGTTGACTCCAGACCGCCTCGCCCAGGTTTGGGCACGCGATGCAGCGGTTCCAGGACTTGGCGCGGCGCTCGGTCTGTGGACCATGTCGCGCCTTGGGCCCGGCTGCGAGTCGCTCGGGAAAGACCATCGGTCGATGGGGAGCAACTTAGTTCGCGTCGGGGCAGCCCGTGGACGTCGAGAACGGCGGTTAACGGTGGGGGGCGACCGACGAGGGGCTCGCATTAGTGCTGAGGTCCGAGCTGTGCGTGCAACTTCGAAGAGACACCCCCTGGAATGTCCCTCCCGAGGGGGCTGTCCGGGTTTGCACGCACAGCTCGCCTCATGCATTGCGCGGTGAGCACCGTGTCGCCCGCGGCGCCGCGCGCCTCTCGGAGCCGGTGAGGTGATCTCGATCAAGTCGGCTCGAGCCGAAGAGCTGCCGCGAGGGCATCTGGTCGCCCCCATGACGAACGATTCCCGACGCTCTGTGACTCGAAGGGGACCGAAAATCGGGTCGGGGGAAGCTGCCGCGCCTCATTCCACCCCCTGAGGCTGCCCGTTTGCGTCGCCTCGCAATCGTCCGGATGTCGCGTCTTTTCATGTGCCTCACCCACATGTTTGCGGACCTCAAAGCCACTGGGATCGTTGCACGTCGCTGCATATTCGAGGAGCGCGGGGCCCTCTAAGGTGGAGATTCCATCATCGGCCGCTGAAATACTCCTTGCGAGACACCGTCTCTAGCCCTCTAGAAGCTAGGATTTCTTCAAAGTTTGTCTTGGTTTGCAAAAGTTCAAGCGACGGGGTATCCACTGCAACTTGCAACCAGCGCGGCGCTGCGGCATCTTTGCGGCACGGTCGCCTCGCTCGCCAAAAACTACAAAGCTGCGGCGCAAAGTCGTCGTCTCGCACCAACTGCCCCGCGCCCGCTAACGCCGCCGATCATGGCCGCCATGGCCCCGTCGAAGCGCACCTTGGCCCTCTTCGACATTGACGGCACGCTGACGCCCGCGCGCAAGACCATCAGCCCCGAGATGCGCGCTTTCATGCAGACGCTGCGCGGGAAGATCACCGTCGGCGTCGTCGGCGGCTCGGACTTCCCGAAGCAGAAGGAGCAGCTCGGCGAGGACGTGACGTCCCAGTTCGACTACGCCTTCAGCGAGAACGGCCTCATGGCCTTCAAGGGCGAGACGCTCATCGGGCAGGAGAGCTTCGCGGCGAAGATCGGCGAGGACGAGCTCCAGAAGCTCATCAACTGGGTCCTCGCCTACCTCAGCAAGGTCACGCTCCCCGTGAAGCGCGGCACCTTCATCGAGTTCCGCACGGGCATGCTGAACATCTCGCCCGTCGGCCGCAACTGCTCGCGCGAGGAGCGGAACGCGTTCGAGGCGTACGACCTCAAGGCGGGCGTCCGCAAGGCCATGGTCGCGGCCATGCAGGCCGAGTTCGCCCACCTCAACCTCACCTTCTCCATCGGCGGCCAGATCAGCTTCGACGTCTTCCCCAAGGGCTGGGACAAGACGTTCTGCCTCAAGTTCCTCGAGCCCGGCCTCTTCGACGAGGTCCACTTCTTCGGCGACAAGACCTTCGAGGGCGGCAACGACTTCGAGATCTTCTCCCACCCGGACGTCAAGGGCCACACCGTCGTCTCCCCCGAGGACACCAAGGCCCAGTGCACGGCCCTCTTCCTCTAAGAAGCTGCGGCCGAGCTCGAGCTCGAGCGGTTGTGTGTGTCGCTCTCGCGAGCTCGAGGCACAGCGGTCCCGTTTACACCGCCGCGGAGCTCCGCGACGCGAAGGGCCGCGCGACGGCCAGCGGGCCCGTGCGCACGTAGCACGCGTCGTTCCGCGCGTCGCCGAGGAAGCCCGGCGCCTCTTCGTAGCCGAGGGCGACGAGCGCGGCGTCGACGGCGGCGCGCTTCTCCCGCTGGTTGCTCTCGCAGTAGTTCTTCTCGAAGACGACGACGTCCGGCCGCACGTCGTCGAAGGGGAACCGCAGCAGCAGGTCGCAGTCCATGCTCTCGACGTCGAGCAGGAGGAGCCCGACGGCGTCGCCCCCGTGCGTCGTCAGCAGCGTCGCCCAGTCGAAGCCCGGCACCGTGCGCCGGACGATGGGCGCCGTGCCGTTGCGGATGAAGCCCACGTGCCAGCCGACGAACGTGCGGTTCGTGCTCGCGAAGAGCGACGACGCGTCGTAATCCTCCAAGCACTTGTCGCTCGCTTCCATATCGTCGTCGTTCTCGGCCTCGCCGCAGCGCCGCAGGTCGTAGAACGTCGCCGGGCCCGGCGTTTCGACGACGGCGCCGTGCACGTAGCTGACGCGCGCCTCCACGCCCCGGTAGTTGGCGACGAGCGCCTCGAAGTTGGCCTGTATGGGCTCGACGAGCACGGCGCGCGCCCAGTAGGGGGCGGCGCGGCGCAGCCAGGCGAAGACCGGGTCCCCCGCGTGGCCCGCACTGACGCGCGACTCGCCGACGTTCGCGCCGACCTGCAGCAGGTCGACGGGATGGCCGCCGTTGCCGCAGCTCGCGCGCAGCCGCTCGCGCGCGACGCGCGCGAGGCCGTCGGCGGCGCAGAGAGCGTCGCCCGCGGCGCAGCCGAGGCCCAGCGCGAAGCCGCGCTTCTGGAAGAGCCGCACGTGGGCGAGGGCCTGGCCGACGACGCTGCTGCCGTTGCGGAACAGCAGCGATGCTTTGCTGCCGTCCAACGTGATGTCGACCTAAGGACGGCGCGGTGGTGTGGCATGCTCGAAAAGAAACGACGTTCGGGCGCCGGCGCCGCGCGGACACACCGCAGCCGGACGCGGTAGCGAGCGTCAGCGCGAGGGCGACGAGGGAGCGCTGTGCCATCGGGCAGCCTTAGCAACACGGTGCAAGGAAGTGTGCAAGGTCGCGAAGTTGAAGTCGAAAAATTAGGTCAAGTCTCTCTACCGGGCCTCAGGTAGGAGCCCACGGCGATCATGCTGCGGCGGTTGTGGACCTCGCCCAGGTGCTCCTCCGCCGCCTCGGGGCACAGGGCCCAGTTCTCCGCCTCGATCATGCGATTGTCGCCGTCGATGTCCGAGTTGGGCGCGTGGGCGATGACCTCGGTCCAGTTCGCGGCCTTGGTGCCCAAGGCGAGGAGCGACTCGGCGTCGTCGGGCTCGTCGCCGCTCGCGAGGCAGAAGGCGGGGCAGCAGATCTCGTGCGCGTTCGCCGGGCGCGCGAGGGCGCAGCCGCAGAATTCGTCGCTCAGGCGCGGCGCGCAGCGCCGCACGGGGGGCAGGACGCACCTGCGATGCTGCGCGTGGACGCGCTCGTGCTCCGCGAGGAGCCCGGCCTCGCGCGCGGCGTCCCACGCGGCCGTGATGACGCGCTGGAACTCGTGGTCGTCGCCGAGGTCGTCGACGACGACGCGGTTCCACGACGGATCGGCGAGCCGGGCCATGTGCTCGAGGTCCCGCGTCACGGCGCCGTCCGTGTGGCCGCCGTCCACGAAGAGCACGTGGCAGCGCACGTCCGGGAGCATCGCGGCGAACGACGGCACGGACGACGCCGAGTCGCCGAGCAGCAGCGCGAGGCGCCCGGGGAACCGCTCGGCGAGGTAGTCCGCGGCGAGGGAAGAGAAGAGGACCCAGCGGCTCGGGTCCCGGGCATGGGGGTGCATGTTGCCCACGTCGAAGGCGAAGACGCGGCTGTCCGGCCGCGCCGCGAGCCAGTTGAGCGCGCTGTGGCCGGCGTTGAAGCCGATCTCGCAGACGGTCGGGTTCGCCGGCGCGCCGTCGAGCACGCGCTGGAGCACGGCGACCTTCTCGTGGTACGTGCCCGTGTGGCCCTCGAGGACGTCGAAGTCCACGCCGCGGCTCCGCAGGTGCCGCTCGAGGCCCATGGCGGCCTCGTAGTACTCGAGCAGCCGCACGTTCCGCGTCGCCGCGAGGAGGGCCGTCCGGCAGCCCTCCTCCTGGGCGACCCCCACGCCCAGGAACTCGTCGCAGACCCGCCGCGGCAACGTCGCGAGCTCGCCGAGGTCCGACCCGTTGATGCGCAGCAGCATGGGCCGCCCGTCCATGGTGAGCGACAGGCGCGACGCGCCACGCCTCACCGGGGCGCTGCCGTTCATCTTCCGCCACCACCGCGCCGCCGCATCAGGCGGAGCCGGGTCCCCGCGCACGCCAACGAGGACGACCAGCACCAATCCAGCGAGGCGCATCATGCTGCCAGGAGATGCTGCCAGGAAGAAGTCCAGGAAGGCCATAATTAAAGCCGTTCATGCAGTGCGTTCATGTTGTTGAGTACGGCGTTGAACCGGGTAATATAATACTCGCCTCCCCCGGTCATCACCACACATTACAAATAGAGGCGCCTCGACAGGAGGAGCTCGCGCGCCCGCGCGCGCCCGACGACGAGCTCGAGCTCGACCCGCGAGAACGCGCGAGGCGGCGCGCGGTCGTAGCCCGCGTAGCCGTCGTAGTCCGGGAGCGCGACGGCCCGGCCGCCGACGGGCCAGTGGCCCGTCGCGGCGCCGCGCCGCGCGGCGTCGAGCCGGCGCTCCAGATCCGCGACGGTCGCGGCCGCCGCCGGCGCCATGCACGCGAATACCGACAGGCGCGACACCGCCGCCTTGTCCCAGGGCGAGCGCCGCGCGGCCCCGCGCAGGGGCGCGTGGACCGCGTGGGCCAGCCTCGAATCCCAGAGGACGAGGTCGCCCGCGTCGGCCTCGACCAAGACCCGGTCGAGGCCGCGGAGCGCGTCGTCGCCGTTGGGCACGGGCATGAGCCACGAGCCGCCGTTCACGTCGCCGTGGCGGTCCACGAGGGCGTCGTGGACCGCGTGGCTCCCCCGGATGGCCATGAAGCCGCCCGTGGCCGCGGTCTGGTCCGTGAGGAGGAGCATGCCCTGTATCGCTCTCTCGTCCGCGTTGCCGTCCGTGTGCAGGAACGACCCCGCGAGGGGCCGCGGCCGCCGCGCCGTCTCCGACAGGAGCGCCGACGCGCCGTCGAAGGACGTGACGAGGTCGTCGTCGCCGTAGAGGCTCGCGTAGGCGTCGCGGACGCGCGTCGCCGACCGCGCGGACCAGAGCGCGTCCGAGTGCGCGAGGCCCGCGACCCTGAGCGCGCCCCGGGGCTCGCTGATGCGCCGCAGGCTCGCGGGCCGGGTCCGCGCGACGGGCGCGCGCGCCTCGAGAAAGTCCCAGAGGTCCGCGGTGATGTTCGCGACCGCCGCCGGCGTCGCCGCGCGGCGGACGACGGCGTAGCCGTCCGTCGCGAGCGCGGCGCGCAGGCCCGCGGCGTCGCCGGCGTCGAAGGCGCGCGGCCTCGCCGCGACGACGTCGGGCGGCGCCGAGGCGTTCGCGTCGAGGAGCGCGCGCAACACCGCGGCCTCGACGCAGCCGCCGTCGCCGTCGCCGCAGCCCGCGCCCGCGGCGGCCCCCGCGGCCGCGGCGGCGGCGGCGGCCGCCGCGGCGAGCGCGCCGCGCGTCCGGTTCTCCGGGGTGACGACGACGACGTCGTCGTCGACGGCGAGCCTGACCGCGACGCCGTGGCCGCAGCGCGCGGGCCAGGCCATGGCGTTTTCCGCGTCGCAGACGTCGACAATTGCGCCCGTCGGCGACACTAGCCGCTCCGCGTCCGCGGCCGCGCCGTCGATGGCGGCGTCGACGGGCGCGGCCTCGCGGTGGTACGGCCGCCGCGCGGCCCGCGCCGGGATCCGGCCGGCGACGTCGGAGTCGTCCGTCGCGTCCCGGACGTAGGGGAAGCGCCGCGTCGACAGCTCCGTGGCCTGGGAGTTGCGCAATATCGCCGGCGGCGCGCAGGCGCGGAGGCCCGCGCCGAAGACGAGGAAAGCCACGAACAGCTCGGAGTTGAACGCTTCTATGTAGTCCGTCCGCAGCGCGGGGTCGTCGCCGGCGCGGCGCGCCGGCGCGCCGCGCGGCAGCCGTCTGAGCGCGTCGAGGTGGTCGCGGGCCGCGGACTTGAGCTCGACGGGCGTCCGCGGAGGCGCGTCGACGCCCGGGCCGGCGCCGCCGGCGCCGAAGACCGCGACGGGCAGCGGGAGCCACCACCACTTGAGGCCCGTCAGGTCCGACGCGAGGACCAGGTCCCAGTCCACGGGCTCGTAGAGGGGCGACCCGTCGGGCGCGCGCGGCGGCCGGAACGTCGCCTCCGCCCGGTCCCTCGCGCCGTCGAACGCGCGCGAAAACTCCGCCGGTCCGCCGTAGAACACGAAGTCGCTCCGGCAGTGGATCGCCCCCGGCGCGGCCCGCAGGTCCGCGTAGGGGAAGGGCACGTGCTCGTCGAGGTCCGCGCGCGTGCGCACGACGACGTCGAAGGCGGCTAGATCCTCCCAGAACGCGTCCAACGCGAGATCCAGGAGCGCCCACTGCCAGAACCCGCCGTGGACCTCCGTGTTGTTGTGTTCGGCGTCGCGCGCCGCTTGCGCCGCCTCGCCGGGCGCGTAGGTGGCGCGCGACCGGGCGACCTGCGCGACGCCGCGCGCGCGGAGCTCGGCTTCGAGGATCGCGGGATCCGCCGCGACTATGCGCTCCGGGGCCGTCAGGTCGCGCGCGGCGGCCTCGAACCTGGCGTGCGTCGCGACGAAGACCGTCGTGCCCGCCAGGTCCCGTTGGAACTTGGCGAGGTGCGCCGCGTCGAGCAGCCGGAGCTCGCCCGTGACGACGACCGCGACGCGGACGGCCGGCGTGTCCGCGGCGCGGCGCGGCGCGCAGCGGCTCGCGAAGTCCGTCCCGCGCCGGAAGGCGGCCGTGAGGGCGGCGTCCCCGTCGTAGTCAAGCGGGTTGCCCCAGTGGTCCTCGCTCACGCGCTCCAGCGGGAAGGACCCGAAGTGCGCGACCTGGAAGCGTTCGCCCGCGGCCGCCGCGGCCGCGAGCGCCGCCGCGACCGTGGCCTCGCACGCGTCGTCCTCCCACTTGGCCTCGTCGCAGAAGTGCGCCGCCGCCAGCCGTCGCGTCGGCTCGTCGGCGGGGATCTCGAGGAAGGCGTCGACGGGCGCCCAAATCAAGTTGGGGTCCGTGCCCGTCTCCCACGTCGCGTCGACGACGAGGCCGTCGATGGCGATGGTCTGCGTGTGCGTGGCGCCGGCGGCGAGCGCGATGGTGCAGGCGGCGAAGCACCCTCGCGCCATGTGGAGAGCTAGTGGGCTGCCGCCATACAATTGTAGGCCTATTGTTTAAGTGTAATCTTAAATGTTGAAGTCCCCTGGAGAGTTGAATCACCGCGTGACACATCCGGGCGCCGGCGGGGCGCGTTACGCCGGCCCGCTAGAACGTCGGGCAGCCCGGGGCGAACCTCGGTTTCGTGGCCTGGAAGAAGATCCACTGGCCGGCGAAGCGCTCGGCGCCCGGCCCCGAGGGCCGGATCCGGTAGCGGAAGTCGACGTAGCCGATGGCCTCGAGGTCGCGCCGCAGGTCGTCCGGGTCCTCGACGCGCGTGTCGTGGGCGTCGGTGACGCGGAGGTCGTTGTGGTAGTCCACGGTGATCGGCGGGTCGACGACGGACGGCCCGAAGCCCATCTGCTTGCTGATGCGCCCGCCGCAGCGCAGGACGCGGTAGAACTCCTCGAAGAGGGGGTAGCGGATGCTGTGGAAGGTGATGTGCTGCATGACGATGGTGCTGAAGACGACGTCGTAGAAGCCCGACGGCACGTTCGCGAGGTCGCGGCCGTCGCAGTGGTAGAGGCGGTAGTCCGCCACGCCCCTGGCCCGCAGGTAGCGGTCCGCGTTCTCCAAGTTCGTCTTCGCGATGTCGACGCCGTCGACGCGCGCGAAGCGCTCGTGCCACTTCTCCATGTTCCGGCCCGGGCCCGTGCCGAAGTCGAGCGCGACCATGGCGCGCGTCGCGTGCTCGTCGAGGCCCTCCCAGAGCAGCGCCATGTCGGGCCAGGCGTTGTGCTCGTAGAACGTGCCCAGGCCGACGACGACGTCCGCCGTCACCGTGCCGTCGGCCTCCATCGCGTGGCGCGACGCGAGGTCGTCGTAGACGCGCTGGCTCTGCTCCGCGTAGAGCCGGCTCGCCGCGTCGGCCTCGTCCTGCTTCGCCGCCATGGCCTCGGCCAGGCGCCGCGCGACGCAGGAGCTCCTGCACACCTGGCCGTCGGCGCCGACCAGCTCCGGGATCGCCTCGGCGACGATGAAGTCGTAGGCGATGGCCTCGAGCCGCGCCGCGTCGTCGCCGCCGCCGAACTCGACGGTCGCGTCGCGGCCGTCGAGCTCCACCGCCATGGACAGCAGGCCCACGCAGGCGGGCAGGGACGCGACGAGCGCCAGGCCGGCGGCGACGCGGCTGCCCATCATGGCGTTGATGATGCCGTTCGCGATGGAACGATGGCTGCCATAGCTACGCGATGAGGATCCATGAGATGCTCCGGCGCGTCGCCGTCGTCGCGGCGCTCGGGGCGCTGCGCGCGGCCGGTGACGACGCGCGCCTCGCGGCGGCGGAGCACCGCGCGAAGCACCACTTCACGCACATCTGGTACGCCGACCGCGAGCAGGCGCCGTCGGAGCTGTGCTCCAGCGCGAACCTGCTGCGGCCGCCGCCGTCCTGCGAGCGGGCGCTCGCCTTCGAGGTCGACGGCACGGCCCGGCACGTGCGCTGGCGGTCCGGCGACGGGGACGCGGCGCTGTCCGCGGCGGTCGCCGACGCCGTCGCGGGCCCGCCGGCCGACGTCGCGGCCGAGGCGTCCCGGCCGCTGCTCGACGCCGTCGCCGGCGCGGAGGCCGCCGTCGCGACCCTCGCCCCGCCGGTCCTCGCGGACGCCGCGGCCGTCGAGCGCGCGCTGGACGAGGACGGCTACGCGGTCGTCGACGCGTTGGACGCCAAAGCGCTCGCGGAGGCGACCGAGCTCTTCGACTCAGCTCGTCGCCGGCGAGGTCGAGGTCGCCGGCGATGGAGAAACCCCCGCCTGCGCCCTGCGGCGCGCCGCGGACCCCGCGACGGGCCTGCTCGCGAACGCGGCGCGCGTCGCGCACGGCCCGCTGATGTGGCACCTCCGGCGGCGCGTCGCGTCCCGGTTCCAGCGATTGTGGAACGACGACGACGTCGTCACGTCCTTCGACGTGCCGTCGGCGCTGCTGAGCGCGACGCGCGACGACCCCTGGCCCATGCAGACGGGGCTACACGTCGACGCGAACTGGCACCGCGGCGCGTCGCAGCGGGGGCGGCGCGCGGTGCAGGGCATGATCCTACTGACGGCGCAGGACCGGCGCTCCGGCGGCCTGGTCGTCGTGCCGGGCTCGCACCGCGACCACGAGTCCATCGCGCGGCGCTACGGCGACACGTCGAAGGCGGCGGGCGCGTGGCTAATGCCGGTACCCCGCGACGCGCCCGAGCTCGACGGGAAGCCGCGCGCGTTGCTGGAGGTCGAGGCGGGCCGCATGGTGCTCTGGGATTCGCGCCTCGCGCACGCCGTCGTCCCGCCGCTGGACCCGCGGCCCCTCGACGGCGGCTGCGGCGCGACGCTGCGCGCGGCCGCGTACGTCTGCATGACGCCCCGGAAATGGGCGTCCGACGCCTGGGTCGACACGCGCTGGCTCGCGTTCCACCAGCAGCTCGCGACGGGCCACTGGCCCCACTTCGACAGCGTGCTGAGGCCCGTCGCGCCCTGGGACGTCGCGCGCTTCGACCCGCTCGTCCACTGGCCGACGCACGTCGACCCGGCGGTCTGCCGCATGATCGGGCGCCTCGCGCCCCCGCCGGACGACCCGCTCCGCCAGGTGTCCCTCTGCGTCGACGGGACCTTCTGGCTCGGCGTGCCGCCGGCGGCGGAGGGGGCGGAGGCGCGCGGCGCGCTCCTCGAGAGCCGGGGACACTGGGCGGAGACGCGCGCCGCGCTCCTCGAGAGCCACGAGGCGGCGCTGGCGAAGGATCCCAACGACCCGACATCGCGCGCGCTCGTCGGCGCGGCGCGCTGGGCCGCGGCGAACTGCAACTACGAGCTCTGCGACCGCGCCGCGGCGTCGCGGGCCGCGGCGGAGCTGCGCGACGGGTTGGACGCCGACGCGGCCGCGCTCGCGACCTTCATGGGCAACACCTGCAACGGCGTCCTCCCCTTCAACGGCCGGCCGCCCGCGGCGCCGCGGTCGACGCTCGACCACCTGCTGTCGTTCTGCGCCAAGGCCGCCGACGTCGGCGTCGTCGACCGGGCCGGCCGCTGCCCCGACGACCCGGCGCCCCTCGTTCCCGAGGCGGACGACGACGAGGACGCCCGCTGGGTGACGTCGGGCGCGCCGGGCGACGTCGACGCCGTCGACGGCTTCGGGGCGGCCTCCGCGGCGCCGGCGCCGCCGCTGTCGGCGGACGAAGCGGCGACGTTGGACGCGGCGCGGGCGGGCGTCTACCGGTCGCCGGACGCGGCGGCGTCGCGGGGCGTCGCCGTCGCGGTCTGCTTCTCCGGCGAGACGCGCGCGCTCGAGCGCACGGCCCCCTGGCTCGCGTCGCGCTTCCTGCCGGCGCTCCGGCGGGCCGCGGGCGACGTCGAGCTGCTCGCGCGCGTCGCCGACGACGGCGACGCGTGGAAGGTCGCGCGCCACCTCGGTGCGATCCCGGGCGCGCCGCTCGCGTCCTTCGCGCTGCAGCCCCCGGAGGAGAGCGACGCACTCAAGGGCCTGCGTCGCTGGGTCGCGGACTACTGGCGGGCCGCGCTGCGGCGCCGGCACGACGCGCAGGCCGGCGACGGGTCCTGGTACGGCGGCCTCCTCGCCGACGGCCTCGCCATGACGGACGACGCGCCGGACGTCCAGGTGCCCGCGGCCGTCTCCGTGAACCGGCTGACCATGTGGGCGGGGCTCGCGTCGCTCTGGGACGACCTCGAGGCCCGGCGCCAGTCGCAGAACGTGACCTACGCGTTCGTCGTGCGCATGCGGACGGACGTCGTCGTCGACGCGGGGCGCCTCGAGCGGGGCGTGCCCTGGGGCGCGCTGCGCGCGGGCCGCTACGGCCGCGGCGCCGTCTACCTGCCCGTGGTCGGCTGCGGCTGCAACGTCCGCGGCCCGCCGGACACGTTCGGCGTCGCCGCGGGCGACCGCGCGATCCGGACGTTCCTCCGGGGCCCCTTCGACGAGGCCGCGGACCTCTGGGTCGCGTGGCTCGCGGCGCAGAAGGCGCGCGCGAGCCGGAACTACACCGTCGAATGGGACCAGTACCACGACGGCGTCCTCGCCGGGGAACGGCGGGTGGCCGTGCCGGCGCTGGCGGGCCGCGCGGACCGCGCGCGCCTCGCGGCGGCCGACTGCGCGGCCGCGGGCTACGAGGGCGCGACGCGCGCGGCGTGCGCGGCGGCGCTGCTGGCGCGCCTCGCGACGGACGCGTTCTCGCACGCGTGGCGGACGCTGCGGCCGCGGCAGGTGCTCGACCCCTACTGGGGCACGGCCTGGTACGCGGGTCTCGTCGGCGGCGCGGGCGAGGAGGCGCGGGCGATGAACCCCTTCGCCTTCGAGTCCGAGCAGGTGCTGGGCATCGTGCTCCGGCGGGCGGGGCTGGCGGTGCGCGTCGTGCCGGACCTGCGCTACACGGTCGTGCGCGCGGCGTCGTCGAAGGCGTTCCACGCGGCGCCGTTTCGGGGCCGCTTCTTCGGCGCCAAGTGCATGCTCGGCACGACCGCGCCGCCGTGGCCGCCGGACGGGTTGGATACGGTCGCCGCGTCCTACTTTGCGAGCTGGGAGACGAGCGACCGCCTCTACCGGTGGCCCGACGGCTTCGACCACGTCGAACCCTTCGCGGGGGCGCCGCCGCCGCCGCCGGCGACGGTCGTGACCGCGCGGCACCGCCTCGCGAACGGGACGCGCGTCTCGCTCTACGCCGCGGGCTTCGTGGCCCGGTCGCAGGCCTAACGTTGTTGTTCCCCCGATGTGGCCCGGGCTCCTTTCTCGTGAGATTCGCACGCCGAACGTCGTCGTTAGATGCGCTTCGGGTCCGCGATGCCGGGGAAGGCGGACGGCATGCGGTTGCCGGGCGCGCGCGGCGGCGGCGGCTGCTCCGCGGCGAGCCAGGGCGCCTCGATGGACGTCCGCGCGCAGGGCCGCTGGGCGCAAAAGTACTCGAGGAGGCTCCGCAGCGTCCGCGCGGGCACGAGGGCGCCCGCGCGGTGCAGCGCGGCCTTGGCGAAGTTCTCGACGCCGTCGGCCGGGTCGATCCACGCGGGCAGCGTGAGCGTCCCGAAGGTCTCGACGGTCGCGGTAAGCGTCGGCGTCACGGCGCGCGAACACTCCCGGCGGCTGCAGAACCAGGCGAGCATGTCCTCGAGGAGCGCCTCGCGCACGTCGACGCCCGCGCGGTGCGCGACGCGCGCGAAATGCTCGACCTCCGCGGCGGGCTCGTTCCAGGGGAAGACCTCGAGCGTGCCGACCGCGCGGACCTCCAGGGTCAATCCTCGCGGCATGCGCGAACAGGACCGCCGCGCGCAGAACCAGCGCATGACCGCGTCGACGTCGCCGCGCGCGACGGCGACGCCGCGCCGCGCGGCGTCGGACGCGAGGCGCTCGACGGCGGCGGCGGGCTCCTCGTAGGGCTCGCAGACCGCGAGGCCCAGCGCCGACGCGTTCACGGCGAGCCGCGGCGCCACATCCCGCGCGCAGTCGCGCCGCCGGCAGCACCACTCGTGGAGCGACCGCATGCCCGTCTCCGTGAGCGCGTGGCCCGCGGCGACGGCCGCCGCGGCGAACCGCTCGACGACGTCCGCGGGCTGCTCCCAGGCTTCGACGACGAGGAGCCCGACGGAAGTCACGTTGAGCTCGAGCCGCGGGCTGAGGCGTTTCCGGCACGGCCGCTTGTCGCATAATGCCGCGAGCACCTCGGCCATCTGTGGTTCCGACATGCGCACGCCGGCCGCGAAGGCCTCGGCGGCCAGCGCCTCGACGGCCGCCGCCGGCTCCGTGTAGGGCTCGACGGTCAGCGAGCCCACGCCGCGAACGCGCGCCGTGAGCGTGGACGCCAAGGGCCTGGGACAGGGCGCGTAGCTGCAGAACCACGAGTGCATGCGCCGCATGTCGTCGACGGAGACCTCGACGCCGGCGCCGCGGGCCTCCGCGGCGAACTCCTCGACGACGTCCGCCGGGTCGACGCCGGGGTCCACGCGCAGCGTCCCCACGTCCTTGATGGTCAGCGAGATGGGCGCCGGGGGCGCCGCCGGCGCCTGCGGCTCCTCGCAGCGGGCGACGAGCGCCGTCAGCGCGATGAGCAGGCGGCGCATCGCTTCTCGCCGCAGTAGCAGCCCTCCGCGACGCCCAGCGGCTTCACGAGTTAATTCGGTACCCTGGGAATCGTTTTAGAGGGCAGTTCAAGTTGACTTTCTTACCACAAAGTTGTGCAACTGAGCTTCTCAGCTCAAGCGCGCGCCGGCCTCCATGGCCGCCGCCGACCGCGCGGCCGTCGCGGACGAGGTCTGGCGCGGGTGCATCCCCGTCTGCCTGCGCAGCGGCGGCGAGGACCGGCCGCTCTACGCCATGGTGCCGCGCCTGGCCTACCTCCCGACGCTGGAGGCGCAGCTCGCGCGCCACTTCCGCGAGGCGCCGGCGCCGGCGCCGGCGCCGCAGCACGACGACGAGGCGCGCGCGCCGAGCCTCGCGGACTCGGACTACTTCGCCGCCGTGTCGCCGAGCGCGCGGTCGGCCGCCGCGGAGGAGCCGCGGACCGAGCGACGGGAGGAGACGGGCCTCTGGTTCTGCGACGGCGCCGGCGCGCCCGTGCCCTGGGACGTGCCGCTCGGCGCGGCCCTGGACGCCGCGGCGCTCGCGGGCCCCGTGGCGCTGCCCTGGGAGCTGGGCGCGCGGTTTCGAGGCGCGCCCGCCGACCACGTCGCGTGCGAAGAACAGGGGTGTTGTTTCAAGGCCTTCTACCACGCGCTCAAGCAGGCCGTGCACCTCGAGCGCGGCACGGCGCGCGCGGCCCTGACGCTGCCGCGCGTCGACCAGGAGGCGCTCTGGGCCGCGCTGAACGCGGGCGATCGCGGCGCGTTCGCGGCGCGGGACCTCGCGCCCGTCGACGCGCCGCGCCACGTGCCCGTGCGGCTGCTCTTCCGCGGGTGCCCGCCCGTGCAGCTGCCCATGGCGCCCGTCGCGGGCGACGGCGCGCCGGCGACGCTGGCGACCGCGCTGGGTCCGGCCGTCGAGGCGAGGCTCGGCGTCGCCGTCGCGGGCTGCGTCGCCGTCGCCCACGGCGTCGCGCTCCCCTGGGACATGGAGCTGCTCGACGCCTGGCGGAACCTCCACTACGGCGACCACTTCCTCTACCTCGCCGTGGCGCGCCGGCCGCCGTGAATGGAACTCCGGCGCGCGTTATGTTGTGAGTGCTGTGTCTGAGAAGCGAGCCCCTGTTTCTGAGAAGCGAGCCCCTGTTTCTGAGAAGCTCGTCCGCCGGAATGTTCTTGTTAGCCAACCCGGGTTTGTGGCAGCCAGACTAGGGGCGGGCGAGGGCGCGGAGGTCGTTGAAGGACGACGAGGGCCCGAGCGCGGTCACGGACGTCGGCGACGAGGACAGGAGGTCGAGGCGGTCGTAGGACTTGGACGCGCGGAGCGACGACTCCGAGGACGCCTCGTCGTCGGCGGCGGCCTTGTCCAGGGCGAGGAGGAACGTGAGGCCCGACGCCGGCGCGACGCGCGGCACGACGACGTTGCCGACCGCGTACGCGCCGGCCGCGTCCTTCGTGTTGTCGCAGGCGACGAGGTTCCGCGGCAGCTCCTTCTTGATGGCCTCGCAGGTCTTGGAGGCCCGGGGCGCCACGCCGTGGATCGACACGCGGCGGAGCCGCTCGGCCTCGGCGGCGGCGGCCGCCGGCGGCCGCTTCCCGGCGGCGGTCTTGTAGGCGCCGACGGCGTAGGCGCCCGCGGCGTCCTTCGTGTTGTCGCAGGCGACGAGGTTGCGCGGGAGCTCCTTCTTGATCGCTTCGCAGGTCTTGGAGGCGACGGGGGCGCAGCCGTGGACGGAGACGCGGCGGAGCCGCTCGGCCTCGGCGGCGACGGTCGTCGCGGGGCGCTTCCCGGCGGCGGTCTTGAAGCTCCCGACGGCGTAGGCGCCGGCGGCCTCGCGCGTGTTGTCGCAGGCCACGAGGTTGCGGGGGAGCTCCTTCTTGATCGTTTGGCACGTTTTGGACGCGACCGCGCCGACGCCGTGCGCCGACACGCGGCGGATCCGCTCGAGCTCGGAGGCGACGGTCGTCGGGGGGCGTTTCCCCGCGGTCGTCTTGAAGCTGCCGACGGCAAAGGCGCCGCAGGCCGTGCGGCCCGTGTCGCACGCGACGAGGTTGCGGGGCAGCTCGCCGGCGATCGCCGAGTGCGTGGGGGAGCGAATGGGGCCTTCCCCATGAAGCTCGATGAGGCGGCTGCGCTCGTCCTCGACGAGCATCACCATGATGGCTATTTTGGGAGGGGGTGTCACGATCTTTGACGCCGAAGACGGCCCTCAGAGCGTCTCGTGCTTCTGTGGCCGATCGGCCCAGTCCCATGGTGAGGTGGCTCGCTTCGCCTCGCCACTGAGCCGGCCGCGGCGCCGTTGCTCGTGGCCGGCCAGCTCGCGTCGCCAGGCCAGCGCGCGCTGTAGCAGCGTTGCTGGTCCCCAGCTATCACCGCCATGAGTTGGCTCATCCGCTGGTGCGCGCCGAAGCAGAAGCTCGATCCCTACGACAACCAGGACGCGGGCGAACGCGTCGTCGACCTCGCCTTCGCGCCGCCCATCGAGGTGCCCGCGGAGGTCGACGAGACCTACGCCAGCAGCGCCGTCGACCGCCCGGAGACGCGCGTCGCGCCGCTGTGGAGCCCGCGCAACGCGTCGCCCGCGCGAGACGTCCGGACGGTCTCGCCCGAAGCCGGGGCCGCCGCCGCGCGCGTCGTCGCCGCGCCCGCGGAGGCGAAGCTGCCGCTGGCGACGCCGCGGCGCGACGGGCCGGCGGCGCACCTGCGGCGGCCGAGCCACGCGCTGCTCAACGGCTTCCGCGGCGCCGCGCGCGCGTACGCGACGGGCCGCCGCGGCGCTCTCTCGAAACAGCCCGTGAACCCCGACGAGCTCGAGGTGCTGCGCGAGGTGGGCCGCGGCGCCTTCGGCCGCGTCTACCTCGCGCGGGTCCGCGGCGGCGGCGGCGCGCTCTTCGCCGTCAAGGTGCTCCGGAAGAGCTCCGTGCTCGCGGCCGGCGGCGCGGAGTCCGTGTTCACGGAGCGCGACGTCGCGCGGACCGCCAAGCACGGCTTCGTCGCCCAGCTGCGCTGCGCCTTCCAGAGCCGCCTCGCGCTCTACCTCGTCTCCGACTTCTACCCCGGCGGGTCCCTCGCGGAGCTGCTGAAGCGCGCCGTGCGGCTCTCGGGCGCGCCGCTGCCGCTGGACGACGTCCGCTTCTACGCGGCGGAGCTCTCCGTGGCGCTGAGCTACCTCCACTCCGTCGGCGTCGTCCACCGCGACCTCAAGCCCGCGAACGTGCTCCTGGACCGCGACGGCCACGTGGCGGTGTCGGACTTCGGCCTCGCGCGCGCCGCGCGCGCGGGCCTCGCGGAGCGCCGCGGCCCCCAGAAGTCGTCCAGGGTGCGCGGCTTCTGCGGCACCGTGGCCTACATGGCGCCCGAGCTCCTCCGGGCCGGCGAGCAGCACTACGGCCCGCCCTGCGACTGGTGGGCCTACGCGTGCAGCGTGCAGGAGCTCGCGACGGGGTCGACGCCCTTCGAGGCCGGCTCGAGCCGCGCGCTCTTCCGGAACATCCTCAAGGGCGACCCGCGGGCCGTCGGCGACGCGGACCTCGGCGCGCTCCTGTCGTCGCTGCTGCGCCGCGACCCGGACGTCCGCGGCGGCGCGCGCGCGATAGCGCGGTCCCACTTCTTCCGCCAGCTCTCCTGGCGCGACGTCGAGCGGAAGCGCCTCCACCCGCCGCGCGCGCCGCCGCTGCCGCCCTTCCTCGAAACCCGCGCCGACGGCGAGCTCGCCTTCGCCTCCGAGCCGAGTACGGCGCGCGCGCGCGAGCTCGGCAGCCCGCGCCGCGTGACCTTCGACGAGGAGAACCTGACGCCGTCCAAGCTCAACCAGAGCAAGGCCGACATCAAGGCCTCCCGGAAGCGCTTCCAGGGCTTCGCCTTCGACTCCAAGGTCGACCTCGCCGCGTCCCCCGCGACGTACCGCGCGGCGGGCGCCGCGTACTAAAATCCTAGTGCTGCTGCCGTTTTCTGGAGGGGCCTTGTCTTCAGCCCGGGGGCGACGGCCGCTTCTCGGCTGCTTCCCTGGATCTCGAGTCGTCTTGGTGGGATTACGTCCGCCGCGCGGGCGTTCGCTGGGGGGGGCGGGCGCGCGGCCGCTCAGAGGTAGTCCTTCGGCGCGAAGCGCTTCTGCGGCGAATACTCGATGTTCAGGTTGCGCTTCAGCAGCGTCGCCCGCTCGATGGCGCCGCCGAAAAGGGAGAACGCGCCGCCGCCGACGACGACGGCCTGCGAGGGGGAGCGGCGTCGGGAGACGGGGCCCGCGCGGACGTTCCGCGCCGGCGGCGCGCGATGAGCGCCAGGGGCAGGATGCCGAGGAAGACGCCCAGAGCCTCGTCGGTGAAGCCGACCTCCGCCGACGCCATCTGGGGGACGAGCGTCGTCGCCGCGGCCGCGGCGACCGCGGCGGGGCCGGGCGCCGCGCGCAGCTGCGGCGCGGCGGCCTTGGACACCGGCGCGTGGAACGCCGCGCAGGACGCGCAGACGGCGAGGAGGAGCGCAAAGGTGCGAGCCATGATTGCCTGAAGGAGGGAGCGGTCGTCGACGGCTCGGTCGCGGCGATCGAGCGAACGCGCGGCGAGTCGGCGTCGGCGGCGTCACGTGGTGCGCAGGGGTCGGGTCGCAGCGCACGCGGCGGCGGCGGTCCGTGTGTGGACCGCCGCCGCCCCGGGTCCTTCTCCGGCGCCGCGGCGCCGTGGCCGACGACGAACTTGTCGCCAAGGGCGACGGGCCGCGGCGGCGGAGATCGATTGACCCGTGGCTGTAGCCGCGTCCGCCTCGCGTACACGTCGCAACGCCGCCGTAGAGCCCGCTCTCAAGGCGCGCGCCCGCTCCCGTTGGGGCTTGGACGCTGGCATCTTACGCTGACTGTGATGCCGATCCAGTCCAAAGCCCACGCCTTGCCCCGGCGAAGCACGAGGCAAACATCGGCGCCGCGGCGGGAGCGCGGGCCAAAAACTCAGAGTTGGGCTAAACTGCTGTCGGTCGGGAGCGGTGCCCACGAACGCGTCCCGCCGACAGCCCAGACACGCGCCTGCCGGAGCTCCGCAGCACGCGCTGCGATCCCCCCCGCATCCGATTCCTGCAGCGCGCCGTCGACGCCACTCGGCCCGAGGCGCGAAGCGAAAAGCAGCACCGCGAACAAGCTTCCACATATCTTAACCAGCCCCGGCCATCACAGGCTCACGGTCTCCTTGGCGACCGGCGTCGCGACGGCGGCCGCGGTCTGCGCGACGGACGGCGGCGTCAGGCCCGGCGCGGGCGACGCGGGCGCGGCGGGCGCGGCGGGCGCGCCGGCGCTGCTCGCGACGCTCGTCTTCTGCTTCTTCGAGGAGGCCGGCTGGAGCTTGTAGAGCTTCGTCGCGACCTCCTTGTTCGAGCGGAACCGCCGGCCGTCGGTGGCGTGAAAGTAAAAGTCGAGGCCGCCCTCGGTCTCGCCGCCCTTGCGCTGCTTGCAGGACACGGTGATCTCGCGCCTATGAGTTGGAGAGCGTCCAGGGCGGCCGCGCGGCGCGCGATTAAGGGGTCGACGGTTCCGGACGCGGGTATCCGACGCGACCTCGGCGCCGTCGCCGCCGCAGCGCGCGATGTAGTCCATGAGGGCTTGCTTCCGGAGCGCGCACAGCTGGCTCTCCCGCTCCGTGGAGATGGCTTCGATCTTCCGCTTCGGCGCGCCGATGCGCGACTCGACGAGGAACTGTAGATATTTGCGCGCCTCGACGCGGTCCGCCTCCGTGATGACCCACTCCGCGCGCGGCGGCTGTTCCGACACATCATCCTGCGCGTTCGCTGATGGCGCGGCGGCCGCCTCGGCGGGCAGACAGGTAGCCATCTCAAATGGGCTCGGCTTGTGGCTCGCTGACCTCGCGCGCGCCAAAACGAGAGCTGGAGGATGTTGACATCATCGATGTGGGGCTGCGCGCGCCTGTACCTCGCGGCGTCCCTCGCGCGCGCCGCGACGGACCACAACTTGGTCCCGCTCATCGTGCTGAAGAACCCGCGGTCCGGGTCGTCGTGGCTCGTGCAGCTGCTCAACGGCGTGCCGTCGGCCTTCGTGACGGAGGAGATCCTCACGTCCAAGTCGGCGGGCCACGGGGACGTCAAGGCCGAGGGCGAGGCGCACCTCTTCCGCGCGCTCAGCGAGCCCATGGGCCGCTTCGGCCGCGGCGCGGCCTTCGGCGTCGACGAGAAGCGCGGCGGGTCGGCGAAGCTGGTCGCGAAGGACCGCGCGATGCGCGAGTCGGGCAAGCGGCCGCGCGACGCCTGGGACGTCGTCGGCTTCACCGTGTCGCCGAAGCGCATCCTGGGGTTGAACCTCTTCGGCGCGCCGGACGGCGTCTTCTGGCGCAGCGGCTGCCGCAAGGTCGTGCTCTACGAGCGGACGAACAAGACGGGGCAGGACAAGAGTGATTCAAGTTCGCTTCAACATGAGTGTTCCGCGCGCGCGCGTTCCGGAAAAAGCATCCACGCGTCGAGACCGTTCCGAGAGACGATCGCTCGTCCAAAAACTAGCCGAAACGAGTGGAAACCGGCCGAGCTAGGAGCCTTTGAAGTTGGGAATTTCGCACTCTTGTCCTGCCCAGGAACAAGATCAAGCAGGCGCTCGCGTACGCGCGGGGGCGTCTGCTGCGGGACAAGTGCGGCATGAACAACGTGCGGAAGACGGGCAAGAAGGCCTGCGCCATCGGGAAGACGCTGGCGCTGGACGTGGACGACCTCCGGGCCGACCTCTTGGAGTCGATGTCCAAAGACGTCGCGACGCGCGTCGCGCTCCGGGAGCTCCTGCGCGCGGACCGGGGCCGGCCCCTCGGCGACGGCGCCGACTTCGTGCCGCGGCCCCAGTTCGGCGCGGCGACGGCGGGCTACATATTCGAGCTCGCCTACGAGGAGCTCCTCGCGGACGCGGCCGGCGCGCTGTCCCGCCTGTTCGCGTGGCTCGGCAAGGCCGGCGTCTGGCGGGCCCACCTCGCGGCGTCGGGCGCGGAGCTGGGCAGCGCCTACGCCAAGGCGACGAGCGACGACCTGCGGGACGTCATCCGGAACTTCGACGAGGTCCGCGCGTGGCTCCGAGAAACCGCGCCGTGCCTCGTGCCCCACCTCGAGGCCACGGACCCGGGCGCCGTCATGGCCTCGGACTGCGCGGGCGACTTCGAGGACGCCATCAACCTGCGCATCAAGCAGTCGAAGAGCTGGCGCCACGCGCGGAACAACGAGGTCATGGAGCTCAAGGTCAACGCGACGGGCAACGTCGGCTACAAGCGCGCGCGCGCGGTCACGGCGGAGCAGTTCGAGTTCTTCCAGAGCCGGAGCCGCGGCCACCGCACGAGGTAACGTGTTCTGTTTACGCGAGGGCGCCCGCTCCTGGGACGTCGCGGCGCCGCGCTCGGGAGCGTTGCCGTGCGGCTCGCCGCGCCGCGCGACTCAAGTAAAACCAGACTTGAAAGCGCGTGTCATTGCGGTTCGGCCACCGTGGTGGCGCTCTCGGTGGGGCTGCCCCAGTTGCTGTCAGCAGCGCCTCGAACGATGCCGGAATCGAAGGAGGAGGAGCCGCCCTGCGCGCGCGTGTCGCTGAGCGTGTCCCAGGAGGGGGGCATCATGTCGTCGTCGAAGGTCGTGCTCCAGTGGAACTTCGAGCTCGGCCGGGACGCGCACACCATCGCGCTGACGGCGTCGCTCAAGAAGAAGAAGCGGGAGATCGAGGTCGACGGCGAGCTTCTCTGCCGGGGCGACGGCACGGCCTTCCGGAGCGACAGCGTGAGCCGCTTCAGCTTTCAGCGGCACGGCCACAGCTTCGCCCTCGAGGAGCGCCTCGACCTGCCGAAGGGCGCCGAGGCGGCGCGGCGGTTCCGCCTGTCCATCGACGACGTGCCCTTCGACGTGAGCGGCGACGGCTGCGTCGCGACGCTCAAGGGCAAGCGCGGCAGCTGGCCCAAGCAGGACGCCGTGAGCGCGATGAACGGCCTCCACCGCGACGCCGAGTCCAAGGACTCCGAGTCGAAGTGCGACGAGGGCAAGTTCGACAACACGGACCTCAAAATTTCCACCGACCGCGCCGCCGAGTCGCTGAGCGTCGACAGCATCGGCATGTCCCTGACGCGAGTCTAGAGCGCTTCGCGGAGATAACACAATGTTGTTCAGCTCATTACGCGGGGCGCCCCCGCCGGCGCGCCCGGCGCGGCGCGGGCGGCGGGCTCGTCGCCGGCCGGGCGACGATGGCGACGCCGGCGACGGCCGCGGCCGTCGCGAGGAAGACGAGCAAGGGCGGCAGGCCCGGCGGCGGCGCGCTCGCGGCGTCGTCGCCGTCCTTCGCCGGGGGCGCCTCGCGCAGCTTCGCCAGCTTCTCCGCGAGCTTCTCGCGCAGGGGCCGACCGATGGCCGCGATGAGCCCCCAGCTCTCCGCGTAGGCCAGCGCCGTCGACGCGGGCACGTCGTCGTCGCAGTCGCCGTGGTCGACGCATTCCACCAGGACGCCCGACGCCGGCGAGTAGGACAGCATGCGGTTCTTGCCCAGCAGCACCCACTCCCGCAGGTCCTCGGTCTTGGAGGACGTCGGCTCCGACGCGACGTAGACGCCGCGCTCGACGGCCCGGTAGTAGAGCGTCGGCGGGTCCTCGTCGGGGTGCGACCGGTAGCGCGCCACTACAAGAGAAACCCCGTCCGTCGCGGCGAAGTTCAGGCTCGACGGCCGCTCCGACGCGTCGCAGGCCGGCCCGAGATCCGCCGCGGCGGCGACGTGCGAGATCGTCGCGATGGTCGCGGCCATCGCGGACCGGAGCGACAACAGGTCGTACGTCCGGCGCTCGGGGAAACCCGCGAGGTGATCCGCGAAGACGGCGCCGGCGATCTCCGAATCCGTGGACCCGGCCACGAGACTCCGCGCCGCCGGCCGCGTCGCTTCCAGTAAATCGTCGCGGATGCGCTCGAAGCCGTGGACCGCGCCGTTGTGCAACCAGGCCAAGGTCTGGAACGCGAAGGGGTGCGAGTTCTTCTCGGAGATCTCGGCGAAGGGCGACGCGGCGCGCACGTGGGCGAAGATGGCCCGCGACCGCAGGTCGACTTTTGGTGGCGCCAGCGGCTCCTCGACGCAGGAGTCCATCGACGCGCGGAAGAGCGTCGGCACGGCGTCGCCGCGCAGCAGCGCCGCGAGCGTCGCGTCGGGTTCGCCATTGTCGACGACGGGCGCCGCGGAGCGCACGCGCCGCGGGAACGCCTCGCCGGCCTCGTACCACGACACGCCGTAGCCGTCGAGGTTGAGCTCCGCGTTGCGCAGCGCGAATTGCGTCGCGTTGAAGCGCGGCGACAGCTTCGCCGCGGGCACGAGCGGCGGCTCCGTCGCGAGGCTGAGCAGGTTGTTCTCCGTGTCCAGCAGGAACGCCCGGCCGTCCACGGGCTGTTCGCCGACGTAGATCATGAAGCGGCAGGCGCGGGCTCCGGCGACGAGGAGCAGCAGCGCGCGGCGCGCGAGCGGCCGCATCGTCTCGTGAGGTCGTTCTCGGGTATTGTGCGTCCAAGGCGACTTGCTGCGGCGGCGCGGCTCGGGTCGAGGCCGCGCGCGCAAGGCGACTTGCAGCTGTGGGTCGCGTAACCCTTTGTCCGAAAAAATCGATGATGAACGCTGAAGAGATATTGAATGTCCAACATCTTGCTTCCTTCGTTATTGCCGTCGCAGCGCGATTAGGTCTTGCGGGATGGGCGCGTCTAAAGCAGCCCTGTTCGGGGTTTGGAGGTCGGTCCCACCTCGTGAGACCACGACCGTCGCCTGCGCACACATGTCGAATGTGTGAGTGTTGCGCTCTCACGAGGTGGGACCAACATCGTCACGTCGCGCGGGGGCAGCCTCGCCCCTCGGGCCACCTGATCCGGCGCCGGTGGGTCGCGAGGTCGGTCCCACCTCGTGGGACTGTCACGGAACCGTCCTCCATCGGGCGAATGATGAGTCCGCGGCGGCGTTCTTCCCCACGGGGTGTTGTCGCTGCGCATGGGTGACGCCAGTCGACGGGATGCGCCGCGGCGTCCGAGCCCGACCAGGAGAGTTCGACGATGTCGAAGCTCTGCAACAAGCCCTTGCGACCGGACGCAACGGGGCTGTTGATGAACGATTCCCGACGCTGCGAGGGCTCTGAAACTAGCTTTATGGGGTCGCGAGGGGGCTGCGCGTCGCTTCCGAGCCATTGATCCCCCCCGTTTGAGTCGCCTCGCAATCGCCCGGACGTCGCGTTTTCACCGGTGCGTCCGCGTGATGCATGCGGAGCATAAAGCCAATGGCATGGTAGCTGCTACTGTGGAAGGGGCTGCGCTCTGGCACGATCTCCGCTGAAAACTCGTCCATGCTCTTCGAGCTTCGACGCCTTTTATCCACCGTCCGATCCGATATCTTGTCGTCCGAACGAGCGCAAACTACCTTACATTTATTTCTACTTATCAACATGTCGACGTTGCTTCACGTTGCGCGACCCACAGCAGCGGCGTCGGTCGATTTTAGGCCGATGCTCTCGGTCGCGCGCCGCCTCATGTTGAGGCTCAACACGATGTGTTGCCCTCTGAAACGCCATTCGATCTGGGCAGCGAGTTCAAACGCGTTCTCGCTCTCCTCGAGCGCTCTCCTCGCTCTCCTCGAGCGCTCTCCTCGCTCTCTTCGTTCTCCTCGCTTTCTCGCGATGGCCAAGCTCCTCGCGCTCGTCGCGGGCGCCCGCGCGGCGCACCACCACCTGAACCCGACCATGGAAATTGCTTGTAAAATGACCAAAGTTTGTTCATATCCAACCAGAAGTTAATAATTAAACAACACTGGTTATTTTATGACATGATATTAAAATTTGTGAGATCATCTGTATAATGGATATGATGCGGTTTTTGTATAATTCCACGCTGTATTAATATTCACCGCTAAAGCGCGACCCTTTCTGGATAAGGGAATGAGATGTATTTGGTATATTCTATTCTATAGTTTTGTAATTTAAATTATTTTTTTTCGAAAATTTTTTAAAAATGTTTCTGAAAACCTGATTTATAAGGTAGAATGAGTTAAAATGAATGTGTCTTATAAGGTATAGTATCAATTTCACCAATTAAAAAACTGAAATTATGGAATATCAAACAACTTGAAAAAAACTGAATGGTATTTCCACGCTGTATTCACCGCTAAAGCGCGACCCTAGCTGCGCACAGCTAGCAGGTGTAGCGCGGTGGCTCACAGCGCGAAAATGGGGACATAACCCAGATCAGAGTGAGACTGCGTTACGGGTATCCTAGGCGTATCCTGGCTCCTCTGCGCCGGGCCAGACCGGAGCGACCGGCCGGTATCGCGCGCTTGAAAGTGCAATTTATAGCTCAACTCAGCACCTTCCGGAACCTTGCAGGCCTCCTTTGCCCACCTCAGCCTGCCACGACACGAGCTGCTTCCGCCGCGCCGCGCTGCTCGTCGTCGGCCACGATGCGCGTCTCGAGGTTCGCGCTGTGTTCGCTGGGCGTCGCGACGGCGCTGCGGCCGCAGACGTCGTCCTTCGCGCGGCGCGCGGCGCGCGCTGCGTCGACGGCGGAGGACTGCGGCTGCGAGGTGACCTACGGCGGCGACGTTCCGGCGTCGGCGAAGACGATGGACCACCTCGCCGCCGTGCGCGACCTCGAGGCCTTCGACGCCGCGACGGGCGGCGCGACGACGCTCGGCGCGAAGCTCGGCGGCGACCGCGTCGCCGTCGTCTCGTTCCTCCGGAGCTTCGGCTGACCCTTCTGCCAGGAGCTGCTCGTGCAGCTCGAGCGGCGGCGGCCGGCGCTCGAGGCCGCGGGCGTGGGCCTCGTCGCCGTCGGCATCGGCACGCCGGAGAAGGGCCGGCTCGTGGCGGACCACGTCGGCTACGACGCGTCGCGGCTCTTGGCGGACCCGGAGAACGCGCTCTACGACGCGCTGGCGCTCAACGCGGGCGTCGGGCGGACCTTCTTCAACCCGGCGACGCCCTACGCCATCCTCGACCGGCTCCAGTCGGGCACGGGCGGCGACCTGGGCGACGTCCTCGGCAAGTGGCTCCCCGGCGGCGGGCCGTCCGGCGAGGGCGCGTTCATCATCCCGCCGAAACAAGCCCAGGCGTTCAACCAGGGCGGCATGTTCGTCTTCGCCGACGGCGCGTCGCGCTTCGTCCACTACGACGCCTCGACGGGCGCGCACGCGGACGTCGACGCCGTCGTCGACCTCGCGCTCTCGCTCTGAAGTGGATCCGCGGACACCATGACGCGGCCGCCGTTCACCGTACGGCGGTCGCCGACAACAACCCCCGCGTTCCTCACTTCCCTAAGCGACTTTACTCCGCCATCTCCGGCGGAGGAGCCGCGGCCGCCTCGGGCTCGTTCTTCGTGTAGAGATTCTTCCATTGCGGCGGCGCGTTGACGTCGCACATCTCCTTGCACGCGTAGAGCAGCTTGTTCATGCGGAAGTCGAGGACCATCGGGCCCGTCTTCATGTAGAGCACGTTGTAGCTGCCGAGGATGCACTCGCGTTCGGACTGGAGCAGGATGCGGCCGTGCGCGTAGATGTTCCGCTCGACGAGCTGCTCGACGTAGTCGCCGCCCTTGGCGTCCTCGTCGGAGGCCAGGAGCACGTCCGGCGGCTTGCCGTGCGCGAGGCGCTGCTGCAGCATCGCGACGCCGCGTTCGAGGTTCGCGCGGCTCGTCGGCGGCGGGCACTCGATGAGCTCGAGCTTGTGGCCCATGCTCCGCAGGTACTGCGCGCGCGGGCCGTCGAAGCCGCCGGCGAAGCCGGGCATGAGCAGGAGCACGTCGAGGCCGTCCTCGGGGACGGGCTCCGCCTCCTCTTTCGTCTCCGTCGCCGGCGCGGCGCCGTCGGCCTCCATGGGCGTCGCGGTGGCGACCTGCTCGCTCATGGGTGGTGCGCGATCGATGCGTCTCGCGCTTTCTCAAAAAGCGTGTCTGCTGTGCACGCTTCGGTCGCGGCGCGCGCGTCGGCGGTGGCGGCTTTGGAGATGCCTTTGGGAGATCGCTCAAGCGCAGTCCGATTTTGGTGGGGGGTAGTCGCACCGCAAGCAGCATTCGCGGCTTGTCGGTCGAGCGGGCGCTCTGGGTGTGGACCATTTACGCCAGGCACACGGCGGAGAAGTGGAGTGCGGTCTGGTCGGCAATCTATATTCGCTAAGTCACGGTGTCCCTTCGAGCAGCGCCGGTTGCATAGAATGGTCATTGCTCTCCTCCGCTTGTGCGAGTTTGCTTTTGTGCTCACCTGGTAGTAAGAATAATAATAACAAGAAGAAGAAGAATACCTGGTAATTTGCATTCAATTTCTTTAGAGTATGTGTCGTTGAACTCGGCGTATTTTGTGTCTCCCAACGCCTGTCGTTTTGCTGTATTTTGTTACGGTTACCGCGATCGCCCACAAGCCGGCGAAGGACCAGCAGCGCGAGTACCAGAAGCTCTACTTCAAGAACGGCAGCGGCATCCGCGGCGTCCGCGTCGTCCACTTCGTGATGTCCGCGGACGCGTTCGCCGCGCCGCTCCTGAGCGGCGCGGCGCGGCGCGCGCGGCCCGGGGTCGATTCGATTTATAGTGCGGACTCACGCAGCCGCGCGGCGACGTACCGGGTGGACCAGATAGACCGAGCCGCATCGAACACAGTCACGGCTGCCGTGCGTCGCGCGCGGCGCGCGCCGCGCGAGGTGCACTTGGTCAACGCTGCATTTGCCTTTGCCGCGGGCGCTGACGACGAAGACTGATCACTGCCTGTCATCCAGCAGACGGCAGCGAGCGTTTACCCCTACTGAGCTCGTCCGTGCGCCGGCGTCCCATCTCGCGCCGACTCTGCCCATCGCGCGCGACGCCGTCACGCGCGCGCGGCGACGCGCAAACGCGCGCGCTCGCACCGCGCCCATCGCCGAAAACGTCACCGTCCACAGGTCTTCGCCGGTTGCAAACACAAAAAAAGATGGCGGCCGTGAGCAAGACGCGCTTCGTCATCAAGACGATCAACAAGATCTCGCCCGCGGGCCTCGCGCGCTTCGGCGGCGACAAGTACACGATCACGCCGTCCGAGGAGAACCCCGAGATCGCGCACGCAATCATGCTCCGGAGCCACAAGATGCAGGACTCGGACGTGCCCCTCACGACCCGCGCCATCGCCCGGTACGTCGACGCCCGCCCCTCCCCGAAGACGCGCGCACCTCCCCCAAAAGAATCCGAAGCGCGCGCGCGCCGCGCCCGGACGAAACCGTTCGAACCTCTAGGTGCGGCGCGGGCACGAACAACTGCAACGTGCCGCGGATGACGGAGCTGGGCGTGCCCGTCTTCAACACGCCCGGCGCGAACGCCAACGCCGTCAAGGAGCTCGTGCTCTGCGGCCTCTTCATGGCGTCGCGCGGCGTCTACGAGGGCGCGGCGCACATGAAGCAGCTCCACGAGGAGGGCACGGCCCACGAGCGCATCGAGAAGGACAAGGCCCTGTTTGGGGGCCGCGAGCTCGAGGGCAAGACCCTGGGCGTCGTCGGCCTCGGCGCCATCGGCGCGGCCGTCGCGCACTCGGCGATCGCGCTCGGCATGGACGTCGTCGGCTACGACCCGGCTTTGTCCGTCGAGGGCGCGCTGCGCCTCCCGGGCAGCGACATGGCCATGGCGGATTTGGAGGAGCTCTGCTCCAAGGCGGACTACGTGTCGCTCCACGCGCCCTACATCAAGGACGTCACGCACCACCTGCTGTCGGCCGAGTTGATCGGCAAGCTGAAGCCCGACGCGTCGATCCTCAACTTCGCGCGCGGCGAGCTCGTCGACGAGGCGGCGCTGGCGGCGCGCTACGACGCCGGCGGCGGCGGCCGCTACATCTGCGACTTCGCCGTCGGGCCCGAGCTCTGGCCGCGGCCGAACGTCGTGTCGATCCCGCACCTCGGCGCGTCGACGGAGGAGGCCGAGGAGAACGCGGCGGCCATGGCCGCGGACACGATCCAGCTCTTCCTCGAGACGGGCACGATCCGCGACTCCGTCAACTTCCCCGCGTGCGCCTTGCCGCCGCGCATGGAGTCCGTGAACCGCGTCTGCGTCGTCACGGAGAACAAGCCGGGCATGCTCGGCGAGCTCATGTCCGTCTTCGGCGAGGGCGGCCTCAACATCCTCCAGCAGGTGAACATGTCCCGCGGCGACATCGCCTACAACGTCATCGACCTGGAGATCGTCCGCAAGGACGACGGCTCCATCGACACGACGAACTTCGGCGACTTCGACAAGCTCCAGGAGACGATCCTCTCCATCGAGGGCGTCAAGTCGACGCGCTTCATCAACGACTGGTGCCCGGGCTCGGGCTTCGCCATCAAGTACCAGGACCGGATCATCGGCATCGGCGTCGACGCGCCCGAGCAGAAGTCCTACGCGGAGATGTAGGCCGCGCGCCCCGCGACGAAATCGCGACGCCCCGCCGGCCCTCGCCTCGCCCGCCGCCGGGATTCCCGGCGTCCGCGGCCGCCACAAGGGCGCCCCCGGACCCCCTCGCGTGTACGATAATCTCCCAGGCCTACTTCTTCGGCGCGAAGAGCGGGAAGAACTTCTTCGGCGGCGGCGCCGGGTGCGCGGCGACGACGCGGACGCGCTTCTTCGGCGCCGGCCGCTCCGCGTCGGGCCAGCGCGACGGCCGGTCCGCGCCCATCTCGTCCCGCGCCGCGTCGGCGAGGCGCGCGATGATCTCGCCCGGCCGGTAGGCGACCTTGTCGTCGTCGTCGTCCTCGACGCGCGCCGCCGCCTCGGCCGCGCGCCGCGCGGCGTCCTCGCGGTCCCGCTCCTCCTGGAGTTCCCGCTCCTCGGCCTCGGCGAGCTCCGCGGCGAGCGCGGCGTCCTTCTCCTCCTGCCGCGCGGCGACGACGCGCGCCTTCCAGGCGGCGACGGCGCGGCCGTACGCGTTCCGCGCGCGGAGCCGCGCGAGCGCGCGGCCGAGGTCGCAGCGGAACTGCCACGCGGCGCAGTGCGTTTTCGTCGAGAAGTCGTCGACGGGCAGGAGCGCGGGCCGCGCGGATAAGCGAACCAAATTGTAGCGCGCCGCGAGCTCGCAGGGCCCGTGGTCGTCGGCGAGCGCGTCGCCCCGCGGGACCCAGAAGTAGCGGCAGACGGCCTCGAGCTTCGCGAGGCCCCTGCCGTCCAGATGCGCCGCGAGCTGGTGCAGGAACACGACGCCGTCGACGCGCAGCGGGCAGGGCAAATCCGCGCCGCTCCGCGCGTGGCGCCACTTGCGCAGCGTGACCTTGGCCTCGCGCATGGACCGCTCGTGGAGCCCGAGGCCCGGGGCGCCCGTCGGCCGGTCCTCTCCCGTATCGAAGGGGTGCGGCGCGAAGTCGCGGTCCCGGTCCCAGGCCGCGGCGGCGGCCGGCGGCTGCAGCGATTTCCAGGCGGCCATCTCCAGGGACCCGTGGAGCGCCGCGGTCTTGGGCGCGGCGCCCCGCCAGACGTCGTCGACGAGCGCGCGCGCGAAGTCTTTCGCCAGGGACGCGTTCCAGACGCTCTTGAGGTAGAGGCCGTCCATGAGGCCGTGCATGCCCTCGGCCGTGCCGAGCTTCTTGGCGAGGGGGTTGCTCTGGAGCTTGGCGAGGGCGCCGCCGGCCGCGCGGGGCCGCGCCGCGGGCCGCGCGAGGCCCTCGAGGCGGCTCGCCGCCGCGCGCTTCGCGGGCTTCGCCGCGGGCGCCGCGAGGCCGAAGCCCGTCGCCGCGGGCGCCGCGGGCCGCGGCGGCGCCGCGGGCCGGCGGTTCCGCGCGGCGTCGGACGCGCGCTGGACCGCGGGCGCGGCCGCGACGGGCTCGTCCAAGACCGCCGGCGCCGCGGCGCTCTGCCGCCGCCGCAGCGCCGCGTTCTCGAGCACGGCCTCGTCGAGCTGCGCCGACGTCGACGCGAGCTCGCGCTTCAGGTTCGCGTTCTCCCGGCTCAGCGCCTTCTTCTCGCGGTGCAGCGTCTTCACCTCCTCGAGGAGCCGGTCGCGGTGGGCCGCGATGGAGTTTGTTGTCGTTGTGGGCGGCGGGCCGGAGCGCGACGACGTCGGCGGCGCGGCGCGCCAGGGCGTGGTGTCCATAAATGCTGTTGCAAGCGTTTTAGTTTGCTATCAAAGCTGTGCACAGCCGATTACAAGGCCTCAGTTTTTGAAAGTGTCCATGCGCTGCCAAAAACTGCCTCAACGAGAATCGCTGAAGATGCTGAAGCCGACGAGGACCGCAACGCGCTCTTGAGCTGAACTCGCGCGCCGACGGGGCGCCGTCGAGTCATGAGTGCTCCACCGGGCTTCGCGCCGCGCCGCGACGGCGAAATCACAGCGTTGCTCGATCGCTTGGGGCTGCGGCGCTACGAAGCACTCCTCGACGAGCAGGAGATCGACCTGGAAGCTTTGAAGCTCCTGAGCTACATGGACTTCCTCGAGATCGGCGTCGACCCGGCGTCCGCGAGCGCGCTGCTCGACGCGACGCGGACCGCGAAGGCGCCGGCGCCGCCGCCGGGCCTCGCGCCGCCGCCGGGCCTCGCGCCGCCGCCGGGCCTCGCGCCGCGGCCGCCGGCCGCCGCGCCGGAGCCGCCGTCGTCGGACGACGACGCGTCGGAGGAGGGCGCCTACTACCTGCCCGACAACCTCATGGACGACAGCGACGAGTCGACCATCGACGGCGTCACGGAGGCCATGGCCGACGAGGCCATCGCGGCCGTCGGCGACGCGATCGGCGAGGCCGTCCAGGAGGCGATTCTCGACGCGCTCGTCGCGTACTGGAACGGCGCGCCGCCGCCGCAGCGCTTCGCCGTCGGCTCGTGCGCCGCGCTCCTCGTGCTCCTGACGCTGCGGCGCCTCGTGTTCCTGGCCGGCGAGTTCCTCGCGGGCGCGGCGTTACTGGCCGCCTACGCGTGCCGCCGCCACTGGGAGCAGCCGCCCGTCGTGAGCTCGCTGCCCGTGCTCGCCGTCGCCTGCGTCGGCTCGGCGAAGAAGGAGGCCGGCGCCGAGACCTTCAACGCCGTGCTCGCCCAGGTCCTCGCCGTCGCCTTCGCGGGCGCGTCCGTCGCGTTCCTCTTCCGGCCGCAGCCGCGGCGCCGGCCGCGGCGGCCGCCGCGGCGCTCGGCGGACGACTGGGACGTGCGGGCGCCGCCGCGGGCCGGCGGCGCGAAGAAGCGGAAACCGAAGACGCGCAAGTCGAAGGCGCCGCGGAAGCCGAAGGCGCCGCCGGAGCGGCCGCCCGACGAGGTCGCGGAGGATCCGGGGGACGCGGCGCCGCCCGCGGAGGCGGAAGCGCCGCCTGCGGAGGCGGAAGCGCCGCCCGCGGAGGCGGAAGCGCCGCCCGCGGAGCCGCCGCGGCGCCAGCGGTCCGGACGGCTGAAGAAGGACCCCGCGCTCGCGGCGCAGCTATTCGGTTAGTTCGCAGACAGCACGGGGAAAAAGGGTCAGGCGGGCTGTTGGCCCGGCGCGAGGGGGTTCGGCTCGAAGGCGCCGCGGGCCTCGAGGCCGTCATCGCCGCCGGCGACGAGCGTCTCGAGGAGCGCGCCGACGCCGTCGTCGTCGTCGTCGGGCGCCGCGGCGGGCCAGGGCCTCGCGTCGGCGCCCGCGGGCTCCGGCGGCGGCGCCTTGGGCGTCGGCTCCGGCGCGGACGAGATGGACAGGTCGTCGTCGTCGTCGCCGTCGTCCGCGGGCGGCGCGGGCGGCGCGGGCGGCGCGGGCGGCGCCGTCGCGAGCGGCGGCGCGGGCGGCGCGGGCGGCGCGGGCGGCGCGACGGGCGCGGGCGGCGCGGGCGGCGCGACGGGCGCGACCGGCGCGGCTGCCACGTCCTCCGCGGCGGCCTCCTCCCGCTTGACCTCCGCGCGCGGCGCCGGCGCGGCCGCGGCCGCCGGCGCGTCGTCGTCCAGGTCGTCGTCGTCGTCGTCGTCGTCGTCGCGCGGCGCCTTCTCCTCGCTGCCCTCGGAGGACTGGGGCGGGTCGGCCTCGGCGCGCTGCTCCTCGAGCTGCTTGCGCCGAAAGTCCTCGCGGCCCGCGCGCGTCGTCGGGCGGTCGTCGACGCGGGCCTTGGGCGGCCGGCCGAGGCGCTTCCGCGGCTCGTGCGGCTCGTCGGAGGTCCGCGGGGCCTTCTTGCGGTGCGCGCCGCCGGCGCCGAGGCCGAGCCACCGCGCGACCTCGGGCTTGGACCGGAGCTTGGTGCCGTCGGGGGCCACGAAGACGGGGTCGCCGCGCGGCTGGAGCTCGACGCTCCACTGCTCGACGACGGCGTCCCGCGGGCCGCCCGCGGCCTCGACGTGGTCCGCGAGCTCGCCGAGCCACTCGCTCTCCGTCAGGTCCCGCCGGCCGCGCTTGCTCCGGCGCCGGCCTCTGCCGCCGTCGTCGTCGTCGCCGTCGCGCGGCGCCGGCGCCGGGCGCCGCTTCTTGATGCCGCGCGCGATGGCGAGGAACACGGGGTCCCGGTCGCCCTGCTCCAGGGCCGCCGCGTCGGCGACGCGCCGCGCCGCCGCGATCGCCGACCGGTAGGCGGCGCCGCGCTCGGCCTCGGGCACGAGCAGGATGCGCTCGAGGAAGAGGCGCATCTTCTCCGCGTCCATGGTCGGCGAGCGGTCCCGCGCGAGGGGCGCGCGCCCGGGGGTCCGTCGGGGGCGCGCGGGCCTTGCCTTTGGTGCGCCCTCTCGATGCCCAGAGGCGGAGGCTCGGGAGCCGAGCGCTTGTGGCAAGAAGCGTGACATTCAAGTTCGGTATGTTTCCCTCGCGGCGTGCGCGGCTGCGCGGTGTGGCGCATCGTACCGGGGGCGCAAGCCCATCTCGCTCTAAATTTTGTAGCGTGGCGGCTCCAGACGCCGGAGGGCTAGTCTTCGGCGGCGTCGATCGTGGCGCGCGGCGCGTCTCGTCGCGAATCACCGCCGCGGCCGCGACTCGGACCGCGACGCGGCGTTCGACGGCACGGCGCGACGGACCCCAAAGTCGCCGCGGCACTCCGGCCGTGGGCACGTTCGCCGGGACGACGCCGTTTCGCCTCGCCGTGATTGTTGAAGTGACTGTTGAAGGACGGTTACCGTTCGAGATTCCGCGTCGATCCGCGCTTCGTGAATCACCACCGCATTCGGCCGTCGCAAGAGAAGCTCTGCCGAATCACATGGCCACCATCGCGCGGCGCTCGCCGGCGACGGTGCCGCTCGATTGTCTGCCGCAGAATTTTGCCGAAGCGCAACCGCGAACCTCC